CTAAGGCAGCGATTAATTCTTTCTATTGAGTTTAGAGAACAAATGCACAACACAGAAATGCAACCGACCAGCATTTAATTAAACGTTCTCTACCACAGCACCAATAGAAGTTTTCTGTAAAAATACCTCAAGCTTATCTAAAACATTTCCTTATAAATATGACTGCAAAACAGGTTCAGATAGCGACATCCTTGAGAACGCCGCCAGTCTCTGCTCTCTCTTGATGGCATGTTCGCTTTCAATCTAAAGTCGAGTATAATCCTTAAGAAATTCAAGATAAGAAAATGAATTTTAACATGTTAAAACATGACTGTCCTAGTACTTTCTTAACATCATTACCTCGCAACGACAACTGCTTCCTTCCCAGACTGCTATCGTATTCTCGATCTTATTCCACCCATCTTTCACAAAAGTTTGAAAAAGTGGCAGAAGAACTGCAAAGTTGGCGAAGGTTTAGCCTTTAAAGATGTACTGATGTGCTCCGTTTGTTACTGGAATAACATTCGTTTAATAAATCCCTTATTGTGAATTAAGCACAGTGTATCGATCATAAGTCCTCATATCGTCACCAAACGGCAAAGCTGTTTGAAAAATTGAAGAATATCTAGACAAAGTTACAAGGTATTTGCCATTGAAGCCTTGATTTTTACTATGAGTTGTTTCCTAACTTGAAGGTTAAAATAATATTTTTCATTCAAGAAAGAAGATGCAATTTCACTTTTGTCCACCAGTTTCGCCTTTGGATCTCAATTTTTGCTGTAATATTTGGAGAGCTTACAGCGTCAAAGTATCTTACGGGCCTAAAAATCTTAATTCATACTACAGGTCAAGGGATATTTGCCTCCAATGTCTTTTTTGAAGCTTTCACTCCCACCTTAAAGGTGATGGTTTTGCACCATGCACGAAAGAAAACTTTGCATTAGGACATCAATGTGCCACTCCCGTGTCCGTTTTCCCCCAAGAAGAAAAAAGGGTTGTAAAATTCGAAGTCGATTAAAATCTTTTTGGAACAGTCCCTAGGTATTGATACCTGTGGATTTGAAGGGGCTCTATAGAAACAAACATTAATCCTTTAAATCTTACACAATGGACAATAACAGATTTGATGTTGAATCTGCAGGGCATACTTGCTGGCAAACCCTTTTCCATCGCGTAGAATGATTTCTATTCCTTTTCCACTTAATCTCAAGCATCCTGATTTCATAAACATTGAAAGGCTCATCGGTGATCTAACTAATTAATCTTATCACTTATAAAGAGGGATTCCCAAAAGCGATATTGGAATTGCACAGTGGAAAATACGCAATATCTTTATAGGCGAAAAAGACATTTTTTCATGCGTGAGCTAGCCTGTGTCCAAACCCCAGACCTTCTGAGTCTGGGGCGTAGGCTATCATGAGCTTAAATAAACTCAAAATATTGGGGGCTGCAGTAAAACCACGAGTTTAAAGGTTCTAAAAAACTATTTTAAACACAATTTAGCACTAAACGACTCTCGGAAAGATAATCATAACAGATTTCAACTTAGAATTGGCGGAGAAGTTTAAAAAGTTGCGTATCTGCTCCAAGATCCCCTCCCCAGGAAATGCTGCAAAGATGTCAGAGCCAGCTTAAATGTTTAGAAATTATTTATAAAATGACAAAACAAATAGGCAAAAAGTTGGCAAATTATGAAGTCAACAGAACTGAATGCTTGAGATTCAATGACAAATTCTGGAGAGGGGAGCAAGTTGGAGGGGGGAAGGGGTGGTGCTCGGACAAATAGCAGGCCCAGAAATAAAGGGCCTTGGGAAAAAATGGGGGGGGGCGGAAAGAAGCATGGCTTTGAGGCCCTGCAGGAAAAAACATAGACTTTCATGGGAGAGCTCAAAGTATCAATAAGATTATTTGCAGGTAGAATAATTAAATTCTGTTTTGACTGAAGTATCCTCCCTTTCCCAAGAGACATCTGAGAGTGAGAGCAAGAAATAAAAAGAGGCTAGATAACACTCCTCACTAAACTGTGAATGCAGCTTTAATTCATGACCTGTCGAGTATAACTCTTCATAAGGTAAGATGTATAGGAAAGAGCATTTAAAAGTGAATGCAAAAATAGAATACAGAACGAGGCGTGAGAGATGCAAAAGGAAGAATACAAACCAGGTAGTCTAATATATAATGTTATGAAAGGTAAAAAAGCTGCTTATTAAATTTGTTGCTATCGTTAGGCTACATGAGCAATCAATTGATAAAGAAGGTTTTGAAGAAAAGAATAGAGGGAAAAACAGCTTTTTCAGATACTTTTTCATACTTCAAAACCATGTACAGTCAGTTTCTAACATCTTACGGATTGATTTCTGTCTGTGGATGACTGGAGAGGGCTCCAACACCCACCTGGGTGTGGCCCATTCATCCCATACAAATATGTTCGAAAATCTAAAATATTTTTGAAAACATAAAATATTGTTAAGTGTCAAACTTAGCTGTGTGGTCCTCCCTAATATTATTTGTAAATTTTTCCTTGTAAAAGCCTCGATAATTGCATCCGAAATACGCTCTTTCGCATGGCAATACTACGAAGAGGTGCCATTCTTGGAATAAACACGAACATTATAACGCCATTAATAAACTTGCGAAACAGCTTTGAAGTCTTTCATCTGACGCCGGTGTCAGATTTGCACATACCTTCCTTGCTAAATGCCAGTTCATTTCTTCGTTATTACTGACGACAAAAACTAAGTGACGTTTTTACTGTCACAAGGCTCCAGACTTTAGAATTACGGGCGTAATTAAAGCATTGAGGCATGTATGTGTCTAGGTTTAGTCAGAGACAAACCTGACACCAAAAAGTTAACAGTCGCTGAATATGGACCAGCAAATCCTAACGATAACACAGCATGTGTATCCAAGGCAACTGACGCAAGATTATACGATATCTAAAAGACAAAACACACAAATGGACAGCTATGGAATATGATATGTATGAAAAATCCAGAATCGTCGAGCCATGTTTATCTTTTAAGTTACTGTGGATACCCTCTCCAGTCAGATGACTGTTATAAGTAATAGAGAGAAGAAATTTGGACACAATCCCAACTTTATGCAAGGGCAAAGCATCAAATGGGCAATAACAAGTTTAACTTAAGACTGGGACGCAAAGATAGATGATCCTAACCTCACATTAACAGCGTTTTCAGGTTTATAAGGGGAATCTCGAATTAATTCACATCTTTTAATTTCAATATAATGAGACGCCTTTCTTAATGAGATTCTGCAAATAAAAATGAAGGATGTGGCCTAGGTGTCCAGACGAACTAAACTATTGCGTCTAGATTATCCGTTTAGTTGTTAATTAAGACAGTTTATGTCTTGGAAAAGTTGAAGAATGGAGCTTTTAACACTGTAGCCTCAAATGACATGCAAATCATAAGGTTTCAGGCAAGCAATGGATAAGGGCAAATTTTCATTTCGAATATGCAAACCAAAATGATGGTAATTGACTCCTGATCATTGCGATGACGACACTAAAAATGATGATGATGATGATGGTGATGATGATGGTGATGATGATGATGATGATGATGATGATGACAATAATTGTTGACGACGCTAGTGGAGACGATGATTGACGGCCGATGCTGATGATTAATTAACGCAAATTGATACAATGATAATTAATGACTGTTATGATTACAATGAAAATAACGAAGGTAATTTATTGATGAGCATAATAATGACCCTTTTTATGTGTATTTGAGAATAATCATGTAACCATGGCCAAGGATCACAAGCTTCTCGTTCGCAGGAACAAAACCATGAACAGTTAACAAAACTGAAAAATAGTCGTAAAAACACGAAAATGTCGGATGTCACTGACACAAGGCTAATAATAAGTACTGTATTTTCTGTAACAAGGTTAGTTTAAATAAAATCCTGTCTTCAATAAACTTCGCACCTTTTGGCAGCAGAAAAATAATAAACCCTTACCACTAAGTTAGTACAAAAATAAAATATGAGAATTTAACAACGAAAATTTATTAGCTGATCAATAATTTTCGCCAGAGAAAACTGAAAGATGAGCAAACGCTTTCATTATGAGGGGGGATGAGACGTGTTAATTTGCTTCAAAGTTTAATTAAAAACCTGGGCGTTTTAAATACAAAAATGTAGAAGGGTTTGTAATTTTGAGGTTGATTTATCATCGATGGAGTGTGCATAGATTGACAAGAATTTTAATACACCGGCTTTTCCAGTCGTGCTTTATGGCTCTGAGGAAAATTGTTGTAAAAAGATTGACAGGACAGCATTTAAAACATTATTAACTATGGCGCTCAAGGAGCGAAGTGAGAGCGAGACGAACAAACTGACATAAGGTATTGAAGAAGACAATTAAGGCATATTTAAAGGCCGGCTTCTGGTGCTGGTGAAGATTCATTAAGTCAAGCAGAATTTTTTTGAGCCTGCAATAGATGGGAACTATTCGGAAAATAAAATACTACATGTGATAGCGTTTACAAAGAAAAGTCAAGAGAGGCGAAAAACCACTGGGAAAAACAACAATGTCGCGAATGAACATCAGCAACGAAGAGCCGCTCCGCAGAGTAAATCAGTCATGGAGTTAACAGAGGGTGCTGCAACAAATTCTATCTGATTTTGCCGACAGGGTTTTGCCAAGCAATATCGTCACTAACAACATGGTCTGGTCAACCAGAGAATTGCCTACATTGACAAAGCCTACATTAATTTGGCATATATCTGATATCTGAATGAAACTGAATTTGGCATATATCTGAATGTATGAACAGAAACAAAAGCAAGAATGCTACGGATGCCATGCATGAAGAATGCTGCTTTACAAGAGAAAAAGGAGATAATTTTTACCAGACGATCCGATGGATTCACCTAATTTTGAAACATAACCCATCATTCCTAGTTTGAAAGTTAGTGTGCACAACGAGCTATGAAATTTGATCACATGGGCATTCAAAAGAACAGCAAGGCTGCAAGAGAAAATTAGAACATTTGAAATTTTGCATCTTCTTTTTCTCATAATTGGGATCTTTAAGAAACATTTGCAAATTGAAGCAAGAATCAAATTACATTTAAAAATAGCAAGATAAAAGACATATTAAGTATATTTGAACCTATTTAATCAGTGCTTGATTTAGATCAGAACTTGGTACCACTGAGTCAGTCACAGACGAAAAAGGATATGCTTAAGACAACTAACATATTTCAGTCTTGGTAAATCGTCTCTCGCAAAACAAACAATAAAATTTGATGCTAAACTCATGACCAACAAACGATAACTTTCTTTACATTCGTGTCGCTACAAATCATTGATACGGAACAATCCTCTACAGTCTCAAAGGATGAAAGGGACAATGGCTTTTCTCCTTGGGTAATCTTTAAATTCTTTCTTATATCGGCGATGTTTGTCCTTTGCCCAAATTGCCATCTGAATAAAGCCAGCGAGACAAAATAAGCCAGCTACAAAAAAACAGACGGTAGCAAAATTTTGTTCTCAGGAATGATTAATGAACAAGAGGTGAAGGATCCTTTAATGACTTTAGCTCCTCAAGTAGCATGACTCCTAAGCCCAGTTATAAAGTAGAAGGAGCGTTTGGAGTACACCATAAATAGAAGACTCGAATAGAAATTGACCATCATCAACTGTGTTACTGAGCTTTAGTTAGCGGAATGAAGTTTTTTTCACGTCCGTCGGACAATCTTCCATGGCGACATGTTAAGATCTTAGAATTAATTTGTAATGACGAGTCCATATTTGTTAATTATGTGGATATAATAACTTCTAGCGTACAGCAATTTGAGTATTTCATGCGCCCTTATTGTTAGAACGGTAATGAACGGAATTTGTGGCTATCGTTCATTACCGATGACAGAATAACCTTCAACAGTAAAGATGGAGAATCAAAATCTCTCAGATTCGGACCCTATGCTGTCGAAAATTTAATTACCAGTTAACGTCTGTGTCATTGTTGTGAAGAACATCCAAGCGCCGATCTGAAAAAGAAGAATAGATAAATTGAAAATAATTTCAGCGCACTTGAAAGAGCGAGGAAACATTTCACATGCTTTAATAATGATATTGACAAAAATAATATCTCTGTTCTACGTCTTTCAGATACTAAAATCTTCTGTATTTTTCTATTTTGATATCGAAAAGTTCCAAATTAAAGATACTTCAAAAGAATCCACTGAGGGCTTCAAGAACAGGCAATTTTGATTGAATAGAAGAAGAAGATTCAAGAACTTCATGACAGAATGGTTCATTTTTGTTTTTGTTTGCAATCTTCAGCAAGGATAGGGATCGATGAGAGATAGAAAGCTGATCACGGCTTAGAACTGGAAATTTAAAAATATTTTTAGTTACCTCGTAAGTGTAATTTGGACACGAAACAAGTTTGAACATCCATGAAAGTGGGTTCTTTGCGGGGTAGGGAATTCTCCGTTCTTTTGTTCCTGTAAACCAATTGTTAAGAGCAAACCTTATAATAAAGATCGTGAATTCGAAGAAAAAATCATTCCTGATTGTCAACATTTTGCTAAAATCTGATACAATAAGCCTGAGGTACGCGCATTGAGCTTTTATGCCTCTCTACTATCGGTAGCTCAAGAATTCTGCCTTACGAATTGAAACACAGCCTTTTCTCAACCGTTGTATTTCAAACCCTACTCCCTAATGACAAACTATCGTTCAAACGAGCAATATGATAGATGTAAAAAATCTATTAGATAGTGCTTGATTATATATTTAATGGCCTATTCATAAATGGTTTGCAAGATAACAATACTCTCTTCTTTCATACGCTGCATCAAGGCATTGTTAATTGTTCATCTCTTTCAGGGTATGCAACTGTACAGTTTTATTTCAACATACCACATAACTTTGAAATAGGCCTTGATTTACGTATAGGCAATATAACTTCGCATCTTTGTTGAAGTTATATTCCAACAATCTGCTTATATCATTAAATGACACGAAACAACAAATGTATCGTTGAAAATAACCTGACAAACTTACCGGGTGGCCTGAGATCACGCAGAAGGCAATGGATAACAAAGTTGCCATATTCGCAGAGCTGTCGAGAGGCAATCAGTTTAATTCAATTCAGAACCGATTCAAAATTTTGGCAAAAACTTTCAAGTTTGCTATGTGAGTTGCAATGCTGCAGTATACGCTACCTTGAAAGCAAAACAGCGAATTTGTCTACTGACGATTACAGATACAAATATAAAGAACGCTCAAAATTTACTTTAAAAAAGGAATATGCAACAAGGAAACTTAAATCGATGAAAATTTGCATTTTACCAGTTAATACAAGCTTATAATGTTTTAATGCTTCCATGGGGCACTGGCTGATAACAAACTGATGTTGATAACTAACAACAACAAAAGTCAGCGATTTTAGTAAACACATAAGAAGTCTTCTGACGTCATTTTCTAGAATATGATGCCTGATGCAAGAGCCATTTACTTTATCATTGACAATGCGATGGGAAATTGACGTTGTGCGTAAAAGTTTGTGGAAAACTCACCAAAAACCCAATCAATGATCCGTAAATTTGGATTGAGCCGAATTCTGTTAAAAAATAATTTTTACATCAAGATGACAATAAAATGGAGAAAGTGAAAGATTTTTCAAATGGCATAACCCTCTTGAAGAGTAGGCCGAGTTTTTGTTTCAGAAAGGAACCACAGTTTTGAATATAAAACCATTTTCTTATAGCTAATGGAAGTCAAAACAAACATTATCTCACAAATGTGTTGAGAGAAAGGTGGATTGACTAAAGAATACTTCGTCCTTAAAAACGAAATGTAGGTTCGTTAATTCAATGACAAAATAGCTGTTGAAAATTATTTTTCTAAACAGTGCGTGCAAATTGAGACTTGCACGCAAAGGAGCCAGTATGTATTTGCGTAATAAGAAATGGCTGATTAAAGGTGACTGGACTGTTGCAAAAGATTCATTGCAGTTAAGGCCGGTTTCCACTTGATAGAAACCTTCATCAAGTTCTTCAGCGATTGGAATGTATTTTGTTCTTTCCAGACATTTGCGAATTCACTAGCGAAATGTGTAAGTTGAAAGGAGTTAAACTCTCCAGCGAAACACAACTCCCTTATGAATGGCAACACGCTCGGCGAATTAATTCGAAGACTTCACTCAAGTGGAAACCAACCTTTGAATTTCGGTACAGGTTTGAACTACAGCATCAGTATTAGACAAAGGAAGTCAAAGTGAACAAATTTGCAACAAGATTTCGATAGAAAGTGAATAGAACGTACTGGCAGGCGTGTACAAAGGATGATTCACGAAGTAGGAGACTAGACACGTGAAGCCCCTATTGATAAAAAAAACATTAGTGAATTGACAGAAATACTGATATATTTCTAGAAACCAGCATTACAAACACAAGCGCGAGGTACAAAAGCAATATATTACCTTCACCAGCATCATTGGAAACGTCAGCATCATTGGAGACGAGCAAGTTATCGGTCAATTTTTCACTTGAACATATACAAGTGGTTTCCATCTCTGCCGGATGCTTGACAAGAATAAGTAGGGTACAAGTAACAGAGGCAGAAACAGAGCATGCCCCTCCCCAAATACATACTTGCTTACTATCTTTACTGTTTCAAATTGATATCCGGGTCTTATGTCCGTTCGGATTTGCGAAAAAGAAGAAGAAAATATAGAAGAAGAGGAGCAAGGAGAGTGATTTCGTTCTTCGATATATGCCTCTTTGATTCAAATGAAAAACGCATTTTTCGTCGCACACGGAGGATCCCAAAGACAGCCAATCAATCTATCTCATCTGAACAGCCCTAGGCCCTAAAAAACAGTGCAGTCACAGCGAATGCGTCTATAACGTTTTTCTATTCGTTGAAATCAATATTAGGGCATTTACGGTCCATCTCCCTGGCAACCAGAATCATGATTTACTTTCCATTCTATCCGTCCTCGAACCGTTTGGTTAAAAATAATCAAGGAGACATTTAATGGGGTAGTTTTTGAAACAACGAGTCAGGGCAGACTGGAAGCAGCATTCCATAAGAATCCATCCTGTGACTCCTTTGCTCAATATTTAAACCAAAGATATTTTTTGAAGCAAATTTTAATGATGCCTTCCTTGCATGTGACTATGAAGTTGACTCCACCAACGACGAGTTTGAGGAAAAAAAGATGTCCACGTGGCACTAAACTAAGAGCTATGCCGTTTGATGATATCTCGAGCAGCTCTACCAAGAGTTTTTTTTGGGGGGGTTATGTGTTACTTACTAAAATGGCTACGACCTCTTTGACGATATTGTGAACTGAAAGATGAATCGGCTAAAATGAATTGACTGTTTAACCAGAAGAAGAGAGAGACAGATTAACAGTCAATTGATCATCTTCGAGATGTGATAAATCGCATAAAACCAGCTTGTATCCGGACAAAAACATCGTTGTATTCAGACAAAAACACCGTTGTATTCATACAAAAACACCGTTGTATTCATACAAATACACCGTTGTATTCATACAAAAACACCGTTGTATTCATACAAAAACACCGTTGCATTCGGAAAAATTAGCTGGGTATCCGCTCACCGGCAAAAGAAAACAGTTACTCATGACGAAAATTTAAAAGAACAATTTTTTCTGTGAGTTGCTATAAAATTTTTATACGATGTTTCTGTGGATTTGTTTACAGTAAATTAATAAGTTATTTTTTCTTGTCTTAAAGACAATGAATAACAAAATCTGTGACGATAATTTGCGGGAAAAGTCTTAAAGCTCTTTCTCGTATGAAACATACATTCGAGATCACGCTTAGCGGCTGGGTATAGGAACACCATTGTTATTTGCCATATATTCAATATTTGTGTTTCAGTTCATAAAATGATTCTTAAGTACATTTGACGGAAACATTATCATAGCAAGGCAAACCAAATACTTTTTGGTTAGGGAAATATTATCTTCTTTGCGGCTATGATTATCAAATATTGAGATTCTTTGCAACTATACATTTCTATTTCAAAATGACAGGGTCAGCCGATGGCATTGCTCTGACAACAGCTAAATGTTGGGAAGACGAGCGAGCTAAGATTTTCAAACGAGTGAGGTAAACCTCCGTCCTGGAGTCAAAGAGCATGCGTAATAATGACTTCGATCCATGCGCATGCTCTTTAACTCCAGGACGGAGGGTTGCCTTACTCATTAAAAGACATTTTCTTGTTCGTCCCCCAACAGGAAACATCACAGGTCGAATCACATCTGAAAAATTTGAAACAAGAATCGTTTCTGTAATGTGCCAAATAAATTATAAAGTAATGAAATAAGAAATTTACAAAAATGTGAATGCTTCATACTCACCAATAATACATGGAGTTCTAAAAAAAATATAAATACTTTTAAAGTTGATATTGTTTGAGAATATTTAAAAAGTTGGCTATGCGAAAGAAAAAATTATTTGAAATTAACAAAATATCTGTTTGTTGATAATAATCAAAAATTTGCAAGTGCAATTTAATTCCAGTGAGGAAAAATAACATAAAATCAGTAGAATTGAGAGGTTTCAATGACTCTTACTAAGCTAAGATGTAATGATATTGCACGCTAAAGAAGCTGACAAGTGAAAGGCGACTATAAACATAGCCCTACCTTGAAAATGTTTCTTATAGGCATTGTACCATGTGAAAATCTGTGCACGAAAACCGTCTCTAGCAATCTTTTTGCATAGTGAATACACCAACAAGCACAGGCCAGACTGGAAGGAGAAAAATGTCGATGAAAGATACAGGGAACCTCGGACAAAGAAGGGCACGAAACGAGCTGATGGGTTCAGTTGGATGCAGCGAGGCAAATACTAATGGCAAAATCGAAATACGTCGGGTTATGACAATGAAAAACCTTCTCGGGTGGTAATTCTGTGTAGAACGAACAGTAAAGAGGAAGAAATCGGATAACTCTTTGCAATAGTTCGAATTTCAATTACGTTTGGAATAAGCACCATCGATCTGCAATCATAATTCATACATCGGTTATTAGGGATCCTCTTTCTTAATTGTGAATATCATTCTGTTTTCTATAATTTCTGTGTTTTGTCGCACTATATAGCTCAAATACACATAAATCCTCTTTTTCTCTTCTGATTACTTATTGCCATGTCAAACAGAAAATAAAGATACAAAAAATTAAAAAAGTGACGTTTAAAAAGCAAGTGGTTTCAACTTACTGCACCGGTTCAGCAATGGGAGTAGTACTGGCTCCTTCGCCGTATATAAACGACGGTCGTAAGTAGAATAACGGATAAATAAAGAGAGGTCCGGCATATTCAGTCAGAAAAACAGTCGTCCATCCCACCTGAGGGCCTGCAAAATTGAGTGAAATATATATAATTGTAAGTAGTACTAATTTGTTCATAGCAAAGTATGGCAGGATTATGGAAAATAGACAAACTAAGGCAATCTTTCATGTTTAAAGCAAGCTTCAATACATCAGTGGATCGAGAACTAAAAAACAAAGGCCGTTCAGGTTATTTGTCCTACCTATTGGCGAACACTTCTTAGCTAAATCAATACTATCGAAATTTTAAAGGATAAAAATAAACCAAAATAAACAAAAAAACGTCCTTTATCATACGACCCTGAAATTTAACATTTTAACATAACAAGGTAATGAAACATAATACAACTTGACAATAAAGTTCCTAGTATGCCTACTTATTTTCCCAGAATTCCAAAGGAAATACTGCTAAAAGAAACAGGCTGTTGTTTCATGACCTTAGCATATCATGAAGTAACATAACGACACAAAACAGTGATTCTTTTACGCCTACGTTTGACATTTATCGGTATCATCTAGCCATGTGCCCCCCTCAGATTTGAAATGTTTCTGAAACTTAAGCTGTTGACGACCGCACGTTCCTTTTTATAGATGTTATATGAATTATATCTGTAGAATACTACAACCAACTGCAGTTCTCTACACCTTTGGCTTCATTCTAAGAACCCTTACTCAACACAAACTCAACACAAGACAAGAGATAATTTAAAACCAAGCATCTAGGCCAAGTCCATCTTTCAATCACTATTAGGATCTAGCATGTTAATTTTGCCCTTTTTATTGGACAGTTGCATTTCAGCTGAGATTAAGAATTAATCCTCTTTCTTTTCTGGGGTGAAAATTTGGGATACCTTCCAAAACGACAGATACTAACCTAGGTCTTTGAAGTAAATTTTACTTCCATCGGTTTGCAAGCCATGAGAAGCCAATGTTTCATCATCTTCCAAAGATTTGCCACCTTGCAGATCAAAAAAAGAAAGAAAAAATATTAAGATGCATTTGTGTCGTGTAATTTCACATTGAAGCATAAAATATCTAAAGAATGCCAAAAAATATTAACAGATAAGCCAAAAATAAAAATCCAAGCAAATTTCCGATTTGCTTTTGTAACATTTTGTGCTAATTGGTTTTTAAGCTAATGAATAATTATGTATGTAAGTTCAAGTTCTAATACTTATTTGTCCAACATTTAATTGCATAAGTCTTTGTTGTAGAAACATTTAATATTTGAGTTTGCAGAATGGCTCCAAGCCAGTGCATTTAGCTTTGGGGTCATTAAGGTGACAGAACTCAGAAAAATGTTTCAGAACATTTCAACAAACTAAACCTTTCTTTTCAAGGATATAAAAGCAACATATAATGAAATGTAATTTTTTAGCATATAACACTAGTTTCAATGTTTCAACATAAGTCTAATACTCCATTGAAGTAAACAATTGACTCACGTGGTTCAGCTTTCAGAGATTGCCTTTCAACATAGAACTTTTTTACTGCAAATGACAATTAATTGCTGTTAAATATAGCAAAATCAAATTATCTCATCACCCTGACTTTTTCCTAACATGATAATGACAAAGAAGAGGATATATTTTTTTAAATCTGTTTGAATTTAGATTAGAAAAGTTTTTAAGAAAACAATACAGAATACTAACCACACAAAAGCTTTTTTCAGGGCTCAAATTTTTGACCCCCTCACAGGATGTAACATGTTCTTTTACTTGGTACCCTGCTGCATTTGAAGATGTTTGCATGTAGGTCCTCATAACATGTCTAGCCTCTTTAAATTTTGTTTTGTCAAAACAGCAAAATAAACAAAATTGATCATGAATAAGAAAAAAGTACAAAGGAAGAAGATAGTTTTCTACCAAATGATCCAAGCCTTGCAAGGAGAGGTGATAGAGCTCGATCTCATGCACCTAGAAATTTCTACATGCTGTGTCGATCGAGCCCCTATCCTTACTAACCCAATTGTTACAGTGAATTTATTGTGGTATTTTGAATTCTAAAATAGGGTCTGTAATTCATTACATCTTGTCATATTTGTTTGCTTTCCATTACTTTATTAACTGAGCTGCAGACGTTCATTCAGGGCCGTCGCTAGCGGGAGGAGAGTGCGAGGGTGCGGCCCTAGAAAATTCTTGTCTGCAAATGTTCTAAAAGTAGAGTTTTGTCGGGTTTAGCTTTCAAAGTTCCCAAAGCAACAGTTGGGATAAGATGAGGATGTGAACTTACAAGTATTGCCCAAAAGCCCTCAGCAATTCAAAACAGAAAAAGGTAGCACTATGGGTGTCACGGAGGGGCAAATGTCCCCCAAAAACTTCAAATGACTCTCTTTCAGCAGCCGGAGTCCAGAATCTAATGTCCAATATCCAGGGCGACCTAATTTCTACCTAAAGTTTGGGGTTTAGGGAAGGGTCAAAGTTTATTGAAAAACTGTGAACGTTGATCCTGGAGGTACTGTAAGCCACTGTAAGCAGGGAAAGGGGGAAAGTGCCTCAGGGCCTTGAGGTCGAGGGGCCCTCAAGTAGTAATGAACTCAATTTTAAGAATGAAATCAATGAAACGTAGGTATGCCTAAAATAGTTAAAAGTTCTAAACGATTGAGAAGAAATGACTGCAAGAAATATTCTGAAATGCATTTTAAGACAATCTAAAGGGCATAGCCGCAAAAATTTTGTCGACTTTCGGGGACATCGTCTTTCGGTTTTGTTTCAAGGCCTTCAAAACCTAAGTACCCACAGTCACTCAAAAATTGAAGCCATGATTGACTAATGAGAACATCCTCTTTGATAAACAAAATCAATTGCTTCAAAATGCCACACCCCTACATTGAAATATCTTAGGCCGTGCCCTATTTTGTCGGCAAATTGGTGACTGGCACCCCCCTAAGTGAAAGTGCTTAGCAACGGCCCTGCGTTCATTAAATTCGTATCACTTTCACATGCTGCATGGTGACAGCCAGTGCACCTGCCATGGCACAGTAAAAAAATACTGAGCATCTGCATACATCAGAGGTCGAGTTTGAGAAAAAGGCAGAGTTCAAAACAAAATTAGAAATCAAAACATACTTTTCTTAGATAGCTCCTCTTTGACTTCTTTTATTGAGCAATATGGTGTAATCTGAATCAAAAACAAAGATAAAATTATAACATTATCAAAGGAAATTTTACAAAAACAATGTTAAACATGGTTAATCTCAATTCAGCAACTACAGGGCATTTTCAGCATCCACCATCCCTGGTATGCATCCTGGCATCTTAACTGCTATGACAATGATAAGTTTGAATTAGAATGTGCAAAATATTACAATGTAACACTTCTAGCTGTTTACCAATAGATGAATAAAGGTTTGTAAGAGATCACACAGGGTCAAAGTAATGTTAATGGTTCCTTGGCAGAATACCCAAGAGCCTTGCAAACAAAGTACACTAAATGTTGACATGCATAATAGAAATATGATATTAAGGGACCTAGCCAACACATTGAAAACATTGCAAGAACGCATATAGAACAAACAAACATACATTCTCAAGGGTTATCATGTGTTGCCTGTTGCTGGCTTTGTGAACTTCCAGCTAGAAGACAAATGTTGATCAATGAAAAACTATACTCAAGATAGAAGTGAAATTTATTTCTTAAATAATTAGCAAAGAAAAAACCAAAAGTGAAGCTATCTTGCAAGGTCCACAAAATGACCAACAATTTAATATTACATGTTTCAGCACACTCTGGATTCTCAATTAAATGCTAAGCTATGGTTGAGTCACCTTTTTTATAAGGGGTTCCCAACGTTTAAAACACTGCTCTTGCTCATAATAGCTCACAGTGGCAAAGCTGGACTCTAACTGATGGTCGTGCCCATTGCCCAGTGTGCAGTTCAAATGCGCATCTCCACTAGCATACCAAATCATATTCCAGTGATCTCAAAAGCACGTACAGTAGTTGCATGGCACTGCAATATTTATTTGTCAAAACTCAAATTGAATTGAATTGGAATGTATAGGAATTGTTTCTATGTCTCTTTTACCTCTTGATAATACTAAAAATTCATTGTTTTTCCAAATTGAGATGGGGGATCAAGGCACCTTTTTTATTTTTGGTATAATTAAGTCTAGATAAAATAAAAGTCATATGAAAATGTTTCTAAGAATTATTATATTATTATGTTTCTAAGATAAAAATGTTTATTTCAGTCAGTAGAAACCAAATACACCTGTAAAATCAAATTCCAAACAAATAATGAATGCAAGCAAAATTTGTTTTGTACACATAAAAATAGGAATTTCATTCAAAGAATTGGCAAAAATTGGCTTTGGGGGAGAATTGGTTTTGAAATTCAAGACATGTATAAAGAACTTAACTGATTGACAAATTTTCCAATAATACCACACCATTGAAACAGAAAGATTGAAACCTTGGCAGCATTATTTACCTAGCTACAGGTAAAAAGCACTTAACAGTGAGTGGCATACAGAAAGTATGAACTTTTTGAATAACTTTGTGTCCTGCTTTTTTGACAGTTTTGTTGAATAACATTGGGTAGTCTCTAATGTTAAGATTCGCCACTAAGCTAGATATCTGATTTAAGTAAAGGCTGAAGTGATAATGATGAATAAACTGTACTCAATGCTTGGCTATATTTGCAAGCCTTATTCATTCAAGTTGCTATTAATAAATGAATTATAAATATATTCTGCCTATTCATGCTTATACATAAATATATCCTGCTTATTCATGGTGAGGGTTAAATTCCTGAAATTATGTGCACACTCAAGGAAACTGCATATAACAGAATTACATGGAAAGCAATGACTCAAAAATAATCAGAAGACCCCTAGAGGCCAATTCTCAAAATATACCATCAGCAGCATAGAAAAAATCAGCAACAACTTGATATTCTTTCACTTCCTCGCATTTCAGGAGGGTAATCCTTTAGCATAACTTGTTTTCAAGGGGTTCTCTTCTATAAAAACTTTCAAAATTAAGTAGTTGCTATGAAAATTCTAGTTAAAAATGTAAAAATCCTTTATATAATCTAAAACAGATAGAGACTTTTGAGAGAACTACCTAATGTACATTTTGAGATATTTACATTTTGAGAGAATTACTTAAAGTGTTTTTATATTGAGCAGAGCATTCTTCCTAAATTTCTCAATTAAAAGTAAAGCCACTTGTGTCCTTGGTAAACATCTAGTTGATCTAGTATTGTTGTCTAAGTAAGTAATGATTGATTGATAAATTTTATTGTTTCCAGCATGCGACTTTCTGGTACAAATCCAAGCTAAAAACTGCAATATTTTCCATATTGGTCTGCTTCAATCAAAAGCATCCAAATGATATTCAAATTATTGCACATTTCGCCACACCAAAAGGCATCTCGCTCAATTGAATTTCCTTATTCTCTTAAGTTGAACAAAAATTTTTTTGATTCCTTAATTGATGCAACTCTAAATATATACCAGGCCTTGCTCTAAGTAAAATGAAGGTGCTCCATAAAAAAGAGCCCCTTAGAAACTCTAGGCGCTCTATTTCGCACCTCTAAATAAATTTCCTTGAGAGTATCCTTCGAGAGCTTTAGGAGATCGAGAGCTTCATATCGAAAGCTTCGGAAGAATGTTAAATATAAAATTCAACGGTGATACCAGAAAGCACCATAATATAAAATAACAAAACATGCAACAAACACTCTGTTGATATAAATATAGAAATATAATAAAACAAAGTCACAAAATTGTTCAGATTTTTCTAGATATGTAAGTTGCCATCATTTGATGAGCTTTTATCAGTGTCAGTATGACTACTGTTATGTTCAGCTTCACATATTGCTTCATCAATACGCATGGCTTTAAATCAAACATTTAACTTTGTTTCCTTTTTTCATGTTATCCATTCTATAAGAAACGCTAAAACATCTACTACTCGCAAAAGCAAATGAAAAATGAGAAGCAATGCAGTAATTTGGACGGAAACGTGATCGCTGATTTGCACAGGCGATTTTAAGTTATTAAAAAAACAGAAAATAATATATATACTTCAATAGAAGAATAACGCTTGCTCGAAAATCAAATGAATCTGCCAGAGAATATGCTTGATTGCCCGTGTCCTTGATGGTTATTAGAGGGTTATTAGATTAAAAATTATATCGAAAACCCAACGTTGAATTTGCTGACTTTTTTCTCAAGGGGTAATCTTACGCAAATCATAATATTGCGGTCTGTTGGGAAGATTGTTTATGCTTGATCAAGTTGATTCAAAAAATTCCAAAAATTTATTTTGCTCCGTGTTAATATTGTTTTTACGTTTTGAGGGGCTCTATAAATCACTCTCCAAGGCTTTTTTTGGGTGCGCTCTAGGCGTGCGCGCTCGATCGAGCGCCTTTCCGGGCAAGGCCTGTATATACGCTCAATCTACAGCAGAAAGGCAGTTTCCCTAACAAAATACAACTGCTTGATTTTAAATTGGAATTAGACTTAATTTGTTTTGAAATTGGACTGGAGCATATACAAACACCACTCAAATAACTCAGATAACAAACAAACATCCATAAAAGTCCTCAGGAACTAACAAGTAGGCCGCCCTCTTATGCTACAGGTTGCAGCTAGTCTTGCCTTTAGAAACGGGAATGACCTCGCCATTTACTCCACCTGCATTCAGCAAATAAGATTCGAGTAGTATTCATATATGTTTTCAAAAAAAATGTGATCTATTTATCTATTTTACTCAGAATAAAACCTATTTTTGGCAATATTTGGAAACCTTACTTTTGGAAATTTATGGTTGTGCCAGTCTCGACAGGCACAACCTTTGGCTTTGCCACTGATTGCTTGTGCTGAAAGCTCATGACCATGAATGGGAACAAGCTGTTTATTTTTATTAACTGGATTCTGAGTAGTGCTTCTGATGCTCTACACTCTGAGCAATGTCAGACAAAATTAGGATTCCATGTCTAATAATATGCTTCAATTTGAAGCGTAAAAAAGGTCAATTCAGAATGTTGAAATAAATTTTGAAAATTTGAGATAAATCAAAATGCTGGATAATATGCAAAATACTGCTGTTTTTGCAAGTCTTAAAAAAAGAGGGTCATCTCATAATTCTGGAGAACAGGGCTACACCCATTCCAGTGCGAAATCCATCAAGTTTATGAGGGAGGTTTGGTTTTCCAGCACAGACTAATGGTTTTCCATTTATTTTCTATTGTTTATCAGCGTATATCCGGTGTGTGCTTCACATGGGTTCCAGCTTGGCACCTAATTTTATCTGAAACATCTATAAAATGCAAACAAAGTGGTTGGATGTATTGAAAGAGGTCTAACATTATATCATATGTTTTACGTCTTGAAATTTTAATAGTTCAGAATAAAAAAAATATTGGTGTTACACCCTTTAAGCAACAATCATGATAACCATGCCCCCTTCTTATTACTGCCACTGTCACATGCTTTTGTAAGTTGCATTGTCAAGTGCATAAATTATCTAAAGTGTATTTGCCAAATTCTGCAGTCTTGCACCCACCGAGTTAATTTTTTGAAAAACCTTGCATCACACACATAACTCTGATGCAGTCGCTTATGCCTAGTTGAATGCATTGCTAAATGGAGCTCTTAGAATTAGCTAATCAGTTCTAAATAAATAGGGAGTGCTCTCTCCTCGATTAGCCTAGCTACTGAGAGAGCCCCTCCTTAAGAAATTCCCCTACATACAGTTCCTTTGTCTTCTTGATGTAATACTATATATTGTTTCTTTTAGATTTCTTTTGTAGCATTTATCTTGCATTAATTAGTTAAGCATGTTATATTTAATTGTATTTAAATTTTGTTTTTTTTGGATTGTATGTAGTGGAATTTTAAAATTATATGAAACTGAACTTGAACTGAGCTCAAAACTGCAATCCCTAAATTAAATTTGCATATTGCAAACAATTGCTAATCGCTAATCGAAACTGCTAATCAGTTGGTTTTTGTACGAGATAGTAAGGCTTTCTTACCTTCATAGTGATGGAATCCGCATTCAAACACAAGTTATGTAGACGTTATCTTACTGATGTCCAAAGGTCCAAACGAAACCAGGGAAGGGTCGCACCACGATTTGCGACAAGACCATTAACAAACAGCCTCGCATCGATGCTGGTGTAGATTCAGAAATGGTGGAAAAGGTTCTAAGATCTTGCTGTAGCTAAAATAGTCAGCTTTATGTTTTTTTGTGCAGGCATTGAGATACTTTTCGTATTATTATGTTCAGCTCTAGAAGCATCTTTTGAATAAAGAGAAAGAAAAAGACATGAAAATAGCCAACAGGGTTCGTTTGCTGACAAAACTATTGCAAAATGCCAGGGAACTTTCATTTGCTGAGTCGACAGGTGTGAGACAGCAACAGGCTGATGGTGTGTTGACCAAGCAAAATTTCCAGTTTCAAATATTAAACTCTGAGAAAGAGAGTGCCAACATATTTAAGTCTACTTTCTTGAAGGATTTCCTATTGTTTGAAGATTTTGTGACAGAGGATGAGGAGAAATGCCTTTTGGAAGATTCAAAGAAGCCTTTAGCAAGACTGAAATACGAATATGATCACTGGGACGGGGTTGGTGGATTAAAGATATTAGATTTTGTTGCAAAATTTTGTAGGAATGGTTGTTGATGTTGATTGGTTCCTATATTTTGTTCCTGTTATGACTGTTTATCATCATCATCATCAGAATACCTACTCCTTTGAGCAGGATAACAGCTAGTGCCAGACTGAAAGTTTGGGTATGCGAGGGGAACGCGTTCCCCGCCCAATAATTTTTTGCTCAAATCCCGTCCGCGCATTTTTGCAAATTTAGATTAATCTGAGCAGTTGGAGCATGGACTTTCGTGTGAATTCCGCACATAGCCTAATCTCGAGCCCTAAAAGTGCTATTTAAAAATTAAATCTCGCAGCTTTTAACCTGTCAATAATTTGTTCCCGCACAAGCATAGGTGACAGAAGTAATTCCCCGCGCACAAAAAATACTTTGCACTCTGGAGCTAGTGCCAGAGTGTCCCAGAGCTGCAAAAAATTATGGGAACCTGGGAACTAGATTTCCAGAAAAAAATTTGGCTTGGCAGAAAATTTTCAGCAAACCTTTGTAAAAAGCAGCTGCTGTAACCAGGGGCAGACTGGTGCCTAGATAATAGCTCCAGGCAATTTTGAAATCAGGACTTAACACAGTCTTTGTAATATGAGGCATGCAATTGTGAGGAAAATTTCCTTAAATTCAAAATCCAAATTCAAGTCAGCTCTGTTAATTTCCAAAGTATTAAAATACAGCATTTAACAACAGCATCACAAAGTAGTTGCGTAGTCTGTATCAACCATCTTACAGTGAAAGGTAGCCGGATCAAATGATAAAACATATTTTCATGAATATCTGCAGTAGGGTCTATTAACAGTTCTCGTATCTTCAAATGATTGCAAAACAATCCTGTTAATTTATTAATCAATTAAATTTAACATCATTGTAGTACACCAAGGAACAGTTTCTCAATCAATCTCCTTGGTTTCTCCTTAGTTTATAACATAGAAGGTCTTCTTGAAAACAGCACTCTATATTTTGGTAAGAGGGAATTAAAAACTAAAGATACAAAACAGTTTGTATAGCAAGTCAAGACACGTGAAAGCACCATACACAGTGTCTTTTCATGTTACAAAAACACCAACACACAGAGAAAGGGCAGAAAATAGGGGCCCACAAATATTGTCAGACTGCCATTTGTCTTCTGACATTTCTTACAATCCCTACTAATGGGGGTCTTTTTGGCAACAGCCCAGTCGCCTGCCTGTCTGGCTAGTCTGCCCCTTGCTATAGCAGAATGCTGTGCAGAGAATGCCCATTTTTATGTAATTAGGGTCCTGATTTCTTTTGTGATGTGAACTATGGTTTAAGAATTAAAATTATTTCCTTTGCAAGTGTTGTGATTTTTCCAGTCCAAGCCAAAATTGAATTTTTTAAACTTGTAGGAACAAAATTTGTTTTAGTTGATAAATTCTTTGATTAAATATTGTTTGCAATTCATGATAGCAAGTTTTCTGGGTCGACTTATACACCGGTGTGTTGTATTTTCACCCAAAATTAAGGGTTGACTTATACTCCAGTTAATTTTTGTGTCAAGAAATTTAGCAAAATTTCAATCATAAATGAATGTTCTGACATCGCTGCTTGGATTGCAATTGGCTGTTTAGTAAATGGGACACTGTCTATATGAAATCTAAAGAAACTAAACGAGTTTGATTATTGTAGATGCATCTGTAGCAATAGACACATCATAAATACAGCTTGAATTGAAGGCTAAATGTCAAATTTTTACTTCTTGTTCAGGTTATCTGTGGATACAGGGAGCTGGAAAAATCAAGTTGGGGGCCAGAGAGCACAAATGTACTTAAACGAATTCAAGAAACGGTATTTGATGAGAAATCTGTGATGCTTCCAGCTGTTCATGTGTTAGATCTATCTAGTGATGGGTAAGTTTTAAAGACAGAGCCTGACAAAGCCCTCCCCTCTCCCTAAGTTTCTTAAGTAGATATCCTAAAGGCAAACAGGAGGGTGGATTGATATTATGGTTTTCATTTTCTTTTTAATCATTCCAGTATGGAACAGCCTGCCAGAATAAATTGACAAAGACGAATTCAGATTTATTTTGCAGTCTATGTCAAATCGCCTCAAGTAAATTTTTACGTTGCATTTGACATTGCAGACATTGCAGACATTGTATTATAATAATGACCCAAAAAAGTTGTTCAATGTATGTTTGATGATGAAGATGAATGATGTTCTCAAATAGCATTATTAGTAAATACAATCAGTTCTGTTGCAAGTACTTGTTGTTAGGCATTTGGTGAATTTTATATAAATCTCCATTTTTTACGTTTCAAAGTACAGTCAATCATAGAGGTACCTTTTTTCTAATATTGCTTTTTAGCAAAGAATATAATCAAAAACAAATAATGGTGAATGGCTGCTACCTCTTGCTGTTAGATAATTATGAATAAGGAGAGGACAGCCTTGATATCCACGGAGGAGAATTTTCAGGTTGCACAGTTGTAATAAAACGTTTTTTGAAGAGGGAGGATTTCTGTTTCCCAAAGATTCTACACGTACATGCTTTGGTGTATAGCCCCAGTTCTGAGTTGCAACTCTCAGCTTCATGCTTATTGCTATTGTCAGGCAAATATTCAGTTTGAAGCTTATATCAATCAAGTTATTCTTTCATTCAGGTACATCAAACCTCATGTGGATAGCAAGGTAAATTAACTGTTTTTCCCCATCTATGATTCACTCACTCTAGCCGTTTTGTTCTCCTATTCAAGTATTAGATGATTGATAAATATATGTATGCTGATTATTAATTTTTTCACTGCTCAACTGGTAGGCTGAATTTCTAAATTATTGAAAAGACATTTGTTCAATACCCTTTTGATTGTACTCTTATTCTATAATATTATGGTTGATACTCCACGCTACTTATGTCTTACTGTGTTTTCCAAATAGAAATTCCATGTCCACGATAACACAATAAATACAAAAATGCTTTCAAGTAATCCCACAACACGACACCTACCCTAATTGAAAGTTCATTAGACGAAGGTGAACCTCATTTGCTGTTTTCAATGTACTTTTGATTTAAAGCAAACATGGATTTGTATTGATTGGAAATATATACATGCAGTTCTTTAATGAGAAACCAACAGAACAAAAATTTTGAAATGTTTTTCTAAGTAATAGACAATTTTTCTAGAATAGTTTGAGTTCAGCAAAAATAACAATTACAAATAACAACATTGTCTGTAAAATTGGGCTTGACTTTGGTTTAAGTCTCGCTGAACGTCATGTGCGAAATGAATAGTGTAAAAGATCTCTGGAGGCGAGATTTGGGTTGGCTCTATGCATTGCAATTGAATTCCTCTGCTTGCTCTACATGCTTGCTCTACATTTGATGATTTTTCTCGGGCCTACCGTGTCTAGTGTTAACGCAGTCGCTTTTTCTGATTTGAGACCTCTACAAAAAGCTAAATGCATTAATCCCAACGTCCAACTAAAACACCACACTTCATAGCCTTATATTCATGATTTTATACACTCTTTTAAATATGACTTTTAAATATGTAAATATGACATCCCCTTCGCAGTTTTGCGGCCGTAGAATTGCTGGTTTGAGCCTTTTGTCACCTGCTATCATGCGACTAAAGCCTAGTGACGTCACTGAGCAACATGCTTTCGTAGATGTTCTACTCAAGCCAAGATCTCTTTACATCATGAGGTAATGTAATATAATTTCTGTGCTAAAGTATGCCAGGTTTGTTTAGTAGGAAATCACGTTGTTTAGTAGGAAATCACATAGCTCCCCCCTCACCTTTGCAAACAGCTTTTTTTCTTGGTGTTACTTTTTATCTTTCACAAAACAAGCTACTTTCTAGGTAAAATCTAAATTGTTGAACCTCACTAATTTTTCGTTATTGCTTCATCTACAGAGACTTTGCCAGGTACGAACTCACCCATGAAATCCTTGCAGATAAAGAGTCATACTTAGGAAAAAGAAAATTTAACAGAGAGCGGAGGATATCCATTGTATTACGAGAGGAGCCACCTTCGTGAAGAAATAGTTGTCCTGAATGCACCATTCATGAGTTAAGAATAATCGAGAGCTGAGTTGCTTGCTTTCCTATTTCGCAAGGGATTGCTGCTTCAAAAGACGCTTGAATTTGTTGAAACGAATGACATATGTTCTGAAATCTTCGAACGGACAAGTGATTGCTGTGGCTTGATACTTAAGATTGTCGATCGAGTATTGTGTAGTGACTAAGAAAGGAAGTGTGTTTTATGAACACTAAATTACTCGCAAATAGCATTGTTCGCCGCCTACAATTTTGTCATGATATACCTGTGCCATTATTGAACTTATGCAACGCTGTTTTCTGAAGTTGTACGTCAAATTATACCATATTGTTTGTTAATTCTTCATATTTACTATAATCTAAATATGGATCCATTTCAAACGTGATTTGTGTACTATACACTTAGATATTAATGTGGTTATGTTTCTGTCTGTAAAAATGAAAATTTACAAATAAAATGCGAAAAGAAGCTTGTTTTGAAAGGGTAAATAAAAAACCTATTTTTATTTCAGATCGTCCCTGTAACTACTGATACCGCCAAAGAGTCCATGTTTCTACAGAAAACCTCCCATTACGCACAATGTTTTGAATAGTCTCGAGTTACCTTATCTTGGATTTTCCTGGCTGAATTTTTTTTTGTTATTAATTTTCTTCAAAAATATTGTAGCATTGATGCTAGAGGAAGTTGGTAATTTGCATTGCTTATGCATAGGCATCCTGAGACAAAAATTGCGAATGCTTTATTTACAAAACACTTACCTGGGTAGAATTAATTTTTGCTGCCCGATTGGCTCTGACCACTTTATCGCCTTTGGTGAGAGATGTGGGAGCAAGCTGAAAACTGGTCTTGGTTCTCCCGTTGTAACTCACCAGATATTGCAATAAAACATAAAGGCTCTTTCTTCTTATTTTCTTTCGTAATTTTGTAACAAAGATGGAAGTAAAATCATTATGAGACAATGAAGAAACATTTCTAAGTATCAAATACCCGCTAGCAATGGTAGAACGCTTTTCAGTAATCTGCTATAGATCTGCTATAGAATCTGCTATAGAATCTGCTATAGAAAAGCATTTTCTTTTCACACTTAATACCATGCTATGATGTCAATCATAATTCAAGCTAAACTGAAAATGTATTACTCAAACAAAATGTTAATGAACAACAGTGAATGGTGGAAGACATTGGATAATGAAAATCACTTGAATAAATAAATATTAAGATTAATCTTATTGAATTACAACACCAATCATTTAAGCAATATTTAGAGAACAATATTTAGAGGACAACACGCAAGCTTGTATGATCGTATTATGATTTATCTAATCACAGCAAGTGTTTTTAGGTGGCGTTGTTCTCACTCAGTCATTTTGCTCACATTTCAAAACACAATTTTACTGACGCGTACAACGAAGTTTTATGCAACTCAAAATCTGTTTTATGTCATTTAAAGTAATGGAACATCTGCATATCACAACACCACAACACGTGACCGTGACGTGACTGTGGCGTGATCAGCCATATGAGTTGCAGCTTGTGAGCGCGTCACTTGTGCATGTGTAGATTTCCAGAATGTGTCTTTGCTTTACAGCAGTATGACAGTGTTATTTCTGCGCTTTCATTAACAACACTAAAAGCTATTGCAACTTTACCACGTGCAAAAGATGATTCAAGTGTATTTCAACACTTTTTTAGACACAGGAAGCGACAGAAACAGGGGCGCGCTTGTGCTCCAAACCGGTAACCCTTATTTCTTGAAAAATCAAATTGTCATCGTTTCTGCGCTATTTTTAGCAGGTAAAATGTCTCGACTATTTTGACCCATTTTGTAAATCGAGAACCAAATTGCAGCCAGAGAAAATGAAAAATCGTTATCGAAACAATATATTGCGAGAGAAGACAATTATACAAACCACAATTTGATAGGATGCTTAAACTACAAGTCTTCTTAAGGCTCACTTCAAAAACTTTTTACAGGCCAAGGTGGCACACTTCTTTTGTAGTCGTGCCAATTTATTCTCATATAAATAACTCGTAATATATATATTGCCTCGATATAAATAATATAAATAAGTTGTAATTACAAATATTCCAATTGTTGAAGAAATAACACCTCCTTGACGTAAGCACTTATTATCTCTAAGACATTTCGAATGCAATTTCGTTATTTTGAAGTAGTTATTGGTTTCATCAAAACAGTCTTCCAGATTGCTTAACAACTATCAGGTCCACATCAGCTTTATGCTGCCATTTGAACAACGACACAAGAAAATCAAAAAAACCATAGAATTATTTTTGGCCTATGGATATGAATTTAAAAGCAATCTTGCATTAGTAAAAACTACTTGGAAGAGTTCATTTTCTAGCGAACCGGAGGCATTAAAATTCGAAAATTTTCCTTTTCTTTGTGCAAACCATGGTAGTAACTATAGGGTTGAAAGGTCTGTTATTATCATGTATATAGATATTGTGAATCACATTCCCTAGATTCAAATTGACATAATGTATTTCGGAGCTTTGTGTCAGTAGCTATGGATTTTCTGGTAATTTTTTTAAACTGGTAAATTTGTATTCTACACCCTCCCCAAACAAGGCCTGGCCCTGATTATGCAATACGCAAACTTTGCCGCCCAATAGATACTCCTTAAAAAGGTTATGGAAATAGATGAACAGTGGATCAGATGAGTACAGTTAATAGATGCAGTTCAGGCTGGCAGCTAATCTAGACTTGCAGGGCAAAGTATGAAAATGTTGAAACGCAAAAAACTGCGATTTTGTCTTCTGTTAATGCAAAGAAATCTATCCTGAACAGGTTTGTGAAGTTAAAAGAAGATATGGAGATTTCCTGAAGCCAAGATATATGGAAGAGGAATCGTAAGAAGATTCATTTATAAAGATGCACAATTCATCTGAATGGGTGAAGATCAAATCTGTTTTTATGGATGACAAAACTGCTGATATGATTGGAATACTGAATAACAACACAGCTTTAGGACGCATACGCAATGCTGCTCAATCGACAGAGATTGTACTATACTGTACCACTGAATTCTGCAGCTACTGAGCGAGTGTTCAATGAGATGCAGCCTTTAATCGCAGGATTCGACATGCCGTGCAGGACATCCAGTTATGCAGCATCGTGTTTGAAACTATGCATAAATGGGTTATATTCATATCAATATAGCTGAAATCGCAAGAAATCTCATCAATAAAGTGACCAAAGACTAAACTCTTTGGTATTTTTCTCTTCTTTTATAGTTCCAGATAAGCATAGTTTGTTGCTTGATGGAATTTGGTAAAATACGTTGCTTTGCTTTACCAAGCCATTGCCACGTGACGCTGCCTTATTTTATTTAAAACATAATAGAATTTTGCCGATTTTATATAGCAATTTTACTTTTGGTTTTCGTAGAGATAAATGACAATACTCTTAGCTACTATGTCTGTCTATAAATACAAATTAACGTGACAAGAAATGCACTTTTTTGAATTTTCGAAAAAGCCAGATGATAATGAAAATTTCAGGCAAAATTACATTAAAATGCCCAATTTGGGAAAATTCTGCTAACCTTGCCCTTAACTTATTATTATATCATGATAATTCGTTTAATCAAAAAAAGCGATTTACAGTAGCTACTCAATGCCAACTATTTACCAGCTGTTAAGGTAATAAACTATTTACAAACTTTACAGCTTGCAATCAATTCACCCTCAACCCCCCCCCCCCCCCACACCAAAAAATCCACCATGAAAATAGAGTCTTTTTGCAGGCAAAACTGTTTTGGCAGGTTATTTTTTTAAAAATGGATCTGCTTCAATATTTTTCTTATATAGCTTTAATGAGAAGGTAATTTATGTTTGACTGCCAGTGACATGGTAAAAACTGCCAGTGACATGGTAAAAACTGCCAGTGACACGAAATAAGAAAGGCCATCGATACTTCGATAGTTTGTGCTGGAGGGAATAGATTTCCAAATCCAAACAATCTTAACTATGAAATGATTCCAGCTTTATAACTCCCTATGTGGATGGAATCGCAATATACGAGGTTGCAAGTGTCTGTTTTATTTTGGTACGAAGAGATTGCTATTCCCCCTTCTTTCTGTGTGCTTATTTTTATATCTAAGAGTTAATGTTTGAGTGTGTATCAGGTTTTGTTTGCTTGTTGATGGTACGATGGTGTATTGTATAAATACTGGTCTGTTTTGAAGCGTGTTTGGCCAGATAAAAATATGTCATCGATAAATTTTTTCCAAAATATTGGGACACGCCTCATCATAGCATTGTTCAAGATATGTTGTTCCTTTTTTGCCAAAAATATGTCGGCATAATTTTGGGAAAGGGTCTCCTCATTGAGGTGTCTTGAATGTGTTGATAAGATTTACCATTAAAGGTAAATGATTTTGTTAGTGAATAAAAATCAGAATTTGTTTGAAGTATTTTATTTGCAGCGGAGTGGTTTTCCAATAATGGTTTTTGATGGTATCGAGGCCAAGCCTCTCATCTTGAGGAATGTTTGTGTATAGCGATTTTGCATCTAACGTGACCAACCACGACGAGTTCAGTGGGATGCTAGTGTGCATATCGAAAGTTTATTGTAAAAACTGAGTTTTGTCTTTTCTATAAATTTGAAGCCCTTTTTTATACTATAGGCCTAGAATAATTATCAAGGTATGATGAAAGTTTTTCCATAAGAGTATCTACCTGATAATGGTCTAAAGCAAAATTATGACGTCTAAGAATAAAATGTAATATGATGTATCATTTTCTAAAAAAAAATAAAGGCTCAAACGCTCTATAGTTTTCATGTTCTTTTCTAGCTTTCTCAACCTTTTTCAGGGCAAAATGTTTTTCGCAGGGCAAACATGCAGCCACAAACCCCCCCCCCCTAATAAAAAGTATGCCCCTGTTTTTCTTACACTTCTATTTCAATCCATTAATGAAATATCACCTCATTGGGCCTTGTTGTAAGTCCACCCATCATAAATTCTACATAAGACTGTTAGATTTATAGTAGATTAACTATATTTTGTAATTGTAACAACAAGGATGGTCTATTTTTATCCACAGAACTTTTACGATAGGATATGTCAGCAGCATGCCTTGCTGTAAACAACAAGGAGGGGGAGGGAGGCAATTCATTCATAAGATCAAATAATATCAAACATAAGTGTCAAACTACTGGGTAGAAAACTTGACGAAAGGCCATTACATTTCTGAATTGTGTAAAATAGCAGCTACACATTCGAACTTTCTGAAAAGATTGAAATCCTTCATTGGTCTAGCCGAAAATATGTTGTTGGAAGTTATTTATTTTCTGTTCATTTTCAAATTTTAATAATGATCCTTCGGTTTGGCAATTTTCTTCAGCTACACCAACGCAAGAAGTTGAAAAAAAAGACAGGAATGATCATTGAGAACTCTTTAAAAGGATAATGATAGTTCTGATGAAAGTATTCTTTGTAATACAGGTAAGAGGTACATGGCAAGCACCGCGGAGCAGGGGGCAGGGGGGCAGGGGGGCTGGGGGCTAAAGCCTTATTTAGACCCCTCACTTTTCTCAACGCTCCGCGGTGCCTGCATGGGAAAAGAAGTACGCATGAGAGACTCGACAATTCTTTGAGCCATTTCACCAAGAACCACACTGCAAAGCAGTGCAGAGGTTTTGGCGGACTGTATGCCATTCCACAGAGTTGCAGTACAAATGTGAAGTGAAGAAAAACCACTGACACCTCGCCTGTAGACCGGTACATGCCCTGCGTCTATGAAATTTGTGCATTGAATTATAAACTACAATGAAATGCTATGAAGTTTTCGAAAAAAGCTAAATTCTACTTTTATACTACAATCATGGACAAAATATAATGAGACAATCCAACAAACGGTGACTTCCCCTTTACTTCAATGTTGAATGAGAGCCAGATGTCATCATGTTCTTTCCTTTCTGCCTCATATTGATCTCAACAATGATACGGGGGAGGGGGAAGCATTGGCGGACACCTGGGAGGCGCCCCAATATTTGGGAAGATAATAGTTCTAAAACAATAGACATATGTGACGTTATCTTAACAGAACTGTAGGCTTGTAACCCTCAATATCTGGCCAAGTGTGCGCCACTGTGGGGAGGTGATAGACAAACATCTGTTTGTCTCATAATTTTTGTCCAAGATTGTAGCTTTCCATCCGGACCATTCTTTATCACGTTTATCAAGACCTAATCAAGATTTTTAATCATGCATTACTGAACTTACGTTAATTTGTAACTTGGAAACATAAAATATTTTTTAACTTGTTATTCGTATCAGTTTATCATCTTTTAAACTAGAAGCTATAAATATTTGTTTTAGAGCTGCAATAAGAACACCTAACACAGCAGTGGCACAAAACTAGACAATGGCAAATACGCTTTTGTTGAAAAAGATTTCAAAAAGTGGATCACGAGACTCTCTTCATAAAATTACATTGTCATGAGTATCAAGATAAAACCTCGACCGTAGATTTTTGAAGGTTGTATAGGGATAGAGTCTAAATTTGAGAAGTCAACATAAGTGCACCACAAGGCTCGTGCTTGGGCCCACTTCTATTTTTGGTTTCTTCGATGTTCTGCTGGATATTAAACATTACAGTTTCATCGTACGCTAATAACACTAGCCTCTGATACGGATCACCCAGGTATCAATCAACAGATAAAAATGGTTTTTATACTCCCAGATAGATTAGGCACAAAAATCAACAATGTATTCATGAAAAACTCCCAGTTTGATTTGCGTTATCTTCAAAATATCACTGCTGACATGAGTTTGCCGAAGAAAATCTCTGTGATCGAGCAAAATAGCTCCTCTTCTAGAGGTGCTGGAATTCTGGAATAGCCTCTAAGTTGATATTAAATGGACGTCAAATGTAAACAATTTTAAAAATTGTCCATTTTTCAAATTCTTAAAGTTTTATTCTTTTGTTATTCTTCTTTGCCAATTAAATCCGGTAAAGTTTCACACAGATACAAGAAATGGAAAAAGTTTTTATTTAAGAAGGCCGCTGCCAAGCTCCATCACGGGGTCATGGCACCCTGACCCTTTGATTTTTTTTTTACCTTACTGGGGGCTGGAATCCTAAAACGGGGACCTAGCCCCAGTAACAGCCCTGCATTTCAATATAATTGGCTCGCATTATGCTTAGGGACACTCTAGGAAATTTCTAGGGTGGGGGATGGTGGGGGTTAGAGATACATTCCCTTCTTGGAATCCAATTTGTATTAAATTTTTGGTCAGGACAAATACTGTAATATGGGGAAAGAACAGCCTCGACAGCTCGATTTTTTGTTTCTGTTTGACGAATAGAATGTCTCTGTTCATGCTGAATGTACGACTGTGGTTTTTTGTATTCAATGTTTGACGAATAGAATGTCTCTGTTCATGCTGAATGTACGACTGTGGTAGACATGTATTGCAATGACCCTTTCAAATTGGCAACAATGTTTTTTTTCCAGGATGTATGGCTAGGACTGTATCAAAGAAAATACTTTGCCATGTAAAACCAAGTTTCGAAGTTTCTTTACCGTCTGTTATGACTGCGAAGCAGCGATTCTGGTGTACAAGAAGACATCGTATCCTAAGTTAGAGGCGTTGATTTTTGTTTATTTTAACAGCTTATACATACAGTACGATCAGCTGTTTTCCCCCTGACATTGAAACCACTATTCTTTCAGTCTTTTTCTCCACGCTTCAAAGCTGGTGGCTATTTTGAAACACTTGTGTGCCTATTGTTAATGTTTCTTTGTTTGAATCTGCTTATTTTCACGCTCAACCAATCAGTATTGTTCTCCTTTGTCTTTACTCTGAATAACATGGATGTAACCTCGGAGACTGGTGTCAAGTACTGCACGATGGTCCTTGAGATGACAAATTCGTTGACAGTCGAACACAGCATGTACGCTTCTAAAGGCAAGGGCAGCACGAACACAGTACCTTCAGAAGCCGAAGCTAGTGAAAAGTAAGGGCCTTCAGTTGTTTCTGGTCAGATTACACTCAGACATTGATTACTTCTTTCTGCTGTGATCTAGCTGCATGTCTTAATAGCTCGTTGACTTCGCAAACCGCAGTGCCCGCACCTGCGAGCAGTACAATGGGTCCTGCTCCATTTCCACTGTTCCGCCTTTGTAATCAAGCAGTTTGCTAGGTTTCATTGAGTTGCTTTACAAGAGACTTCTTCCACCATCTCCTCGTTCAAAAGATCCAAATTTATTTTCATTGATTTCAGATTGGCGTTGTATGTGTACGAATACCTCCGCCATGTGGGAGCACCAAAAGCCGCACAGACTTTCTTGAGCGAGGTAAGGTATCTATTTGTTTTTGTTTACAGTTTATTCAGCCTGGCCCGATGTTTGTGATTTCCCGCGATCGACTGTAAACTGTGGCCTTTGTTAGTTTTTTCACACGTAATCCAATAATTTGTTGGACTAGTGTCAACGGGCAGCTAGATAAAGCTTTGTGCTGCGATTGCTCGTGCATGTTTCCAGTCAGCAGCCGCAATAGATTTAAACCTAAGACTCTTTTCAACCCTTTCACACGTCTTTATTTAGATACGATGGGAGAAGAACATAACTCTTGGGGAAGCTCCTGGCTTTTTGCATGCATGGTGGAGGTGAGTGAAAGTCAACTCTTCCTCGAGTTGCTAAATTTTAACTAACTTCCATGATTAACATATTTCAGCACTTTTTCCATTCACTATTTGACTTTGAAAGCTAGGTTATATCATCTATAAAGCCCCGATTTTCGAAAGCACCCTATACTATAGCCCATCGCCCATGTATTTTGACACTTTGATTGCCTAAAACCTTCCAGTCAATAATAGACATTCAAAAATATATTATCGTCAATAATAATGTGAATTATATTCAGGGCGACCATAAAAATACATTTTCAGTTTCAGTGCTGTGTTTAAAAATTTCTCAACATACTAAAATAATTAAAACTTAAAAAACATCACATAGTAACCTTTAAAATGATTAAGTAGTAACTAACAAGCTTAATAATTTCTATCAAACATTCTCATTTTGCTGACTTTTATTTTCATTTCTTTTTACACCCTGCTTTCCTTGCTGATATTCCAGTTCCAGTGTGTTTGATTTATAGCCTGTAATGGCATTTATTTCAAAGATGCCTAAGCATGCACAAGTATCTGTATCATCCATAATAACTTTTATTTATGAACATAGTAAAATGAAATGAGAAATGCTGTTTATTGTTTGTCTTGAAGTGCTCTTTTCTATTTTCACAGAGCTGTATGCACTTATATTATACATGCTTTGGTTTTCGATTATTATCTCTTGTTATGAGCACAGAATCAAGTCGAAACTGCAATCCCAGACCAATATAGTTAGGACTTTTCAAGTAAAGTTCATATTTTTCACTTTACATTGAAAAATGGCCCTCCCTGATTCAATGTATTTCCCCTCCCCGATTCAACATTTTGCATGATTTTGAGGCATCAATAATAAAACTACCCATCATACTAGAGTCTAGATATAAATTGATAATATTTTTGAGATGCAGCAACATGTGCATACCCCATCACTGCCATATTTGTTCTTAGAATATTCCCAGCCTAAAATCCTCTTAGAATATTCCCAGCCTTAGAGTCCCAATGAGTTGCAAATAAAACATAATTTACCCATGCACGTGAAATAATAGCTCATTTGCTGCAAAAGTTTGCAAAAATTGAAACATATATAAATAACTAAATCTATGGACCAAAGACAGTATACACAATGAAATCCACATATATATTTAGTGATAGAAAATGGAAGGCGTTTGAACATCTGAAGACAGGGTTTTGACAAACAGGACAAAAGGTTTCTAAGAAACATTTTGCTAAACTGCAGCCATTCCCTTTCCCAGCCCTTTTTTGAATTTCGAAACTTCTCTATGCAGCAATTGTGATAACGTTTCTAGCAGAATTTTGGCTTGAGCAGTGAACGAAATATTCACAATTTTTATTGAACATAGTTATTAAGTATTAATTTTAATCATTATCATCAATGGATTCAACGAGTAAATTTCTCCCAAGGAGCTGAATGTTGGTAGATTCAGCAAAAAAAATCCAAAAGTTTTTGTTTTCATGAGGATACTTGCTCTGTACATGGTCAAAGTTTGCCAGTAGATCAAAACATAAGATTCATTTTACCTAGATGTTGAATGAAAAATGGCATTGTTTATGTAGTATAAGATGTTAATTTCCATCCCAAAAATGTCAAAAATTGGCTGAAAAGGCCAATATAAAAAGTTTCAACATGGCAGCAACATGAGAGTAAGATTTTAGTACTGAAGTTACCTAAGACAGTATTACCACAATATTTTTTGTAATCTGAGCGAGGCTATGCCAGGCTTTGTGTATTTTCCATGTTTGCTATTGTGAAATTCCTTAGATCATTCTTGAACTTTGTCAAGCTGTTACTGATACATGAGATACAGGAAGTCATCAAAATGATGTTTCATTGTTACTTTGTGACTTTGACTGACTTTTCTATAAGTCATCTGTCATTTGATCTGATTGTATAACTTCTCATACTGTTCAAACAGCTGAGAATGTTTGCTCCTGCTGATGCAGCCAGTATTTGAATTCAATTTGAATCTATTTTGCCACTTAAGATTTTCTGTTTATGTTAGATTCATGTTTCTGCCCAAAACATTCTCCTTCTATGCCATTTTTCAGGTTAATTATTACCAAGACCATTGTCTGTTTATGTTAGATGTGTGTTCTTCTCAAAAAGTTTTCATCTATACAGTTTTTCAGGGTTAATTGTTACAAATATCATAATAAAATTGCTTTGAAACTCAAATATTTTGAAAGGTGCTAAAGCGTTTTGTCTGACACTCTTATGAATTAAACACCAGAACACAGTTCAGAAACTCAAAGCCAGGAAACAGTGCTGAGTTATGTGTCAGACGCTCATTTACAAATCAATACTAGGTCAAAAACCAAACACATTAATTTTTTCAGTAATCAATATGTCTTCATTTCAGAGCATTTCATTTTCCATAAATTCTTTCCATTGCTATCAAGGCCCTTTAATTTTTATATATTTGATAGTTTACTACCTCTTATATTATAAAGCAAACGTTTTCAGTTCATTACTTATTTTTGATTAACATGTGTAATTTTGCTTGTGCCTATACTGTAAATTCTAATTAAAACTTTCTTGCTTTGGTTTTTTGTGTTGACCTAGTGGGAAAGCTTTCTTCCTTGCATAGTCTTCTAAAAACCACTCTTTTTGCACATCACAATCTTAATGCATTAGCTCAGTATTTTCAGTCATTGGTGAGTTGATTTGCTCCCCCATAAGTATTTAATGCCTGGAGGACAGGAAGGTCCTTATGAGAAGAATGAACTAGCTCCCCCTATTAGCAAAATCCAACTTCATGTATTGCAGCATCATTTCTAAAGAGATTTTGATTTGTTCACTCACTTAGGTTCTTGTTTTTGAATTTCTTTTCTTGTGCACATGCAAATGAATCAGTATTATTTTTAATCTTGTAAGAGTTGATTAATAGCAATACATAGAAAGATTGTTGTCAATATCTTTGTTGATTAACTAACCCCTTAATCCTAGTTCTTCATCTTTTTAAATATTCTTTATTGAACTGTTTTATCATTTCTTTCAAATTGGTCTTTTGTTTCTTTGTCACATGAGGTAAGACTCTTTGTCAAAGAGTCACATTGATCTCTTTTGTTAGGTATATAGTATTAGTACGGTATGTTGATTCCTATTCACATTGCTTGTAAGAGTATCCCCTTTCGGGGCCAAGCAAAAGCCAACAGTTTTGTTATCAGTACAAGGTCTTTGTCTTATCTTTATTTAATTTTAAAGCCACAATAGCAAATTTGTTGATTTAGATATAATATTTCTGCCTCTGCATCCTTGAAGTGTCAAAATACATTCATACTATGTTTCCACCATTGTGTTTCTATCTGACAATTTTGTCATCACCCAAAGTATTTTACCATTGACCATTGACAACTTGCATTCGTTTTATAATCACAACCAAAATCTTTGTAGTGTGTTTTGGGATCTTTATTGTGCTGCACCTGAGCGAAGAGAAAGCTGTGACCATTCATCTGAGGCCAAAGCATTCCACGACCTGGTGAGTGCGACCATTTCTCTATTTCCCTATTCCAGTGCAAATAATCGATCGATGTAAATGTGATTTAAAATGTTTTAACATATCTGGTAGCTATCTTAATTAAACCCCCCCCCCACTCTGTATTTAATTTCTGTTACACAAATCCAGTATTTTCTAATTAAGGGAACTGCTGGAAAATGTCTGGTTTTTCTTTGTCAGTTCCATGCTGCGTTTGCCAATTCTGAATAGTTACATGTAAAATTGAGTTGAAGGTTACAATGTCTTGCCACACAATGTTCAATTTGTATTACCCTAATTATGCAAAATTTTATTTTCGAAATCTCACTCAAGTCTTTTTGTCTGAAAAGCCTTTGAATGTAATAAATTTTTAAGTAGGTGAATTTTTGCAGCAGGACATTCAAAAGATCAAGTAGAATCCGTTTGTTTATTTTAAAAGAAATCTGTTTCCAAATCCTCAATAATAAGTATTGTCATGCATCTTAAGATGATAATCATTGCAGGGAAGTAGGTTTATTCTTATGGGTATCGACATTTTATGTAGGGTTTGCTACGAAATGACAAGAGTGTCCTTGCTGCAGGTGTTCGTTCGTTAGCACGGCCATTGTGCCTCTCTACCTTGAATATGGGTCGCCCATGATTATTAATAAGGCACTGACAATCTTAAGAGATAAAGGGAATAGTTGAAATCATCAATAAAATTCAGAGGCAGGCCACGAATATACCATGTAATATTTTAGAAAACCCCTTCAAAAGGGTATCAGTGACCTTCGCGGAGGCTACGTAAGTTCTTATTCCAACAAGCTAGGCGGTCCTTACCTATGATTGGGTAGGTTAAGGACCTGTATGGTCACTCGCCGGGTACTCCTAGTCTAAAGAGCACTACACCCGTATGGTGTACCACAAAAGTTGGGTTAGCATGGCGCTCTTTCTGGTGTTGCCTCCATGGCAACAGATCGGCAGATTAAGTCGTTGTCATGGTAATTGCCACGCAGCCAATCGGTTTCGTGTTATGGTTTCGAAACCCCGTTCAGAAGTATTTTGCAAAAATACAAGCGCCTTTCCTGGTTTTAAGGTCGAACCGCATTAATTGTTTTTTGTTTGTTTTTCTTCTCAATATACAGTGGAATCCCGATATAACGAACCCCGGATATAACGAACCTCCCGGTATAATCCCTTGGATTCTGCCTAACAAACTCCTTACTAAGTCTCTCAGTATAACGAACCCCGGATAAAACGAACTTTCGCTATTACGAATCAATTTTTATAATTACTCTCGATATAACGAACTTTTCATAAATTTTTCATCTGCTATTTTTGTTTATTTATTTATTAGTTCATTTATCACTTTCTCTTGGGGAAAATTATTTTTGCCATCGGCAAAACATGTTGGTGAAACATTTGAAGCACTGGCTGATAAGGCTCAGAGCACGGGATGAAAGTTTGATTGCCTCAGAAATTACTGCGAATGGATACACTGACACTAACGAATACCTTGTATTGAGAGACCCAGATGGAGAAGCAGAAGGCAAATAAGAATGTGAAGTAATCGAAGATATCATTCACCCCCAACTAGGAGTGAAGTGATAACAGCTTTGTCAATCTCTTGGTCTCAAATTATAAAAGGAACATTAAGATTTTCAATGACCAGTCAGTTGTATTAATTGAATTCAGATTGATTTTTTGGAATTAAATGTGCATAAAGATTGGAGATAGCCTAAACAAGCCCACCGCAGCTTTTTTAGGAGTGAACTGCGAAAGGACCCAAAAAAATGCTATCGAAAGGACCCAGTTTAACGAACTCCCGATATAACGAACTATTTTCTGGTTCTCTTCAGAGATCGTTATATCGGGATTCCACTGTAGATCAGTTTTCAAGAAGGCAAGGAAATGTTTTATATAATTTCATTGACCCTGAGAATTTTTCCAAGAACGTGTTGGTGACTATTGGTTTTCCATACTCCAGTCTTACTCAAGCACGTACAACGAATGTATTCTCTCAAAGAAAGGTCTTCTCGCGATAAGTTTTTATCTTCAGTACATTAAAGTGCTGGTGATAGTGCTGGTGATAGTGCTGGTTAAGAGGCTGATGCTGTTTACCAAACGGCAGGTGATGTGCTAAGGGGATGTTCTTACAGAGTGTGTTTGACTAGGGCACCTGTTTTATGAAGCATCATGTCCCCTTTGTTTCTCGAACAACTCTGATTTTGCTTCGCACGCAGGGAGCAAACAACATGCAAAGTTCGTATTTGCACTTACCAGTTTGTTTGTAAAATTTCCAGGGGGATGGCGTTAGATACGCTGCATTATGATATGCTAATTGATCTACAGTTATTGTCTTGCAATCAATTCCCATTTAGCTTTTCCATTTTAAGTAGTATATCCCGCCTTTTAAAATATCATCTAGATACCGCCAAAATGCCAACATTTTTTTCCTGAACAAAGACAATGCGATGCGAGGAGAATTGTTTTCCTTTTTGCAGTATTTTCAATTCGCTTGCAGTTACCAAGAAGCACTTTAGAAAAAACTATTTGCAAAACTATAGGCAAGTAGTTAGGGATCTTCCTGTTTCAAATAGATATACACATTTTTACAAACCAAATTGCATGCAGAAAAAAAAATAACTTTTGTATAAACATTCGTACCGTATTTTACCTTATTAAAGTTTAATCAGATTGCTGTTAATAAAAGGTTGTCATAAACGGATTTTTCAAACGGTACCTTTAATTGCATCCCGTGACCATACTCTTCAGAGCACTTTCGAAAATTATCAGATTCATCGTCCAATTTTATCTGCGAAATTTTCCTTACCCCCAAAGAAGGTGCAAAGTATAGAGAGAATGCATATATCAGGAACCAACAAATATATATTTGTATACGTGACGTATGCACGATTTTACTTTTGAGAGTTATTGGCATGCTTGATATTGATTTGGTGTTCAAATAGCTGATGTTTGCTTTCAATCGCTAAAATCCAACAATAATGACAGAACTTTCCCATTTAGGCCTATTAACGACGGTTAACAATAAAAAATGTCATCGTATACTCAATAGTCCACAATGTGTTACAAGACTGAACTCGTCTTTTGCTGCAATGTCTTTCCCCCATCAACCCCTTCCCCCCTTTACAAATTTGAGCGCATGTTTAGAAGATACGAACATTACGTTGGTCGAGTGGCTGGCTTATTAATTCGGAGAGTTGCCAATGGCATGACTTTGATCCAGCAGTTGTTATTTTAAGGAACGCTTTCGTGTTTATAATCAAAATGAAGAACATGCACGTCTGTTCTGTTCTGTTCTGTATTAAGTTGTTACCTTTAGAATGCTATGTAGACTTCACAGCAAATTACAAATTGTAAATTGTGCAAATTACACAGGGTCAGCTACCCTTCGCTTTGTGTCTCGTGCTTCAGTGCAAGCTTGTCTAATCATTTGGTTTATCGAAATAAAACAAGGCGAGCAGATTTAGCAATATTGCTGAAGGTTCCATTCTATTCAACATTTTTCACATAAGGACACCCAAAAATGGAGCTAAATTTTTGGACGAAGCCAAAGCTTGTCTTGCCTAGGCCGCTCGTTTTGGGATAACACTTAACAAGATATTTTAAAGCAAAAAGAAGCTAGCTAAGGCTTCATACACTCTTATAGCAGCGCAATCAATGCAGGAATATAGGATGAATGTAACTGGTACACAATATCATATGTAAATTGATTGTACCAAGTTATCGAAGGACAGCAATGCCACAATAACAGCTCTGAATTTCTTCAATATGGACGGTCGCGCCCGATGGTGAGAAGGAGGGCCAATCAAAAGCAAAATCCACCGACGTTATCGAAATATAGACTGTAAAAATGAGAATTTGATGACGATATTAGTGGGTTGAGAATCTCATGCGCTGCTTTCCTGGAAATAATAAAAAAGTTTGAAATAAGCTTTCAGTTGCATATTTATAGTTTAATTGGCACCTCAATATAGTTTCTCTTTTTCTAAACCGAATTCGCATTTCGCTTTTAGAATTCAGGAACGCTACCATCGCCAAGCTATGCGCCGGGCCCACCAAATGACATGCCGATGGGTGGAATGCAGCCGGGATTTTACCAGGTATATTCTGCCATTTGTTGGGTTTTACATTATTCTTACACTTCAACATATATACAAATATCTGCTTTATATCTGCATTGCTTTGATGATCAAAGAACTCTTTCCCGTGCGTACACCAAAGGAACAAACATTTTTATAACGATAATTTAGGCTAGTATTATATTAAATGTGGTTGTCATATGCTGCTTGATAATAACTCACCCCTGAAATGGACATTGCTAGTATTTTGTGTGATAAGAATGTTAATGAAAAATGAGTTTTTTAATCCTTAGTTGTGGTGTTTTTTCCTTCGTGTTACATTTCAGATCTTCAAATTTGATGTTATGTTATGCTATGTTATGTTATGTTATGCTATGTTATGTTATGTTATGTTATGTTATGTTATGTTATGTTATGTTATGTTATGTTATGTTATGTTATGTTATGTTATGTATTCAATCAATGCAAGAGCCTTTTTACTTCTGTATCGTAGCCACCACCGAACACCCGACACCCAAGTTTATCCCAGTCGCAGACCCCTCCGCACCCACAACCGTCGCCCCTGCCGCAGACACCGGCACAAGCAATGATGCACAGTCAGGTACACCTTGAGCAATGTCAAAATCACCTTAAGCAATTTACACTGTAAAGCAATATGTATTCAGTTACAATTAAATATGTTTGTATTTTGTTCTAGGGTGTAAGATGCAGTTCATTGCTATTGGTCCAGATCTGCAATTCATTGCTTTTTTTCCCATCATAAAAATGTTTTCTAGCGACGCTTTAATTGAATTGTGTTTGTATTAAGATTTTGTCAAGATAGAGAGAAAGACTAGAATCACATTGGAGAAGATATGAACAGCTTGAAGAGCTGCTTGTTAGTAAAAATATGTACAAAGAAATAACTCAAAAAGTGCTTCCTATCATTTTTGTTTTCCTGACCTTCATTCTGAATTTCATTCCCAGTACATGCAAGCTCGTTACGGTGGCCCACGTCCGCCAGGTCTTCGAATGCCAGGCCAGGTACGTATTATCGGCAACCATTTACCATAAACTGTATCCCCATTCCCCTGATTCCCCCTTAACTTTCTTCCACTTATATGCATTTACACGTGCGAGTTTATCAGAAAACCGGGGTTAGAGGCAGGGAAATCATTAGAAGCTTATCCACCAAACCTTTGTCCCCTACTTTCATCCTCACTTTAGAAAAACTACCAAACTTTAGTAAACCTATAGACGCCTACTTTAAAATGTAAGAGTTATTTTTCACAACTTAATTGAAACCTTGTAAATGTGTCCAATTTGAACTTGTTTTTTATCATGCTATTCTTTGTGATATTGTAAGTTCTGGCAACTTTCCTTGCAGCCCGTGTCATCAGGAGTTCCTGGGCAAAACATGATGCAAAACTCGATGGATCCATCACGTCAGCAGCAAGCACACAGCCCCTACCAATGTGAGTTTTGCCAATCTCTTCTCTGTGCTTTCTTGCATTCGGATTAACCTCAAGCTACTCTGAATAACTAAAAACATCGTTGCCTGGCTGCATTTTCTTGCATCCTTGAAGCCTAAGCGTTGCACTTAAACTTGTTTGAAAGTTCTTCGTGTCCAATTTTATACTTGAATTAGATGCATAAATATTTGTCGAGGCAGTTATTCACCTCGTTGTCATTTCTTGTGCTGTTTACGTTGCTCTTTCTAGAACGAAAGGTTGGTTACAGATTTATCACAAAATAGCTTATATTGCATCAAAATGGAATCAAAATTACATTGTTTACTTACCTTGAAAAGTTGATATAGTCCTGCAAATGGTAGATTATCTTTCACTTTTGAAGAGAAGTACTTGTTTTGATTTCTAATTCTATTGTCTTGCTCGTTTGCCTGTTGTATTGGGATTTTTTACAGAACGGCAAAGAGCTTGATTTTGCACAAAATTTTCCCAAAGCCGAGCAGTTCCTAGGGACGGTCTTAATGTACCATCAAAGCGTGTTATTATCACCCTTTGATGATTTGGATTCTCAACTATTCCGTTAATATTCCGTAAATATCCAATTCTCATCTCCAGCCCATTATTGGTAAAGGCGCTCAATATGCCATTGCCCTTTGCTTTTAATGAATTTTATCGTGATGAATTTGATTTTTTCCAGCACAATCGATGATGAACCCGATGCAGAGAATGAACCATTCCCGGATACCCGTCCCACCCGTGAGTCTATTATGTCCATCGTTACTTCAATTGAATTTAACTGATGTTATTGATGTCCTGTATCTGATAAAACATGCACAACCTTTTTCGTTGTACTTTAAAGCACCTTATTCGTTGTACCTTGATTCAAGTTCCATGCCATGTGATAAGACAGTGAATTAGCAGGTGGCTGTCCTAAGTGTATAATCAGTCCCGCTACAGTAGCATTTGTAGATAAGCCAATGCCATTGCTTGTCGACAATGCGACAATCAATATTCGTGTTTCTGTTATTTGCTGCAATGAGCGTTGTTCATTCTGTATTCCATATCTCAGCTATAAAAAGATCGCAAAATACAGCTCACCAAATATCAGTAAAGCCTTCGCATTAGGAGTGCCAAGATCAGGGATAAGAAGCCCTTTTTTATCCGGGGGAAAACTGATCGATGTTTGACACCTTGGTTGGTTAAGGCAAGGCGCGGGGGGTTCTGTGCCAAAATTTTTCGGCAACAAAATAGCCTACTGTGGATCCCCATTTTAATACATGGGACGTTGTCTAGTATTGTTAACAATTGTGCCAAAATATATCTTCGGGTCCCTATTTTTGACTACAATCCAGTCCCGTTTTCAACTTTTATTAGCAAGTTTGAAATTCCTCTTTAGATTTTTCTATTGAATTTTTTTAATCAGGTTTAAATTATGTCCCTTGCATATTCATTTAATGTATTTGAGAGAGTTTTTATCCAAAAGCAAGTCAAAAACTTTTTATATTTACTCGAGTGAAACAGCTTGTCAAAAAAAACTTTTCCTCTAAAGAAAACGAAAAGCTTATTAATCTCAATATGTTGGGTTTTAACCGTCGTTGGGTTTTACTTTGTTGTTAAAAAGGAAGTTCAAATTTAAGGTGTCAGTTTTTCATAAAATCCAGGTTTTTTAATACTCTATGCGATATTCTCCCTTGTAATAAGTTGTTGTTGTTGTTGTGGTTGTTGTTGTTTGATTATTTGCCACTCATGTCTTACTTTCACTTCAGCTGCTTAATTTTTCCATAAATCAGCCGCATCAAGCTGTTGAGAATAATATCTTTCATGTTTCACCACCAAATCTACATTACCATCCTGTTGATTTCCTAGAACTATAGCCCTATGCGACCGATGCCAAACTCGACAATGGGTCCAACTGGAATGCCAATGTATGTTTGTATCTAAAGCTTTTTTATTATTTTCAATGCTGCTATTATTGATAACTCTGTACCCTGAGTTATAGAAACTTCAGTTGAAGAGAATTTTAAAAATATTAAGAACTTGAACGAAATTTTAGAAACATGGATACATAAATAGCTTTTGGGTCCCTTTTTAGTCACTGATGGTACAAAATTATCCAATGAGACCTTTTGTTGCCCTGCTAATTTTAATTACTCATTTGTTTCTCCTCTTCGTCATAATGTTCGCAACTCTCTTCGTCTCATGATCGAGATAAGGCAAGGTCTAGGTCTAGCGTAAATTTTTTCATTTCCTTTTACCTGATAGCGTTCCTTGACCCTGGGGTCGTTTCTAGAATCTGCTTGAGGCTACGTTTCATTTCATTCATTTTGTAATATTGATTTAAGGTTTGATAACGTAATTTTGGTCTAGCAGGAGTAAAATTGTATTTGGAAATGTTAATCAAAATAACTGAAATGTTTTACTGAGTAAAGGCAACCTGTTTCAGGGGACCACGTGGCCCATGGAGTGCAGCAACAACGCCGGTAGGTCGAGAGTGCCCATTGCCTCTATAGCTTTTATTTGCAACAGAGTTCATTGTAATCAGTTTCTTCAATGTCTGTATTTATATTCTGTACCAATGGGAAAAGAGTTGCTCTCGTTACCTGAATGGGTTTAGCGAAATTCGATTAACACTTGAACATATTTATAAAAGGTCAGAAATTAAGATCCGCTCTAAAATTGGCCCTGTGAAAAAATTTACAGTAAGAAGTTAATCAAACTAAATGAATAGTTACAATCTAATTCGTAATAAAAAAGTTAAGATACGAAGATAAGAGTGGCTTCACGTTACAGACCCTCGTAAGCTTTCAATCCAGAAGAAGATGTTGATTTGATATTTGTTTAAAGAGGTACTAGCAGGTAATACCCCCTTTTGGAAAGGATTATTTTATAAAGCGCCAAAAACCGAAGTACAATTTGCTATTCACAATTTTACAAATCACCAAAATTCTTTCTACGAAAGTTAACCACCTTCCTAACCTTCTTAAGGAATGTTTTGGCACCCCGTTTATGCTAGTTATTCAAGAATTTTAGAGCCAGCAAATTTCACAACCTTACACCATTTACGTATTCTAGATGTAATCCCCAAAATGACTTTTAATCCAAGATGCCAGTTTTACTAGTATTTGCTATGTCAACAGATTATATATCAATTTGCATAAGAACGGAAGATTAAACTTGCCTTCTTAAAGGGATTCTTCTTGATCTTTGTTTGACAAAAGCAAGATTAAATGGGTTAGCAGTTACCCTGACTGTTCCGGGGTTTCTCGTGAAAGCTAGAACGTCTGTAATGTGTGTCTTTTGGCGTCTGCAAAATCTGCTAACATGCTGTAATATATGGTTGCAGCCTCGGAATGGATCTGTCTCCGGAAATCTGTTGCTAGCTTTTTGAACTGCAGATCAATTTCTTGGATTATAATTGGCCTTTTTTGTTGGCTGATTTTTTATTATTTTGCTTTATATTGTGGAGGCTCTTAACAAATACAGAATACCGTATTTTCTCTAATGAATGCCTATTTTGCAAAGAACGCCTCCCTCTAACGAGCTCCCCCTTTTTGAGCAAAAATTGGAATGGCTGCCCCTCTTTAATAAGCGCGACCAAATATTATGAAAAAGAGGGAGACCAAGAAATCACCGCAATCAAGAAATCACGTATTTGATAAAACCTATGTTGTTTCAATTAGGAAGTTCTCTGCAAATACTGACAGAACCAGATGTTCTTCCAGATATTCTTTAGTTATTCTTAGATTTTCAAGATATCACACCAGTATTTATGCAAATCGACGAGGGTTCCGACACGGTGATGCAGATGGAATGTTATTTTTTAAAAAACAATAATGGTTTGAATTTAAAAGCTCGCCTTTTTTTGGATTTTTATCTTTTTTGAATGAGTGCCCCCTCTTTGAGGCAAAAACTTGAATGAGCGCACCGGTGCTCATTAGAGAGAATGCGGTATGTAACTGACTCTGTGTTTGATGCGTAGATGACTACATAATGGCTTGATTTGCTAGGGTGCCTTGTTTGAGAACTTTTTAAAACAAGGGTTAGTCTTGATTTTATTCTTATTCAATTCGTGGTAAAAACACGTGGTGTCGAATGTAACTCGTCATATTGACCGGATATGATTCTTCAAATACTGTTAATCACTTCTATTACAAAACAGCGAAGAAAGCCTGAAAAAGTTCGATTGCCTGATTTTATCTACACTTTAAATCTCATTTTTAACAGACATCAATGACGCCAGGTCCCCCAGGGACGCCAATTTTGCCGAGTCCTCAAGGTTTGTAATTCAATGTTTTTTGTGACATTATGTGAGAAAAATTCCAACTTAATCAAACGTCGTTGATTTTATATTAAAAAAGAAGAGTATTAAGAACAGATATCCGAGCATTCACTTTTTTTAACCAAAACTCCACTGAGTCTCTTCTCGACAATGTACGTTTTCAGTACTGCATGCATCTTGAACAAAAGCTTGATGCCAACAATTGGCTCATTTGATTTCATTTATTCGAAAGTTGAAAATGAAATGAGATCATCTGAGGATAATCCAAAGCTTTTAGTCCATTCCCGTTGCTTATTTACTAACGTTCACATCGGCATATACTTAAACCTTCAAATCTTTATTTTGGTTTTTTACTTCCAAGGCCTAAACGATGTGAAAATTCCTATCAAGAAAGATGAGCTTTGTTAGGATAAATGGTCAAAGTTTAGCCAATTACCGAACCAAGTCGAAAGAGTTAAAGGAGATTAAATTGCCCAAGGCCAAGGAGAGATCGCTTTTTGTTCTCGAGTCGTTGCTTCGTGAAGGACATCTGTAGTGAGATCTCTTGCTACACCATTGTTCATAACTTGTAACATTAACTGTCCAAAGACATTTGCTAAATACTCGAGAAGCATTTTGCCTGTCCCCCTAATTGGAACGGTGGTGCTATTTCTTTAAAAACCGTAATAGGCAAAAACTTATTGAATTTGAAGAACTTTCCAAGAAAGGCAGTTGAATTCCCCTTATTTTTGCCTCCTACTAGTCTAGCTGTATCATTTTGAATGGTTACTTGCAATCATTGTTTCCATCCATGGCCATTGGAAGAAACAACCCAAATTTTTCAAAACCTATTTTACATTATTGCCCTAACTTTTTATTATTGATGTTTAATTTTGTTCGCGACGTAGTATTCGTGTTTTATATATATACTTAGCTTAGAGTTAGCGGGGAAAGACATTTTTAACTGATTGGTAGTAAGCATTTGTTATTCACTGGTATGAAATACCAGTGCAGATCGTTTATCTTCAGAGTTAATATTTTTGCTACATCAATTATCCGTGTATTTTATATTGCAGTAAACCGTCGTCGTAAATTTCGAGTATATATATATATATAGATATATATTTTTTCTATCATCATTTCTGGTTACTCGCTAAATAATTTGTCTCTCTCTATTCTTTACTTCTGCTTTTAAGCTCAAATAAGAATACTTTTTCAATGTTGTCTAAGATATCATGTTGTAACAAAAGTTTTTTCTGTTTCGCTTTTAGATCCAACGACCCCGGTAAGTACCAATTTGCTGCCATCTTGTTGTCAGTTCGCGTCACATACTGATTTCGTTGTTAACTTTGGCTTGCCTGTTCTGCCACAACAATTGCTCTACATTGCAAGCCTTTCTTTTTGTAATAATTCTTTAAATTGATGAATAACTTTGCTTCGATGAAAGAAAATCATAGTCAGAATTTTAATTGTGGGAATTTTTACTGGGCTTTTTTCTATCAGAGCAGTTTCCCCTACATGAAAAATTTTGATGCGAAGCAAAATCATAATTCCTTTCCATTTTTTGAATAAGCTACGTTCCTGCATCAGTATAAAATTTGTTTTTGATCGGCATTTTCTTTTTTGGTTTCTAATCTGACTGCCTTCTCCCTTTCTTCTGTTGTTTGCATCCAAGACTACTTAATGTTTCTTTTTTGACTGGGAACACAATCTTGGCGTTTTATGTAAACAAAGTCAATACTTTTGGCGCTTTATCTAAACAAAGGACACGTTCAGGAAAACCTAACAGTTTCAATTATTGTAACTGAGATTTTTGTTCATTTTTGGGTTCAATTGCATTTTAATTCTGAAGCTTTAGAACACTTGGGTTCTGTTGCGTAAAATTCTTTAGAAAATCCTAAAAAACATGTGGCCATGAAAATGATGTCATGCTGAGGAAATGGCAATCAACATCTGAAACACTTACTATAGTGGAGACATAAAGAAATATTAGCCAACAAGTACCTCTGTGAATATTCAGTGTCATGTCACACTGGTTATTAATGTCTTTAATATCTTTGCTTTTCTTATAGTACGGGATCGTTGGCACGGATGCTCAAGGAGACTCAATGAATGGTACCCATCGCATTTTCTCCTTTTCTATTTCGATTTCTGCCACGAGTCCTGTCGACAAATCCATGAATCAAATATGTTGATCCTTTCTAGTATTTTAAAATTGTTCTTCGAAAGCTTGATAAGTCCTAATTAAGTCTGTTTACATTTCGATTTATGATTTCCTAATTTTCTCATCATTGAGTGAAGTAGTAAATCATTAGTGCAAATTATTCAAGAGTTTTTTTCCAGAATTGTTAGAATCGTGAGAATGAAGTAGAATTTTGCTGCTTTGTTGGTCTTATTTTGGTTTATTGTATGGGTAGACATTAAAATGGATGTTTCGCCCATTGTTAGTCGTTCCACAGTCACTTCAAAGTCATTGAAGACCCTACCCGCATTTCTGGCCCAGTAAAATATTTTAACCTAGGAACACTTTCTCTTTCATATATGAAGAGGTCCTGTGTTAATACCCCATTTTCTGGTAGTAAGTTTAGCGTTTTCTCAGTTTTGACCCGTTATTTTCACAGATGGTAGCGAATCCATAGATGGTATGCCTGAGGTGAGTCATTTTTTAAGGCATTATCGATTTCATGAAAAAAAAATTTCCTCACTGAATACCACACTAAACTTGTGCCGGTAACACCCTCGGGGCCCCATGCAGCAACCAATAATGCATACTTGAGTTCCTGAATGAATGTTCAGCGTAGAATGAAATTGAGCAGACGACAAAATTGATGACAAAACGTTTGGATGACAAAACTACCATTGTTTCCTTGCAACACGATATCTTGTTCACTTAGTTGATGAGAGATCATTCAGTTCCAAATGTTATCTATGAGCGCCCCAACGCCAAAGGAAACCTTATCAAATAAACGGTAATCTTGCACAGATGTTCTTGGTTTCTGAAAATATTTGTAGTAAATCTCCTTCCGAATGCTTTGTGTCGCTTACTTCATAGCAATGCTCATCGGCAGCCAAATGGCGACAAAGAAATCAGTTCCAGATTCAGTGGTTCTGATCTCAAATTCTGGTTTTGTTTCAGGACACAAACGAATCAGTGGCGATTCAGCGAATCAAAGAATCCATGAAGGAAGAAGTAAAGAAATTCGAATTTGACAATCATGTGGGTTCAGGGGAGTATTTTTGACAGGAAATCAGGAGAAGGTTTTGAATCATAAACTCAACATGCATGAAAGGAGTTAACATACCTGCAGTCGTATTATCAATGGACTACAGTGTTAAAGCAACTATCATGGAGCAATTTAAAAAATGCTTCGACAGAGGTAACACCGCCATAGGGACTGGCGTGGGATTACTTTGTTGGGATTAACGACGGTTACCAAACCGAGGTAGCCTCATAATGAACAAAATGATGTTATTGCTACGTACAGAAAGTCCGTTAGCATTAAACGCTTTAGGCATGCTCTTGGGGCCTCCGCTGTTGTGTTAATCGACTGCTCATGAACAGATTTGATGTAACGATGTCAATGTATCGCTGAATGTTGACTGACATTATGCGGTGTAATATACCAAGGGTCATGGTAGTGTTTGCTGCCACAGATTTATATATGTCATGCTTTGGACACTATCCTGATGTCCAACGTTTACCTATATTTAAATTATGCCTTTGTTTCTTTATCCGAATTGCATGCTTAACTTACTTACATAGTTTCTAAGGAAAGTGAAGCGCTACCAACCAGGTGCTCTAGCCTAAGAAGATAAGACTGACGTTAAGCTTGTTTAATGCAGCTTCTCAATTGAACTCAATTTGAGCTTAGTCTTCGCTCTATCGATCGCGCTGTAATTGCGTTGCCTGTGGGTTCAGCAGCTTAGTTATTGAAGATCGAGAAGGGTAGGCTGGGTTACCAAATTGCATAATCAATATCTGACAACATAGATTCGAGTTTCCTGCGGCTTATCCTTCGAGCTAAACAAGATCACAGTAGAATTTTATTTTTCAAATAATTTCTAAAATCCTTGCCTTTTTGTTAATATCCTTGTTAACAATGTTACGCCCACCCATGATGCATTTAGGGCATAACCACTGTAGTTTAGCGTCAAAGCAGCAAAGCTTCTCTTGTAGTGAACTTAACAAGGGTTTACCTACGGTTGCCCCTCCAAACCACGGTTGATCTGTACGCATTGATTCTAATAAGTTTTAATTGCGTCCTCTGTGGTTATCATTACAACTTTTATCACATAATATTTTTATTACTTTAGTTAAGTTTATGCGGATATATTTTATCGAAGATAATCGTGGGCTTCTAGGCTGCTGTTTAAATAGACCATTTAGTACTTCATCTGAATGTTAAATGGCTCAAAGTTTAATAGACAAATTCTGTTCACTCATTTGTGTCATATCCCAAGATAATTTCTCAATATGGACAACATGCTGCTTTCGATTTTAGGCAACCTTTTCAAGGAAAACAACCATCCTGGCTGATTGTCTTCTCTTGATGTCAGCCTACTGAATAAATCTTAAACCTTCTTACAGTATTACTCAATGTTGAGTTTTGTAACGTATTAAAAAATGTTGCAAATACAAAAGCAGGATGAATTACAAAAGGTTGAATTCCATGACGTCACGTTAAATATGACGCCAGGGGAGGAAAAATAAATACAAACGTTTTGTCTCAACAGCCTGCACATTTCAGGTGGTTTGTTCTCCATAAAGGTTCTGAAAACGTTTGAGTCATTTGAGAAAAGAAGCGGGTCTTGTTGAATTGAATATGTTAATCATGTTTCGGTTTGGAAACATTAGCTGACGTACAGCATTATGAAATACGAACAAAATATGTTAGATAATACTTGTGAAATTGTTAGAGAAGTAGTAAATCGCTTGTTTCTTCCTTAATTTTGTTTGATATTTAAAAGGGAGGAAAGGAAATCATTGTTAATGTAGAACTTTATCATTAGTAGCAAACTTGGTATATGATTATGATTAGTGAAATTGTATCTAAAAATTAGTAGTGTAAGGGCAATGTATATGGAATTTTTATCAACAGGACCCAAACGTGATTCGTGTGTATCTTTTGAAAATTCTTGTTGATTTCCTTCTTTTTTGCCCAGAAAATAAAAATTTTCTTGAAATGTTGAATTTTTTCCAAGACTTTTTTTGGCTGAAAATTGGTTTTGACCGACATTTTCGTCCCAAAGTTGAAAATTCTTTGAAAATAGAAAAACTAAAAAGTGTAAGCTTTTTTCAGAAGATTAAAGATATAAATCAGTGCAAAACGTTTTATGTATACTTCCTAGCACAAATGTAATCTTACAATATCTTTTGCCATGAAATCTTGTTGCCTCGTATGATACGGCTTTCCAGTACTAGGTTATGAAAATTTACAGCAAATTTCCGAGTTTGCATTTTTCCACGTGGCACAAGGATGATGACTCAGTTTCTGTGATGCTTAAGAATACTAGACTTGCTTCGTCTCAAAAACACCTGATCTTCTGAATATCCATAACCTTCCTTTAGCTTCCTTCTTGCTAGTGTCTCCCCCCTTTTCACGAGGAACTCTTTTCCTCCTTTATGGTTATTTTAAGTTTTCCATGACTATTGAACGTAAAATTACAGTTAGAAACATATATTCTGGTGTCATCCAAAAACTGCCTGTCCAAAATGGGGCCCCAGCTGCAAAAACGTTACTTGACAAGACATGTGATTTGACAACAAGCCTATAGCTCCCTACAAAAAACCTTTAGGAATCTTCAGTAATATCGAATTCATAGTTTTGATAGATATAAAACTTAAACTGCAATAACTTGCTTAAAAAAAGCACGAATAGCAGAATCATAGCATACTGAATTACCTTAATCCGACACTCTTTGATGACCAAAGACGTAAGCAAAAAATTTTCAAAATAGGCAAAGAAAACTAACGTGATAATAATTGGCAAGGAAAGACTTAAACCAGCTTTTGAAATAATTTTATATCAGTATGTTGGAACCGAAAAAGGCAGATGCTCAGCCGCTACAGTTGAGAAACCAAAATAGAGGCTGAGTCGTCTTATATTCGCTAAAATACGGAGTAAGCCACTAAACACAGGCGCTTAACATACGCAATGGATTTTTGTAAGCATCTTTGTAATTCGCGATCGCTGTTGGCTGTATCTAATAATGGATGTAGATGGGAGAGTATTTTTTCTAAAGCAAGAAACTTTAAGTTCACTGACGTGTTCGTCAGTAACAGTATAAATTAGCTATACATATGTATGAGAATACACTTTTTGAATATGTAATAATCTAAAAGCCATAGTCTACTCAATACAAACACAATCTTCTCATACTTCTTTCGATGCCATCGAATGAGACAGCAACTGGGCATGCCAAATTGGTTCCCTTCCAACTAGCTCCATTCTCTTGTCTACCTGCCGCACGATATCCTTAATGACGTAATATCCCTGAAGCTCACACCCAGTCCTGAATGAGTATTTGCCTCTTCCGCACGGACTGCCTTCTTTGAAATGACCCTCGTATTCATGATCTTTGTGCACCCAGCGTGCAGTGCCAACTTGTTGTCCTTCAACCCATTTTGCTGCAAAGAGGCAAAGAAAATTACTAGCCTTTTTTTCAAAACATATCGTATTATCGCCACGCACATAAAATTGGCACATAATATCTTAAACAACCTAGCTACTAAAATCTAAAATCTTTCATTTTCAAGCAACACATTCTTTGGTCCATAAGATAAGTGAATTTTGAAAGGTTCGTCGTTATTTCCTGCTGATAACGTAATTAAGGTTGGTTGCAAATATTATGCAGCTTCAGTTGAGTATCGAATTCAACAGTAAATGGTGAATCTCAACGTGGAAGTCCAGCAAGCAATTTTTAGTGAACTTCAAGTTCGGGTAACAAGCTGGTTTTCCAGGTTTAATGGGATCTTAAACCCGCTTTACTTCCCCAGAAAATAACCCTCATGATGTTCTCTAAAAAAACAGTCAGCAAACCGATTTTTGCTGCAACACAAACTGCTCTATTCTTGGCTTTAGAACCCTTGTCAAGTTTCTTTGTTTCTGAGGATTAAACTTGTTACTCCTGCTTTATTTCTTACAAATATTTCGTTTACGGAAGATCTTGGTATATATAAACCTTAGGTATTATGACTTCTCAGATGAACAGGTGCACTGATTCGTTAACTTTATGAAAGATTGCAAATAAAATAAATACAAAGCAATTGTACAAAATCAACCATCTTACCATACCTAGAAATTCAGTCCCAGTTTCCTTGTAGCAATACCGACCACGCCCATGTTTTAGGTCATTTTGCCATTCACCATCGAATTCGTCTCCGTTGACAAATGTATAGGTTCCCTTGCCATTTTTCAATCCATTTTTCCAAGCTCCAGAGTATTTGCTTCCGTCCGGATAGATCATGACGCCATTCCCATCCCGTTTACCGTCCTTGTAATCCCCAAAATACCTGAAATTTGAAACAAACTAGTGATACAAACGACGTTTTTACACGTTAAATTTGTTCACCATTCCAGCAAGAAAGTAACGAATGAAAAACTGTAAGAACCTTTCAAATACTGAGTGCTGGACTGGTTCATGGACTGGCAGAAGTCGCTGTAGTAAATTTAGCAGATAATTTTTGCTATTAATTGCAGAATGCCGACTACTACATCAGAATCTTAAAACCAAACGCGAGCAACTCAGCGTAACAACTAAAAGCGACGGCTTTATCTACAATGCGATGCGTTGTTTCAGTCGTGATCTTTTTATACCTTGCTCTCTTGAAATGATAGGTCCCAGCACCACTACGCTTGCCTTTCTCAAACTGCCCTGTATACTTATCACCATTGCTGTACGTCGCCTTGCCGTTGCCATGTCTTTCCCCTTCTTCATTTCTGTCTCCATCATATTCTCCTGGGCCCTTTAAATAGTCCCCGGATGTAACAAATTCGTCATCCGACTCAAAATCTGCCATTTTTGCAAATATGCGACTAATTGTTACGAGTTTAAAAGTGCAAATGACGGGATGTAGCGCAACATGAAGAAAAGTAAACTAACTTCAATGTGACGTCAAAACAGTGATTTTAGAGGACTGCTCTGATGCTAAATCGGCCTCGTTTTGGGTATAGCCAATGACTACAGTACTGACAGTACTTACAGTAAAGAAAACCCCTCATTCCATAATTAAACTAAAATATTTTTGAGGTTTAAGTTGTGTTTTTGGAAATATAACTTCATGATAACATAATCAAGAATATTTCAATTTAGTATAAACAATAGAAATGCCACTTCGTTATATTCTAGCCCGTAATAACCACTTCAATATCACAAAGCAAAGCCTGAAAAATGTAAAAAGTAATTATCCACAACTTTAGTCCATATTGGGAACCGAAAAAAGGCTAGAATTGTCTTTTTACCTCGCTATTAGAATGCAGTTTTTTGAAAAAAGAAATCATGTGTGTTTTCTTACAGAAATTATGTCTAACAATAAACAAATAAAAGGCAAACTAGTGCGATAAAAGTATAGGTCAAATACGTGTAATATCCTTCTCTGCATATATTTAAGGTTCAGGTTCGTGTTTGGAAGTTTCTAGTTACGCATGTGCTGTTACATGAAAGTGCTTTCACAGCTTCGAATCGTATGGCGGAATGGAGAACATAGATATATTATGAACCCTCTCATTTGACATGTAAATGTTCAATCAATCTAACCATTGATCAGTGGCATCTTCTAGCACATTTTATCCATTAAACTTTTATTTCATTTTTTCTTGCACTCTGAGCATTATACTGATACTCGGTCCTGCTCAGTATCGATGTAGATATAGATGTAGATGTAGAACCCAATCTAATAACGCGAATCTAGTTTATCCTGCCTGGGGAAATGTTTCTTCCAATAGAAAAAGAGATCGTATATAAGTCTTTAGGTCACACGATCATTTGAAGGAAAAATTACAAATACAAATCAATCCTGCGTTACCTTTTAATGAGGTTGTGTTAACGGGCCAAAGGGATGGAATAGTTTGAAAATTGTTCATTATCGAAGAAGATGAGGATGTTAGCCATTATTCGAATGTACGGAAGGCCCCGGTAGCGATGTTTTGCAGAAGTATACGAGCTATCCCAGTGTTTTTCGTGTGTGATGAAAATGATGCCCTGAACACAGAAATTGCATTTCACCAGAAACAGCCACAGGTAACTCGAATTAGCTTACGATGCAAACTACGGTCCAAATCCGGCCAACCAGCGAATTTCTTCTCGACGTAATATTAACTGCCAACTAACATTGAACTTTATGAACAGAACATTTTAGGATCATTAGAAACATCTACACAGGGAGGTGCCCCAATTAAATATGGTATGGTAGACATACAAGTCATAAAATACAATAGAAAAGCTACAGAAACTACAAAATGGTGCGGCTAGAATCGTAACCAAAAGCACCTATAACGCTACTGATCTTTGAATTTTAAGGAAACTTGGCTGGCAGCCAGTAAGTGACTTGATCGTAGGAAACTTGGCTGGCAGCCAGTAAGTGACTTGATCGTAAAAGATTCACGTGTCCGTGGCCAAAAATGTGGTCAAAATTAAAACTGTCTTAAAAACTCCAGGACATAAGGGAACCATTTTTATTCCTGGTTTGTTATTCTATGCTGTATATTCGTATTGTAATTTTATAGGGTTTATCTTTTTCTTTGTATAGAACAGTTTGGAAAGGAATTTATGTATACATAATTGACAACTTTACCCTGTGTCAATAATTAAAAATGAAATTAAATGAAGCAGTCATGACAATAGGTAAACAAGGAGCACGGGACAAATTGAAAATGCCAGCAAAGCTTGAGCTCTCTTGATATTCTGATTTGGGAGCAAACCCCTGATCCAGGGAGAAGACCTGGTGAACCAAGAGGATTGCAGTTCTTCATTGCTATACGGTTTTAATTTTATGTTGAAACCTGTTGAGGTGTTACACTGAAACAAAAAATTTGCTAAACTTGTCCTAGAACGACCCACCTTACCTGGGTATGAAAGTCATGGATATGGCCCCAAAATAAAAAAGGTTGCTCGTCGCTGCTGTATGGAGAGCATCTATCATTTGGAGAACATTCCTGACCTAATCGACCAAGCTGATATATCATCATTGTCGAAATGAAAGGACCAATATAAGGTGGATGTCAAGTGAAGAAAATTTTATTTGTTTTGCTTATGGGCAGGGAAAGATAACAAACTATGCATAGAAACAGACGAAGATAACAATTTAAGTTGAACAATGCTAGATGGTGTTTTGACTCCTGGTTGATCAACTAATTTTCAATGATCATGTCAAATCTCTGTGCAATGACAATGGCTGAATTGTTTAGAACAACAACAGAAACTGGACCAGAGTATCAAACCAAAACAAGTTAGCAACTTTGTTTGTTATTTGAAAAGTGAGCTTTGTTTGAAAAAGCATTGTTTGGAATTGTTGATACTTTTCACACTAAATACACATAAATACTCCCCTTACAAGGCCTGGTTTAAAGTATGAGCCAAAGTTTTATCAAGTTTGTATCTATCAGTAATTTGCATAACTGGAAGAAAACAAATTTCAGAAGACTTTGGGGTAAATGAGAATCATTTAGTCTCACCTTTATCTTTTAGGCATGGGCAGATGAATGACATCCTTCATGATGTCATCAGAATCCAAATCAAACAGTGACATTGACTCTTCTCTCAAATCAGTTAGCTTAGCTCTGATATCATCAATGCCACCTTGCAACATTTTGATAGCACCTCTGACTGAGGCAGCTCCTTGAATATGGGTCTCACCCTTGACCAAAGAGGGTTTCTTTTGAACATGCTCATTTGAAAGCTGTGTGAGTCTTTTTGTAGATAACTTTTGGATCAATTTGGAGATGCAACTGAATGAGACAAATGCTTCACTGCTGTTTGAGAATGAATGAAGTTGGTCAGATAAAGAAAGACTGTCAACACGTCTCATCATTTCTGCTGTCATATCAGCATGAATGCATTGTTTCTCCTCACTAGTCTGCTTTTCTTGTATAACACTAGACATCCACTTCCAAAAAATGTCTTCATGCTCAATCCATCTTATATGTGCTTCTAGCAACAATTTTTCATTTTCTAATTTCTTCATAGCTAAGCAAAACTTCTTTTTGGTGCACTGAGACAGACAGAATTCCAAAGTTGTTGCCTCAGATAGAAAAGGCACTGCCTTCAGTAACTGTTGTGATGAACTAGAGTTGCTAGAATTCTTTGAGATATATTTTAAGTACTGTTTAATACTCTTGATTTGACTTCTTTGTTTCTGACGCATAAAAACCACCAAATTAAGGGCATTATCAAGTTGATCAAATTTCAAAGCAGATTTAATCATTTTATCTTTGCTTTCAACAAGCAAATCAAACAAAGGTGTTTCCAAATCATCTAATAATAAATTAACAATGTTGAATTCTGCTAACAGCCATCCAAATGCTATCAAAAGATCTCTGCTTCCATGTAAGCTTGCCATTGTCAAATCATTGAACTCTTTGGAGTTATAACCAATAGCTCGAAAGGAAGACTTCACAAAGCCAAGAATATCACTGTCACTCTGTACTGAAACTACATTTTTGGTGTCAGTCATAACATGCAAAATATCAGAGAGCAGTAGCCACATAGGCCTAGTTGCCTCTTTCACATCAAATTTGGCTTGCCTTAGAATCTCTGGGGTCATTTTTGAAATGCCATATCCTTTCAAAATTTGACAAAGACACTCCGCCACTTCCTTAATTCCTGCTTTATTGGCCATTAAGATGTTTCAACTGAAGAGGAAAGCAAATTTGTCTTTTACATAGCGTAATTTTACTGTAATTAGTCTCAGCAACACAAAATTTCCATCAGTGCTATTTGCAAATGCGCAGTTTAAATGGACATGAAAAAGATCCCCTGCGCAACTTTCAAAGATTCCAATCTGGATGGATACCAAGGCATTCAATGTCAAACCTTTTTCTCAACATGAACTTGATTAATATAAATAGTGAATTACTTGGTGGCAATACATGTTGGTTTTAGTTTCATAAAGATCAACGAAAGTCTCATCTATGCTTGTTTTCGACAGTGCGAAAGCAAACCCTTGCCTGCACTGTATTAATATCAAACACTGGACATTTTATCCATGATTATTTACCCCGATCTTTGCTCAAATTATATGGCATATAAAATATTGCTCAAGTAAGATCTCTTTGCGTGCCTTTCGTTAAGAATGGTTCAAATCCAAAATTAAAAAATTAGTCTGAGTAAAATGATAGCACACTCCACACAACGTCAACGAGTTGTACGAGCGGGCCGAGCCTCCATATTTTTTGCCCATGAGCACCTCTCTCTACCAAAGTCTGCTTGAAATTAATCCTACGCATCAAATTAATCTTACCAGTCAAGTGAACATCGGGTCAATCGCCTAGCGTACCAACTCCACTGACCAACGACAAACTCAGATAGCCATATTGAAAATGTGTCAAAATGTAGTTGTTGCTGTTGTGCCATATAGTCTGACAGGGGGCAAGAATCGATGCCCCTAAGCGCAACCCTATCAATGATAATAATCTTGTAGCTCGGGCCGTGAATCCCGGGGTGACGGGGAGACTGGACCCCCAAAAAATCTGAAGCAACACGACTTTACTTGAGAAAAAATCGTCATTTTATTTTAACAAAATTGAATCTCTGGTAGCTGGGTCAGAACTCGAAAGTGTTTCTGTTAGGGAAAAGAAAGACGAACGACACTTGCAAAATAAAATTTGAGTTCATATATCAATGCATGATAACGGAGACATACCCTTCATCATGCAAGAAAGAGAGTACCGCCCTACCCCTCCCCCCGTCCCCGTGTCACTTCCAAAACGAGGCCTTTCCCGCCAATTCTGCACGTTGCACAGATGAGACGAGTTTGCGGCACGAGGTAAGGCGAATACTCATGTACTCATCCTCGATGTAACCTTAAATCATTTGTCTTTCAGATTGTTGATGTTTATTATATCAAATTAATGATTAGTCTATTAAGCTGCGAATTGGAAACTGAAATGCATATTTTGGCGACATCTCTGCGTGGTCTATCATACGTTAAAAGCACTACACTCATTTACAGCCTTACCTAAAATAGGCGACATGTCTTTAAATTATTTTTTTAAAACAGGGGCCTATTGCTAGGGGCTCGAAAAGGGTGAGCCTTCCTTCTTAATCCCCAAAAGTTGCAATTTTTTACTTCAAGTTGGCAATTGTTTTTAGAACATTTTGTGCGAGAGGCCCCTTGTTATTCTGATAGCACTAATTCCCTGTTTTAAAAGCCGTTTCTCGAGGTAAAATATTGATATGCAAATGGCACCCAATCTTGATATGCAAAACAACATACCTGTGCATCAGAACCAACACCTCATTAAAAGTTATTCTTTGGTGTAGGCTTAAAGCCTACACTCAAAATTATTAGATTGAGGAAATCTTAAAATTGAAATGACGTTTGGAAACAATAAATATAACTCAATATAACTTTTTATTAATTTTTAGTAAATAAAATGCATCACAAGATTGAAGAAGAGACTGAGTATGAAAAACTCAGAGCAAAGAATATTGCAGAGAATGAAGCCATGTTGAAACGTTTATTCCCAGTTTCACCATTGTTGAAAAGGAGGGAGGAGAAAACACAGAAAATGAAAAGTTTCTCAAAAAAAGGTGAAAGACTTGATCAAATGCATCCATATACAACTTCCCCTACACGAAAAAACCCCTCAAGATTCTGTCGAGGGCGCAAGAGATACAGATATGGCTCTGATTGTGAAGAAGAAGAAAGGTCATCAGATTATGAACCAGAGGAAGCAAGCGACTGTGAAGAAGATTTCAAGCCAACTGGCATGATAGTTAATCTATGGGGAAGAAAATCTGATGTTAATAAAGTCCCTTCAAAAAGGAGGTAATAAATTTACTGACATTAGATGACCTGGGCTTAGAAATGTTATTTTGATTTTAACATTTCAGCAGCTTTTACAGTTTAAGATTTTATTTAAATCCATGCAGGTCTTGCAGAGATTTCAATAATTTTACGCTTTTTTGAACAAGTAATGTGTGAAATAACAAGAAAAGTATGCAGAAGTAAGCTTTCTTTTTGTTAAACCTATATTAACCGGCTGCTAATGGATTGGTAAAAAGTTTTGCATTATAATGACATGACCCCTTCTTGTGAAGTGCAAGAAAGGTGAGCAGCTTCAATCGGGACAGAAAATGGGTTAAAAGTTTCATCACTTTTCTCTTGTTGAAGACCATATTTTGCAAATAGGAGTGAACAATTGTCACATTCTGCATTGAATTTTTTAAAATGGCAGTTTCTCCTCACAGCTTTGTAGTAGAAGGGAGTGTTACTATTGCATCTGATCAAATGCTATTTTCTCTTCAGATTTCTATTGTCTTTTAGACATTATCATCAGCTTGTTGAAAATATAAGCAAACAATCTGATTGGCTTAAAACAATTTTCATCCTTGTTACCTTGTCTATGCCAGGTCTCCAAAAAAGACAATTATTGACAGGGATGACCTTTTGCAAAGATACAATTTGTTGACTGAAGATGATCTTAACATGGTTGCTGAAAAAACATCTGAAAAGAATTATGACCAGAATGGATCCTCTTGTCATCAATGTCGGCAGAAGACTGATGATTTAAAGACCCTTTGTCGATCTCCATCGTGTTTTGGAATAAGAGGACAATTTTGTGGACCATGTTTAAGGAACAGATATGGCGAAGATGCAAAGGTAGCAATAATGGATAAAAACTGGACCTGTCCTCCATGCAGAGGTATTTGCAATTGCTCCTTTTGTATGGCAAAAAGAGGGAGACGAGCAACAGGAATTCTCATCCACATTGCAAAGGAAAAGGGCTATCAAAGTGTTAGGTCATTTTTAGGTGATTAAGTTTAAATATATTTCTTGTTATCTGAGGGTATATATGCTAAAGGTTTGAATAAAATATTTTTCATATTTAGAGTTCAAATGGCAAAAATTCAAGGAATCTTGGAATCTGATATGATATAAAAGATTGAAGGATCTAAATTCTAATCAATTCAGCTCTACCACACTAATCTCAGGCAATGCTAGATTTGGCATGGTTTGACTTTGGGTCAGGGGAATTCATCATAAGAATAAACTCCAGTTAGTCACAATATGATTACTATTACTATTAGTTAAACTGATTATAGTTTCCAAGATAAATAGTTGCCCAAGGCACAATAGATCTACAAACATTCCAGCCATGAAATAGTGAGTTCTTTCTACTATGTAAGTTGGATAGTTTCCAATGAGGTGCTTGTGACTATTTTTGGTGAATTTGTTGAGCTTGAAGTTATAGTTTTTGCTTAATGATCCTTGTCACTAGGGTTCTCAATTATATGTTCGATATATGATGTTTATAAAATATGTTTTAAGTGAATTTTCACTATACTTTTCTTTAGACTTGTTAACTTGTTTTTATGACCTTTCAAAAGCATTTTGTGAGCAAGGATTAGCAAATTTTAGCGACAATTGTATGGTCTGAGGCAAAGCTATCAGAGCTACTAATATTACCTGGCAGCATATTGTAAGTCTTGCTTTGTTTTGCTGAAAATTTTATTCATCTTTTTTCGATTGTATTCTCAATTCTTGTTTCCTTTAGTTTGCAGTTTTTGTATTATTTTCTTTTATCTTTAAATTTATTGTAGCTGTTAAGATGTGTTTAATTGTTGATATTCTAATTAGTTATTGTTGAAATAGAATATATATAAATCACACAGAAGTCTTTAATCTTTGCTTCAATTGACACCTATCTGCTTTCTTTTGTCAACCAAAATTGTAGAAATCTTTATAATCATTGTTATCTGTCACAAGAAGCAGTTCAAATGGTGGTTGATGCCCATCCCCTTTCCAGAGTAATATCGAATTTGTTAAAAAAGTTTTATTGGAAAGCCCTCCTTTTTCAATGTAGGTTTTCATTTTTGCCTGTTTTGATATATTTCTTCATTAAAATATCATAAGACAATTTATCATGTATCCATCATCAACCAATTTTCAAATCTCATCATGTGTCAAAAACTGGTCGAATTTTCTGTAGTGAAAGTCTTCAAAGTAGGCAAGTGATCTCTATGAGAATATTATTTATATTTGATGATTTGTCGCAAAAAACTAAATTGTGTTACGTATTGAAAATTTTTATTCACTATACTGTTAGATTGTCTTTGCTGTACCCGCAGATGTTCTTTGCTGAAAAAGATGACGCAATTTCCTTGACACACTTCATCTTTAAAAATGACGCAATTTCCTCTACACTAATCTAGAGATAAACACTGCTCACATCTTTGTGATGCATTTAGTGTTACTAGATACCACAAGCGAATGAGCCCACAGTCATATCTCAACATGCATAGATTTCAGCAGTCACCCTTATTAAGCATGCGCCAAATGGTTCTATATTATTTAAATTCAATAAAAGCTGTTGTCGGAAAGAAATTTCATTTGCACACCCACTTGAATCCGACAGGACTTTGAAACTAACTAGAGACATGGGGAGCAAGGTTTTAGAAGTTCCTTTGCAAAAAGGAAATAGTGTCTGTCCTATGACTTTCTTATTTTCCGTCATAACCCAAATTCTTCTTGAAAACCGTATGTAAAGTGCAACACTGAACACTTCAGAACGATGCATTTTACTTGCAGGAAATAAGCGCGAAATCTTTTCCCCATTTTTCCGGCAACCTTTTCGTTGTTTAAATGGGGTGTGAAGCCAATTGCTTGAAGCATAGTAAGAAATTATGCATAAAATGTTGACCAAATGGAATAATCAAAAATATCTGTCGTTTGTTATATCGAGAGTTCGTTATATCTGGTGTTCGTTATACCGGGAGAATTTTTAAGGAGTTTGTTCGGCAGAATCCGAAGGGTCTAGTAAGGGGAATTTAATTTCATTCCAGGTTCATATTCCTCTGTATACCCAAATTTCTTCTCCATATTCCAGAGTTTCCATATTCTGTAAATTTTATCATTTGAGATAATATTAGTCTTTAATGCTTCTTTAGCGACACAAAGTGCAAATTCGCCTGATGATGCAAACAATTATATCTTTGTTGATGAGATACTTAGCATAAAAGACTTCCAGATTTGAAAAATATATTGTATGTAATAATACAGTATCAATGAAAAAGAAACATATCTATTTAACTGATATCGTTAGATGTAATGTAGTCTTCACTCGCATCTTCGCATGGGATTCGACAAAGAAATTATATGATAGACTCTCGGAATTTTCTGCGAGTTTTAACTGCAAAGAAATGAAACCGGCCTCCTAATTCTGATTGCATACAGAATAGGATTTTCAATGAATAAATAGGGAAAGAGTTTGCGAAAATATCACCTTTACCCACAAGAAATCTATAACTTTGGAAAATTTATACTTAATCAAATAACGATTATGAAATATTGTAATTCAAATTGAGTTTTCTGATATCAAAACATGCTTGATTGAAGTGAATTTGAAATTCATATTTTTGCCCAAACACATTTCATTGAAACCCTTAAGACGAGATCATGTATTAAATGACGCAATAAAGCCCAAATTCGACAATTTGACGTAACAATCACGGACTGGGTCGAAAGCTTTAAATGCGACGTTTAGTAATCATTAACGAACTTTGATCAAGTTGCAACAACTTTTCGAAGATAAACCAAGTTTTACTTGTTATTTAAAGAGATTAAAGGCGAGGAATTGAGATGGAAAGTTTTTTTCTACATCGTACTGAGGAAGAAGAATGCGGAGATCGGACTCTTCTGAGGTAAGGCGAAAGAAATTCAAATATATCTAAAACAAAAACAAAAACAATGATTTAGGCCTAAAAAGCAACTAACAATATTGAAGATTGTTTAAGATGACCAGTTTTCTGGATTGAAACTGGCAAAATTCAAGTTGAAATTCATTTTGTTTTCAGGGGCAGTATCCACGATGATGTGATTGTCATCAATAGCTCTGATGAAGAAAATTCTCATCCCTATACACCCAGATCTGAGGAAAAGATCGAGAGCAGAAACAACCTAACGCTCATGACAACAAAGAAAAAGTATGGCTGCAAAAGAAAGAAGCAAAGTTATTTTGCATCTAAAAGGCCATCTTGCAGTCACTGGGGATGTAACGAGTCGGAAGAGGATGACGACTTTGTCTTCTCAGAAGAGCGAGATGTTCATCAACAGTTGAGAGATAACACCAACCTTACTAGCAAACATCAATGCCAAAGTTCCGTCAGCCAATCAAAAGGCCTGAAGCGAAAGAAATATCGAAAAAGGAATCTTTCGAAAGCCAAACACGTCAAACGAGATTTCGGAAATTCTTCGGTCAATTGGAATCAAAGATACGAGACCGAGGAAGTGCAATCGGGGTATGATAGTGACAGTGAAGATGATGTTGACTATTGCACGTCTACTTGTCCAGCCAAAGTTGTTGGTGACACAAAGCCTGCTGTTCAAAGCTCAGCTGCATCAGTGAGGTCAAAAGAGGGGCATGTCGCAGAAGGTCTTGCGAGTGAAGATTCAGATTACCCTGAGTTGGATTCCGATTTTGAGATTGACGATCCAATGTTCTTCAGAGACGATCGCACAATGCCCCTACCTGACTTCGATCCAATGATTGACGCTGATGTGGAAAACTTAGGGAATGCCAATGGAAATCACTTTCAGCAAGGTAAGTTATCAAGTTATCATGTTCTTCTTCTAATCTTGCCAGTGACAATGGCAATTGTATAGAGCATGAAAATGTTTCCGCATCTCTACCAATTAGCCTCAGTGAAAAATACATAGAATTTGCTCAGCAAAGTGTCAAAAATCAAAGAACATTTTCCCTTCCACTTGACTCCAATTTTTGTATTAGAATTCCTACTTTCATCGTTTCAAAATACTTTCTACCCTGCTCTACCCAATTCCAACAGCCTTCATTTACATTTCTTTATCCAACACCAAAAGCAGTCATTTGATAAAGCACTGCCACTTTCAAACCGGTTCAACTCGACTTAAAAGCAAGACTATTTCTTCTTCTTGCAAATAGCAGATGGGCATTTGACTTTGTTTAACAAGCAAGGGAAAACATTTTGATTTTCATTTAGCAATAACAAATTATGCAAAGAGCATTTTTAATAGGCAGTGCAATCCCTTTTCTTAACACTCCTTGCGATTGTCAGCACTTGACAAGAATATAAATAAATATTCTGTCTCGGTATTTATGGTTTTTTCCATTTGATTGACAGGTGATGAGCCACAAAATGAAGAGCACAGTGACGAAGGATACCAATCTGACAAAGAAAGTCTAAATAGTTCCGATAAGGCACTTCTGTTGGTACCAACGCATGAAGGAGTCTGCGTCAGATTCAATGACTTTCAGGCAATTCTTCCGTTTATCAACGCCCTGCAACAAAGACAACTTCACAATAGCGGTGTTTTTACTATACATCATCCTCCTTCAATCGACCAAGCTACGAGAGATTTCCAATTTGAATTGCAAAGAGCCGTCGCTACAGTTTTCAATGAACCCTTAATTGAGAGACCTTCCAACAATAACCATCATGATGTCATAGTCATTGACAGCGATTCTGAAGACGAGTTTTATGATGGTAGAAATTTAGCAGAGCAACAGTTTGACAGTGGTAGAAGAGACACCCCCGTCCAAATCGCGTCTTCAAGGGAAGATAACGATGACCAATCGGAGAACAGTGTGACTAGTCTTGGTGAAATTGTCAATAGAGCATTTCTTGAAGGAACCAATCATGCAGAATTGGAAGTTGGTGCGTCAGGGTTGGATGAAAGCCTTGAAGGAGAGCAATGGTTGCGATTTCAGCAGTGTGAAGAGAGAAGAAGTGATCGTGAAGTGGAGAGAATTCTTAGACTAGAACTGCCAATGGAGAGCTTCCGTGCACAAGGTGGTTCTGCTGAAGATGTCGAGCAAAGGACTGTTACAAATCTGCAACGTGTTCAATATACAGAACAGAAAGAATTAGGCAAGTTCTGTGTTTGTGAATACTGCCGAAATCAAGCTGATGAAAATCAACACATGCGGGGGCAATTTGGCAATGGAGCAGCCACTGAGTCACTTTTAGACAGAAGCCAAGAGGTAGATTCTTGAAATTCTTTCTTGTTCTGTAAACAACGTCTATAATAGCTCACGAATCTGCATTTGAAAAGTTTTCGTTTCATAGATTGTAATTAAATGTTACCAATCGTGTTGGAATAAGTTATTTAAAAGTAGCCTCTCTTAATTAAGCCGAATTTCAACAGTTCAATCTGGTTTGGTATTTATAAGGTAATGTAAGAAATGATCTTGAATAAGAAACCTCTAAAGCTTAGAAAATACTTTTTACTTTTGGATAAGAAACAAAGTAATTTTGCAAAAGATAACTCGTTGATTTTTTTCATACCAATTTGAAATGTGATGATTCGCACAATTTGAATCAAATGAAATGCAAATTGTTTTGTATTAGACATGGCACACAGTGCTGTTCTGCATAAGTAAAGCTTTGGTGTCACTGCTTCCAAAAATCACAACTATTATCAAATAAGAAGAGATTTGAAGCTATATCGCATTTCATGGCAAATTATTCTTCGATTGATTCAACAGTCCCTTTCTGCTCGCATCACTAATTGATTGCTCTGCCAAGGAGAGATTAAAAATAGAATGCTTTCAATTATATATTTTTATCCATAGGGGGAGAGGAGCACTTTTGGGACATCATTTGATACCCTGTCATATATTGACAATGATTCACCATCAAGGGAAGGTAGCTGCTTGGAAGATGATGACGCCATTAGAATTTCTCAGCTGTTTCCAAACCTTGAGGAGTCCTGTGATGATGCAAATAGTTGGTACGCATCTCAAGTGTCTTACGGAAATTTGGCACATTGTCAAACAGATGAAGGTTCTTGCACAAGCGTACAATGCGAAGAAGAGCCCACTGGTGAAGAACGCCAAAGTGACGAACTTGACTTTGCTTTATTCGGAAGATTTCGATGAACCAGTGACGATGTGAAAAGAAAGCTTATACTTAGAATGTTTAACTAAACATTACAGAGGTACTGAAGGCACTATGCCGTGATGATGAGGAGATTTTTTACTATGTACAAATATGCTAGTAAGAAACTTAATTCCGTTGCTATAATAGCAACCAGACTCATTTTTATATGAATAGCTAGTTGTTTTGTAAGAGCAGAACGCTTTTATGTTGTAAGGAATGCCAAAATATTAATAGAAAAAGTATATTAGATTTATAAAGGAGGCATTGGTTTTAACCATATTCATCTGTTTTTTAAATCTGTGTAGTTTCTTGTGTGTCTTTAACTGTCTCTAACTGTGTATGATCATATGAACACGAATGTTTTCTTCTATAATAAATATGTTGCAATTTCAAGTTGGAGAACAAATTAATCTGCAATCGCTTACAGCTTTAATTATACCAATCCCATACAAATTTGACTTCTTAAGACAACTTTTAAAATTTACTAAGTAAATTTCACTGAACTCCAACTTGATCTGATAAAGTACTGATTGCTGTTGCAAGGCACAGTTTTGATTCTGTTTTTAATAACACTGATATGAACTGATAGAAAAAGAGCAAGGAGGGCAACTGAACAGTGGCGGAAATTCAGGCTTTCATTTGGGGGGGCCTAGGTCTACGATTTTCCGACAAGATAACATCATGGACCATGTATAATTTTAAAGTAATTGCACATTTTGATAAAAATAGTTGATTTTTTGACGGGACTCTTTAGAAATCTTGCTGACCACGCCAAAATTAAGTAGCAAGAAGAACAATCCATTTATGATTTTTGATATCAAGATTGATATCTCATCTAAGACAATTGATGATACAAGAGGTAGACCGATAACACTTTTGACAAGTCGTATGTTCATTTTATAAATTTTATCTTTTTGTCAGTCAGAAATACGTTTGAAAATAACTTTTGTTCAGAAGAATCCAATGGAAATTTTGGCTAATTTTTACGGAATTGAAATTAGATATACAATATACAAGCAGTTTTGATTTTGGTCATACATTGTTTGATTGATTATTTGGTAATGGCTAATATTTTATCAGCTATGCTATATCAAAATTTTGCAAAAAGGGCACAGAGAGGCTATAAAGGCCCCTGGGGTAAAAAAGGAAACGTGGATCACCTGCGAGCGAAGCGAGCAGAAAATTTCGCAATTACGCCCCTTAGATTAGCTTAAAATACCTTTTCAGAACGTTTTCTTGGAGTAATTTCGACACGTTAAACGACTGTCAATTATCCGCAAAAGCCCGAATTTCCGACGATGTCGCTGATTGGGCCACTATACTTATAACTGAAGGAGCGTTGTGGAAAGAGTTGAAAGTTGTGATTGAATCAGAGAATGTGTATATGATTATGGCAGCAATTGACACTGTGCATGATTTCATAGCCCCCCTCCCATAGTTGTTGTGATTCACGCATTCAAGCACAAACTTTTACTTTTAACGCATTCACCCATTAAAAAATTGGACTTTCACGCTCATGCAAGCAATAAATGTATAACAGCTATTGCTCATTAGAGTCTTGTTTGAAGGACTACATCTCGACTTTCAAACTTTAAATACTAATTTGAGATTTAATTATTATTGGTTTATTACGCGCCAAATTGAGGCAATTTTTCAAATTATCATTCAAAATTTCATTCACGAATTCACGGATAGTTAAAACCTTTTCACGACATAACGCAAGGAAAACTCATGTTTCACGCTTCACGTAGGAATCTTAATTCACACATCACACAAAAATGTTGGGGGGAGGGGGCGGGTGGGGGCCCTTCATAAAATGGAAAACGTTCTTTGTATGATGAATTTTGCAAGCAATATTTTGGTAGTACAAAACTCACAAATGGCTTTCAAAAATGGCACCACTGGGTACATATATTTCCTAGTGTAGAGTTTTCGATCTATGTTCTGACGCTTTGTACTCTGAAGAGTGTCATACGAAAAGCTTTCGCATGATGTTTGCTTTTTTCAAAGCCATTCATAATGAATTTGCTGCATATCCAAGATTGAAAAAGTTGGTAATTAAAAATTGATAACAGTTTCCCTCTGTATAGGATAACTGAAGGTTTGGAAACGATCCATTCGTCAAACTAACAAGCTCCCATTATTCTGGCTAGCTCTTATAATTCATTTTGATAATCACGATGGCACAAAATAATCGTTTAGGAACAGAAAAGTTCACCAGTAGAATCTGTCAAAATTGTTAAATGAAAGGCAAAATTGTCGATAGAAACATGAACACTGGTCACGATCGAAATTTCGAACTACTGATCGAAATTTTCTTTTGAAGTAATTGAGAAATAGACATTTGAAATGATACAGAGGATCGATTTTCTCTAAAATAAATATATTTTGTTTATCAAAATACTTATTTGCTCATTGAAAGTGAAAGTATATTTGCCTAGTTTATCTTCTTAAAGAAAATTTAGAAACATTTTGGATTTTTTCAGTCAAAATATATTCTTTTATAAACTTTGCCAACTTAAGGAGAAGGATGTGTACAACTTGTATCGTATCATTTGTACAGCCATCTCTTTACTTTCAATCACACCAGTTTTAAACCAAGGAAAAGGATCACCGTGTTTGTTTAAGCCGAATTCAAATCAAAATGACGCCGATCACTCTGGGACAAGGCAACGATGCATTTCCCGCCAGCGCCAGACAGCAAGATGAACTGAGGCTTTATCTGCCTCGTTTTGGATTCTCATCATGCATGGTGTGAATAAAAAACATGGAGGAGAAAGTGAACACAGTTGTTCTTCCAGGAGACGTTATCTACGAATTAGAGGCAACTTCAGATGACAAAGAAGCATTCAGGTTTGGTCCAGGGATACGGGAAGAATCTGGCAAGATCATGTCGTCGAAAGCTGGGGTACTGCGGACGAAAGAGCCCAATATTTTGTGGATTGACAGCAATCAACGCAGGGTAGGTATCGGCACATGCTCATGCTGTCAAATAAGCAATTCTCTTAAAGACTAAAGTTGAACGGCCTTCAAAGAAAAAGATTGAATAACTCTACCGAAAAATTTATTTTTGTGTTTAGGTAGTCACGTATTCTGCAAAATTGTTTTAAGTTTCTTGAAAAATGTGGCTTAATGTTTATGTTATTTGCGAAAATTTTTGCTTCATGCGAAATTTCGCAAAATGCAAGTTTCGAGGTGGTATTTTGTAAAATGCAAAAACTGATTTAAGAAACTTTATTTACCCTAATCAACTACTGAAAACAATCAATTCACATTTAGGGTGGTTCTGTTCATCATGCTAAAAGCCAAGTTCCTGTCCTACCCCATTTAGCGTTTGACAACTCATGACAAATTTTGAAAATGGCCCAAAAACCAACTCATACCAAAGTCCTGAACTGCCTAATTGTGAATTGCTCATGCCAGCTGAAGATGAGAACAGTAATCATCCCAGTTCTTGCTAATTGGTAAATATCTGCCATTCTGCGTAATTTATGTCTTTATCCACAAGGCCCACTTTCCTGTTACCTTTTCCGGTGAAACCGCATGTTGTGAAAAATGGTGGGGGTGACATCAAAGATTTTTGCAAAATACATAGTAGCTAGAGTTTTTTTTGTATTTTGCAAAAACCTTGTCCAAATATTTGTTTTTGTTTGAGTAAATGTACGGAAAGGCTTTAGATTGTATCTAAAAAAATTGTGTTAATTGAGTAGGCATAAAAAAATTTTATTCCTTTACGATTGGAGTGGTGTCACTCATCATGTCTGGGCGCAAATCTGTCTGATTAACAAGGAACATAGGTAGACTTGATATCTTCTTTTAAAATTAGCTTTTGTGAGTATTTGTCATATCTGCAACCCTATTGGAACGATGGGCGACACCACTCCAATCACTTTTGTAGCTTATTATTGTAATATTTGTGTCTCTATGTTAAGTGTAAGTCTTGGGGTTGTTATGCATTTCCATGCTCCCTAGGCTTTTGTATTGTAATTGTTGTCGTTGTAAATTTTTATGTGAAATTTGGCCCTTGAAGATTCGGATTTTAACTGACAAATTCCGAGTAGCAAAACACTCTATGGTAGAAATCGGTAAATCCTGGGAAATCATTTTGTTTTTGTGGAAATCTAGTATTTTCTATTCAAAAGTGAATTGTCTCTGGAAGAAACAGAAAGTATTTTAGTCCAAATAATTTATGTCAAAGTTCATTTACTTCTTCTTTTTACCCACAGCTGAAGTTTAAGAATTTTCTGACATGACAATGTTTTTTCGGAAAATCTTTTGCTGACATGCAGCATAGTTATATCTAAATAGTCTGTGAAGCCAATATTTCGATTTACAGAGAGCCTAAGCGCTTGAGCATTTCTGCTGCGTATGTTCTGAGAACATTCTATGCTACAGGACAACTATATTTATTTGATTGATTTTTGTTATCTATAATAACCTTGATTGTCAAAGGACCTTCTTTTTGTGGGTCTATTTGTCCCCTGCTGCATCATTGACAAAAAACCCATCTTCCTTTGAGCAATTTAATCGATATTTACCCTAATCATGGTGAAAACAAGAAAGCAGATGTTTTGTAATCTACCTGATGACCAACCTGTTTCTGGGGAAATTTGAACAAAGCAAAGCGATTAGCATATTTAACTTGATCCACACATCACAAAATAGGCACAATTAAAAGTATTAATAAATGTTGCTCAGCTTATGAAAATCAAAACTTACAATTTTTCCTTGTAGAAAATAATTTTATGAAGTTCAAAAACAATGATCAAATGCACTTCTCATGTGTGCAATCAATTGCTTGCATGATTGGTGCCATTCGTGTGCCATTGCGTGGGCGTGCGATCGGGTGCATCAAAAGACAGAGACTGAGTATGAAGAAGAGGTCCATTAAGTTTCATAAAATGTGTCAAGAAAAAGTCTTTTTAATAGACACGATTGACATGATTCTAGATACAGTCCATTTAGCCTTTCTATACAATTACTTGAAACTAATGTTCAGAAAAGGTTGGTTGAGTTTTTGCAAAATACAAAAATATTATGTACTTTGTGAAAATCTTTGATGTCACCCCTCTTCTTTAGCTGGCATGAGCAATTCACTATTAGGCCTTTCAGGACTTTGCTGTGGGTTGGTTTTTGGGCCATTTTCAGAATGTTTCAATGAGTTGTCAAACGCTTAATGGGGCAGGAACTAGGCTTTTTGCATGAACAGAACTGCCCTGGATGTGAATTGCTTGTTTTCAGTCATTGATAAGGGTAAATAAAGTTTTTAAATCAGTTCTTCAATTTTACAAAATACCACTTCAAAACTTTTATTTTGCAAAATTTTGCATTTTCACATGAAGTGAAAATTTGTGCAAATTCCAATAAGCCAAAAAATGTTCCACAAGGAGCAGTCATTTGAATCCAGGCTGCAAGTGCAGAGTTTGGTGAGTCCATACATGAGGTATTTTTCTAAAATGTTCCTGCATTTGGTAAAGTGCGTGACATTTTGAGGTATGGGTGTGACATGGATGTGTTCTTTTGCTTAGGGCAAATTAAGAATAAAGTTTTCTCAAAATCACACTTCACACTGGAAATTTTGCTGGTACACACTCAAAATCTTGTTTGAAACTGCCATACTCTGCAGTCCAGATTTGAATCAGTGCCATTTGCTTGGCTGGAAACCTTTCATATGCTTGCAGCTTAAATGACTCTGCTCGCAGGTTACAGCTTAAAGAGTGCTTTTGCTTCAGCCACAGGTAGCCTAAATAATGTTTTCCAACCTTGGCCATTCCCTGTCTTTGCTTTGTCAAAAAATTTGGATCATTAAGCTCTTTATTCTATTCATTACTGGCATAAACACGTCATGAAAAATATACTGCCAGATTGGAAAACATATGACGCAACCAACAGCACCCTGTTAGCTGCAACCTGCGAGCACAGGCATTTTTCAAATGATATTAGCTGCTAGCAGCAATGCACATACATACTTGACTATACTATAATGTACACAAGTTGACTGTGTTTGTGTTGGTTCCAGCCAGATTTTAGACAGTTCAATTAATGAGTGGTACTTTCATGACATATTTTATATCTTTTACATTGAGGTTTCCAATTTCCATAAAGACTGTTTCAGGAGTAGATAAATTGTGACTTGCTTCATCAACCACTTTTAGCCTTAACCTGTGGCCTGTAATTTATTTCTCAAGCATCAAACTTATTCCCCTAAAAATCAAACAGTATTGAATTTTTCTGATGCTCAGATTTATTTTCAGTATGTTCCTGCCCGAAATGACAAGGTGGTTGGAATAATAACAAAAACAGGAAAGGAAAGCTACAAAGTGGATATTGGGTCCAGCTGCACAGCAGGACTTGGCAACCTCTCCTTTGAAGGAGCCACCAAACGGAACAAGCCTAACCTACAAGTATACCAATTTGTTTTGCTTATCTTAACTACAATCTTTCAAAACTGGCTAAACTATGCATAAGCAAATCAATCTTAATGTAAATACACTGAGGACTGCACTTGTGGTCATTCAGCCCCCCATCCCCTTATCCCCTTGATACAAGTAAGATAAAAAGTAGAAGGCTCATATTTATAAAATTTGAATTCAGGCAGGGTCAAGCATCTGAAAGGAGCCCTGCACCTCCGAAAAGTTTGCATTTGTTTAATGTTCACATATAAACACTTGGTTATTTATTCCAGAAAACAATTACCCCAAAAGTTTCTCCTTCCCTATTTAATGCTTAGAGACAAAGGATTACTGCCTTACTCTCCCAACACCATGAAACATTTCTATTCTATTGATTTTGCTTTAGGATGCATAACATGCATTTTCTTGTAATCGAGTAGGTCATAGAAGCAATTGGACAAGACACTCTATTGAAGACAAAGCTTTCAATGATTAAATTATTCAGAAATGTCAAGATATATTGAGATCATTTAAACTTTTCCAAAAGAGAATCTGGAGAAATTAGTCGTCAAACCGGATTCAGAACATTTTGAAAAGTACCAATTAGGATAAGGTTACATTACAAACTTTAGGAGAAGGTCGACAATAAGTTTAAGTCCCAGGAATCATACACTACTTTCACGTCATACACTATTTTCACGTCATACACTATTTTCACACCAAAATTTAACCACAGGAAGAACAATGTCAATTTCCTCATTACTCAAGACTATTTTTATTTTGCTTCCCACTTTAAGTGTTTTCCTTCCCACTATATCTTTCATAGCTTTCTTCAGTGTCGTCTCTTCAATCGCCTGAATAATTTTTGGTATTCTTTGGTATTAATGTTTGGTGATCTTGATATTGTGACCTGTTTACAAGAAAGGAAAATTGGCCCTGTAAATTTCCTCAAGAAAGAGGGCCCTTTGAGCTGCAGCTCAGTTGCCCAGCTGGCAAGTCAAACCCTGGTTGACATTTGAAGTAGGGCATGAAAAGGCAATACATCATTTTAAAAACATATTTGAAGAGCAGAATAATACCTTTATAAAAATGTGAAGAGTTTATGTGTAGCAAAGGGTTTGTTTTCACCCTTTGACTCCATTTGTAATATTCTCTATTGGCAATCGTAACTGACTGGCTTATTTTATCCACAACTGGGTTTCTATAATTCCTAACTTAAAATTTTCAACCACTGTTCTGGTGTTTTATACTCTGACGATTTTCAGACAAAGAGCTAAAGTATTGTTTAACGTATTTGTTTTTTCCAAAGCCATTTTTAATAGCGTAAAGACCAAACCATAGATGTTTCTTCTTAGAATGCAGTTCTGAAAAACTTTAAATTAAATGATATACAAAGGTTGAGGAAGGGCAAATTTTCGTCTGGGTGAATGTTGAGGCGTTTTCTGAACTCTGAACATTTGGTTAAGGTAAAATAAAAAAAGGAATTCGACCTTTCACAGCAAACGTTGTGCCATGTGTTACTGAACATAAGATGATACTTAAATAAAAAGTTACCATTTCAGTTTGAATAAATTGTTAATTGTTAGCTGTTTTCTAATCTTTCAGATTGGGGACCTTGTGTATGCAAGACTGTCAATGGTTAATAAAGATATGGAGCCTGAACTTACTTGTATGGATACAACAGGAAAAAGCAATGGCCTGGGACAATTGAATGGAGGCTTCTTGATAAAAGTGTCACTCAGACTGGCGAGGAAGTATGTCAGAAATTTTCAATGTGCTATTTTAAAAAAAAGTTGAAAACTAATGGCTATCAGCAAAATCAGTCGGTATAATTCTTGCCCTTGGGAAGAAAATTTTGTATTTATGATAGAAAAAACTGCCAACGGAATCCTTTTTTTAGAAACGTTGGAAACTTAAGCTGGATTTCAATAAGGCGATTTCTTTCGCATAAATCTAAAAAATTGCCTTTATCAGAAAGACCCTTGCCAATACATTGGAAAAGACCTGTGTGCCAAAATCAGATCAACATGGACGGCCTTTAATATATGATGTCCTGTTAGTCAAATTAACTTTGCTAACTGGGCTAGCTATTGCCATGTTTTCAGTCACGAATTAAACACTTATTGGTCACTTAGCAAAAACTTTGGGGTGAAATGGTTGGACTGTGGTGTACTGTACTTCAATAGAATATTAAATAATATTTCAAGGTTTTCAAAAAATATCCACAAAGTTGATTAATTTACAGATTTTGTCAAAAGTCGATGTTCTTTGCACAGCAGTAAAACCAAGCGTTTGTAGATATAAAAATGGATGCCAATGTGACTTCAAAACAGCATTTAAGCAGGGCATGATGCAAGCAAAGGACATCCATCTTATTTTTTGCAAAGTAATGATTATGTTTTTACATGGTTTGCAAAAGGGAAAACACTTACAAGACAACATCTCAAAAGGTTCCACAGTAAGAGCAATTTGATTTTAGTTCTTGCTTAACGAATTCGTCATCAAGTGACGGAGAGTTCAAAATAAACCACCGTGGCTCTCCTTTTTCTCCTGTCCTGTGCCATTCGAAATATCTCTACAATACTTCCTCCATCTGCAATTTATTTGACATTGTCGCTGTGTCTAACTTTTGGCCTTCCTCTTCCTCTCTTTTCATAAACCATTCCCATAAATAAATATGTTGTTATATCATTCGCCCTAAGTATGTGACCTATAAAAGACATTTTTCTTCTGTTTAGTGTTGTTAGTAGCCGCTCGTTTACAGTCATCTTTTCCAGTACCCATTCATTAGTTTTCTTTTCAGTCCAACTGACGCGCATTAGGCGTCGGCAACACCATAGCTCAAAAGCTTCTATCTTCTTTTTGTCTGACTGTTTCAGCACCCAGCATTTTGAGCCATAACTCGCTATACTAAAAACCAATGAGTGTAGCAGCCTTTTCTTCGTAGCAATTGTTATACTTATGTTCGTTAGTGAAACCATTGCATTTCTTGCTATACATAATCTTCTGTGAACTTCTTTCTTGTCATCATAATTATCAGTAATCAGTGTTCCGAGATAGATAAATTATTTTACATTTTCGATTCTCTCATTTCCATTGACTATTATATGCTCTGCTTCATTTTCATTCTGGTTATTCTTGATTATTTTCATAACTTTTGTTTTACTTGCGTTTAGTGCAAGTCCAAATTCCAAGCTTGCGTCTTTAACTCTGTTAACTAGGTCTTGTAATTCTGCCATGCTACCAGCTATTAAGACAACATCATCACAGTAATTCCGACACTATATCATCAATACCAGGACTTTTACCATTCTTAAGTTCCTTGATTGCCTTTTCAACTTCTGAGTACAACGGAGGTGGTTCTCCTTTTTGGTCAGCAGTGGTTGTAAGTGATGGGTCAATAACGTTGCCATTTTTCTTATATAGATTGGTGCAGTATTCCTGCCACCTTTTTTTACTTCTTCACTCTCACATATAATGGTTCCATCTTCCTCTTTCACAGTGTCAATGTTAGGTTTGAATTTCCTGGTCAAACTTGCCTAACGAATTGCTGACATAAAAATAATGAGTTAAGAGAGTGTTGAACTACTAAACCCATGGTAGCATGGGAAAAGTCTTTCCAAAATAAGGCAAAAAGCTTTTTGGCTATGTTCTAAGACCAGTGCTTCCTTACTCATTTAGATAGACAGCAGCTTCAACCAAATGAAACTGATAAAACATGGAAACGAAAGGTTTTCTGGAAAACATTACTTTATAAAAAGTCACTGCTTAAAACAATATTAACCAACTCGTCGGTGTGCTTCCTGGATTATGCGAACAAGCCGCAGTATGATTTTGAACCTCAATGCTTTCATTGTTCTTGCTTCACGACCTGGTACAGTATGGTGATTAATTATATCCGGGAAATTTTCATACCTTTCCTATTTCGGAATGTAAATAGCCCAACGTCTGTGTTGCTCTTATTTTTACATATAAAACGTTGGCAACCAAAACTGGATGTCGGCTGTGAAAGAAGGCAACTGTATTGGTACCTTGGCGAAATTCTTACCAATTTTCTTCGTATCCGTGGTTTGTGGTTGTGAATAAGGCAATCCATCACCAAACCCAGGGGCGGATACAGAATAAAAGTTGACGGTCGCACATTAACACTGCCCAGCAGGCGGTCTAGGGGGCCTCCCTCATGGTCAAGGGCGGAGCCATGATGGGGGCCCAGCCCCCCCAGAACCAGACCAATTGGGACTGGGGCCCTGAAACGCTCAAATTGTTCAGTCAAACATTTTTCGCTTTAAAAGGTTTTCCAAATTTTCCAGCAAATCCAACACGCAGTTGAAACAAAATATCTTGAGATTCAGAAGTGTACACTTCCTCTGCACCGTATAGATAAAGAAAATTGGGACTCTTCCCTTTCACAACTTACAGCCTCATCCACTTTCTTCCCTTGCCAGCAGTTGTGCGGCACAGTAATCTAACATAGTGTTTACAGACTTTTCGTGCCGCAAAATATGTGAAAACTTGAATTTTGATTGGTGAGATTTGGTAAAATATTTGCATAACAAAGAGCCCTGCATATTTGTGCGGCACGGGCGACATGCTTAAAAATCATACTGTTTACGGTCTAGGATGGTATTGGAATTTTTTCTATATTGAATTAAATCGTAGCATTGTGTGTGAGATCGACAAAGTTCGGTCCTGTGTTCATTGTGTAAAGAGAGCAGATTGTATTATCTTTAAGGAGGAAAATAAAAGATTTTGGTAAACACGATTGCCTTATTTCAATGACTGAAGACTAAACCTAAATTCTAAAAATCTGACGGTCTTCCGTGCGACCTGTGCGACACCCTGAATCCACCCCTTACCAAACCATATTACAGACTGTGTAACCGGTTGTAAAACACATAAGAAAGTGCTGTTAGATATAACTTAACTTTGCAAAATATTCATTTATCTAAATTCAGTGCCCAAATCAATGGTTTTGCCGGCCCTTTTATGGTACATTCTTTTTTACCTATATTTGTTTTTTTATCGCGAGAGTAAAAAAAGGTAAAGCTATTTTTTTAGTGTCAAAAACTGAATGCAATAAGTTTAAACAAATTTTGTGAAACAAGCGGGTAAAAAATTTTGAATCTTCCCCACAAAAATTAGCTTTTATTAGCAAAACATATTCCTGAAAATCTTTTCGAATTTGATAATTGATTTCCGATGGATTTTTTGTAGGTTACTTCGACCAGACCACATAGTTCTCGCTTTACTAGGAAGGCATTTTCCTTTTGAAGTCACTGTTGGTCTCAATGGACGAATTTGGATCAATTCAAAAGGAATACTGAACACAATCGCTGTGGCAAATGCAATAACAAACTCAGAGTTTCTTGGTGATAAAGAAATAAAGACAATGGTCGATAAGATTGTGAATGAACTGCGAAAGTCTTGATACGACTGCTGCCATTGGATCCCTGTGCTCTGTTATACGAGGGGAAGACGTCACGACACACTACTAATGTCTCCTCAAAGTTTCTTCATGCAACAACACGCACAATAAAAAGGGTTGCATGATGATGCCTGCAATGGAGCACAGGCAATGACTTCGGAAATGTCAAATCGTCATTCGGAGCTCGGCCTACTTAAAAGTCAATATTGGCCTGCTCAAGAGTCAATCTGCCAAGGATCTATGTGTCTGTGAAACACTTGAACAAAAGCGAAGAAGAAAAATACTAGATTGTAGAGTTGGAACGACAAATAGTCCTTGTTTGGAAGTGGTGATTTTTTGTAAATATAAATATATACAAGAATTTTATCATTTCACTGATTATACCAATCAAGGAATAAAAGTGAAAATGTACACATAACCAGAAAAAACAGAATCCAAACTCTAAACGTTGCACTGTTTTTGATTGCCTGTGAAAAAGAAAAATCCTTTCTAGCAGTAGGTACAAATAGTAGTTAAAGGCTCCTGCACAACAAACGCCTTGCGAATTTATTTTCTAAACGGGACTAATATCTTCCTGCATGAAAATACAAATATAGTTTATAGACACGCGCTGCTTTAATCTTCGGCCTAAGTGTCTTGGATCGGCCTAAAAATTTAGAAAACTACAACAAAAAACGACCCATTTCTTCTCACATAAAAAGACAGCTACCGCAAAGCATGCCAGTTGCGCCAGCGCCTTTAATGTGCTTCACCTGGGCGATTCGTTGAATCACACAGTTTTTGCATATCACGAGGATAGTTGCAAGATTAATTGGTGCCTGGAACCAACATTGTTGCAAGTTGCAAGAAGTCAAAGGATTCGTTTCTTAAATGGGGTTTACATAATTCGGAATGGATGGGGTGAATAAAGTTTCGATTTGCTTGGATTGGTATCTTTATTAAGGCAATCAAGAAGGTTTGTTTCCACGAGTTATTTGTACGTTATAGTGAACATCCACTTCAATGATAATTTCCATACCTCTCGAATATTTTCATTGCCGTCTTTGACGTTTTCAGTTGTTGATACAGTTGTCTCGTGCACCTTGTCGATTTGTGATGCCTAAAATAATGGCTGATGTTTAAACAATGATTAGGACAGCGAAAACGAGTGGAATACAGGAAAAGGGGCGATAATTCACACTAATAAACATGTTTTTAATTGCATTTTAGGAGTAATTTGAAAGCATCAAGTCGGAATAAAATATGACAACTGATCACGTGGAAGTTGCCTCTTACTTCTTTTACAAGAAAGATTTTGTCAACGACAAAATATAAACAACAGCCATCAAGAGAGAAACAAATTTTCAAGCTAAAAATGAGCTTCATAAATTTTAAAATCGTATAAGTTACTATGCATTCGTTGCATAGATCCTAAACAAAATAAGTTTTTCACTGGCAGTAAAAAATGAATGAATAAGTACTTAGAGAAACAAAAAAGGAATGAACGTAGATCTAATGTGATTAGAGCCTGGGAAAAAAGTTTCTTTGAGAAGAGATTTGGACCCACATCACTTTTCTTGGCGAATGCTTTTTTGTTTTCAAAAAAATCAAACTGGCTAATTAGGAAGAAGCTGATCAGTTTTCTTCTCCTTGCATTCAGCAAATATTTTGTGCAGCCAAGACCTTTTTGTAATTTTTAGCTTTTCCATATTTTCCAATTTTTTTTCATCAATGCAGTACAACAAGCTAGGAACTCACCATGAGAGAAATGGTTTTTATATTTCAGAAAATTGCCTAGAAGATGACTCAAGTGTATGTTTGGAAGAACACAAGTTTGCACAATGCCTGAAAACGTTTCTCTTTTAATACATGTAGGTATTTCCAATAGTAGCTCACTGATCATGTACTTTACAACTTTTACCACCATTCTTGAGTATAGCAGGGGACACAGGAGCACATTTTTGAGTGGGGGGGGGGGTTCTCTAGACAAGTTGGCAAAATTTTATGGTAGTTTGCCACCATCATCTTTGATGCCACTGCCTTAATATAAAACTTCAGCAAAAATGTAGGGGGCCATGGCCCCAGCCCCTGGCTCCAGCATGCCTGGTAGAGGTAATTCAGGCACTTGGCAATAATTTCTGTTTTCAATTTTGGCTCTAGCTGTGAGGACTGACATTATTAGCGTTGATTCCTGGAATATTTATGTTCCTAGCAATAAGCCTCTTTACCATGACTAAATGCCTTTTAGATCGCACACACACAGATATATAATAAGCAAAAATAAACAAAAATTTTAGAAAACTTCAAAAGCTAGACAATTTTTCTTACCTGATCAAGAACTTTTTCTGAAAATATTTCTTGAAGTTGTGATATCTCAATCACTTTTCCTTCGATTTGTCTAGAATAGAATCAATAAAACTTGATGAAATAATGTTAGCAAGAATCACTAAAATCTGTTAGGAAGATACTATTGGCAAAAGTTTTGCTAAGTAGTTTTTCAAATTTGAAAAATTGTTCAACTGCCTACAGAAATCAGTATTGTTTTTTTAGGGAGTTATATCCCAGGAATAGGTTTTTGAATAAAACTAAATCTGTATCAAAATTTTTTCTTCAAAATAAAATGACAAAAATAGCAATGCAAGACAAAAATAGTGATTTGTGACCTTAATTTTAATCAACAATACTTTGATGGACTTTATAGATATCCTAGCACATAAAAAACATCTGCCACACCATACTTTCTTCAACATATTGATACTGTATTGTAGTGGGTTTACAAACTCTTAATACATACTTCACTTCATCTACCAAGCCACTTAGTTCATTGAGTAGTTTCATGTTTTCATCTTCAAACTAAAACAAGCAAAAACATTTAAACAGTTTGTTAATACTTCATGTAATTTTAAAGAAGTAATTATATAAACAAATTAGAACTGTCTTACTTACTTTACGTCTAAATTCTTCAACAAACCGGTGATCTCTCAAGAAAAAGTAGTATTTATTCCTGTGTTCCTTTGGAGAAAGAAGCAATTTTCCCTTCTTTCTTTTAAAGAAGGACAATTCACGTTTTTTGGGTCTACTGTTCTTTCTCTTCTATAAGAAAATATTTCTACTCTCACTTATATTTAGAGTTAACCAGAAATTTAACCTTCCTTGCCCCAACCATCAGAATCCTATATTTCCATCAAAAATTGAAACTATTATAAACTTTTTACATTTGTTATGTTATATACATTACATTTGGATCAGCTCTTTGGTTACATACTATTTCCCCCTTCTAAGTTTGCAATGTTTCATGTTGCCAAGAACCCCCAGGTGATGGATCTTTAATCCATTTGTTTAATTGTTGGAATTTGAACTTAGAGAAATCATCCAACAGCAATAACATGAATTCTAGCAAGGATTTTGCAACATTTTTGAAAAAATGGTGCTCTTTTTATTGGATGCAAAAATTAAAAAGAAAAGTGCAGGTACCATCTGAACCTCTTCTTTAGACAAGGGCTCCTCTATTTTTGGTTTAGGCTCTTCAATTTCTAAAAAGGAAAAATCAACACTGCTCAAATTTGCCCGAAAGACCTGTAAAAAATTTACACTCATTTTGATGAAATATCTAAACTAGCAGTTGAAACAAACTTCACGCCTTCTTTTAAATTTAAGAAGGTGAGAAGGTGAGTAAACATTTCTATAGTTTTTAAGTGTAACTGATCAATAGTAAATTAAAAGAACTTAGCAAAAAACTTCACAGCTGCAAAGTTACCTGCATTGAGCTGGATCTATCAAACCCAAAGCAAATAAGGTAGTATAACAATGCAGTGTAAATGTTATGCATACCAACAATATTTTTGGGGCTTTTCAGATTAGGTAAATCCTTCTTTACCAAAATGTTTTCTTTGTTTTGTACAGTGTTCAGTCGAGACCTAAAACATATATTTAAGAGACAAAATATATCTAATTCTAAGTTTCCTCAAAAAGCTATGATAAGGAGCTACTTGATATTTGAAAGGTCAAAGATCTCAAGATCATAACAATCAAATTTATGTTTTTGTCTTTAAAACAGAAACCGAATGCTACGCATAAAGGGAAACATATCATTTCAATTCTTCACTTGTCCTAATACTTTATTGGGATGAATTATGATGCAAAACAAGGCAGCTTCATACTTAGCTGATAGTGGTATTAAGGTTTTGGAATCAGGGTTGGGTTCAGGTGGGTTCAGGTGAAGGTTCAGGATTAAACCCTACATAGATACACATAATGTAATAAATTTACAAAATATAAAAGTAAAAAATTTAAAAAATAGATATTCTTTCTACCAAAAGCAAAAGGTTTTTCTGAATCATTTTAAATCAAATCTAATAATTAATCATAACAAAAAGATAAATTTTTAAAAAGAATTTAGTGTAACAATAAATTTTAACAAAAAAATATTGCTTTGTGGGTTTCAAAAGAGCTTTACAAGGGATCATTGTTAATTCAAATAAAAAAGCACTCATATCGATGAATAAAAGCATTATATTTGAATTCTACTGAAATTTAGAATTCATACATTCTTTTTCGGTCAACAGCTTTCTTCACACGTATGGCTCTTTGCTGGGCATACAACTTGCAAACCGCTAAACCAAAAAAATAATCAATCATATTAATGAAAAACGAAGCAAAATCATGAATTTGAAATGATCAATTCATAAACCCTAAGGCCAAAATTACTCTTTAAAGATCCTTATTTAAAAACGAAACTGAAAACACATTTGGCTTTTAAAAAACCTGGAAGTATGGTTACACCTGCTCAAGACTTTGGCTTCTTGACAAGTGTTTACAAATTTTACCAAGAGTGTTAAACTTAGTTAATAGTTTTGTTTGAATTGATGCAAAAAAATTAAGAGCTGACCCCTTAGCAACCCTACTTTGTTCATATTTGGCAGGTATACACTCTCTTCCAATTGCCCCTCCAGTCTTTTTAAAATAGTTTGAATGGACATTTTCAGACTGGTGCCACAAACTTTATTTTAAATGATTAAAAGGGACAGTTGTCAACATTATAAATCTAGTCTTCGACGCCTCTTAGCTTGAGGCATCTGATTGCATGGTACAGCATTCATCATTTAGGGAATCACATGACAAAATATGCATTTTGAACATTGGGAAACTGTTTGTGCTGATCAAATGTGATGAAACAAACAACTCTAAATCGGCATCACCACTGATGTCATAACAGGAAGTAATTTTTTAGATTAAAAACATTTTAAACCTACTTTTGGAATCAAAATAACAAAGTTTCTTTAGTGGGTGTCTATAACACTTGATAGTTAAGAGTTATATAGTTCCTTTTGGTACCAGAAAGCTTGAAAATCAAGCAGAAAAGCTGTGACATCAATAGTACTGACATCAATAGTACTGACATTTCTGTGGGATTTAAACAAAAGTTATGGAACATGTGCCTGGATAAAAACATTGCTTTGGGGCGAACGATCAGCCAGGCACCTGCTAAGATCTTTATGGAGAGGGCTGGTCTTTACACCACCCAGCCATTTTGCCACTGTCAACACAATATGTTAGTTTTTTAAGATACCAATTCTGCTTGCTCACTTTACAAAGAGAAGCTGACAGGTTACGTCATTTCAACCAACCTTTCAAATAGTCCTCTAAAAGCTGAAGCACAGCTTTCCTGTGAATAGATACTTGGTTGTTTGTTCCAACTACAGAATAGAAGTGATAACATTTTTATGAAACATTCACAGAAAATGCAAATGTTGATCTTTTGAATAGAATATAAACAAGAACAAGATAGAAACATGTACACACTGGAGCAACACCCTAGTAAAAAAGACCTGACTCTAGAAGGGTTACATAAATAAGTCAATTGAAATTGATTGGTAAAACTTCCCAACAAATTTTAAAGAAGTTTATCCGTACATTCTTGACTGATGTCTCCAAAAAAGATTTCATCACACAAAAAACTGTACTTAAGAAATCATTACGTTCTTTCTTTAGAGAACTGATTGATGAAGAGCAGGTTTTCATGCATATTTGGACATCCTTATCAATCTGGTCTCTTTCTGCTTCTGTCATACATTTTCCAGGCAGAAACCTATGGAGGTCAAATAAAAAGGCAGATTAAATTTACTTCAAATCATTCTCTAACAATGTATTGTCATTGAGACAGAAGAAAAAAGGAGTTTACCACTTTTTCTACAATTAAAGGGGTTAGGCCCCGTTGATATTCCCAGGAACTTGAAATTATCCAATTACATCATCTCAATCAATTCTGCTTGCAATTCAACTTGTTTGCCTTTCTCAGATTACTTTCAATCCGTCTATACTAGACAAGAATAACATTCTGGTATTTTCCAGTCTTGAAAATATGATACAGCATAACAAATTCCAAGAACGTTTCCAAGCTTTCCAGCCTGGCTCTAACCCATGTGGAATAATATATTGTTTCTATCTCAAATTTTATCAAAGTGCCAGGCTCCCAATGGCCAAGAACCTTTGATGGACCTTCAAGGAGAGTTGAGAAAGCGAGTATCTCTGTAGTGAGAAAGTGAGTTGAGAAAGCAAGTAAGGGAGATGAAGTCTTTTGAAATGATTTCACAAGAAAAAAATATTCTAGAGGTCAGTTTGAATCTAAACCAAAAATGTGAATCCATCTAATCTGGTCAAAATCCAAACCCAGTTTTGGCCATGAATAAATATTTTTGGGTAAAGGGCTGCATAAACAATTCTAAATACCTGTGGACTCCTATATAATCACTTCGACTGGCAGATATGACATCTTTCAATTTGGTAATATTCTTCACCTGAAAAATGATAAGGGTAGTCACACTTGCAATTTAATAATTAATAAATAGGTTACAAACTAAATAAAAATAGTATTATCATCACAGACAGAGGCCAGACTGGAAACTTTGCTTCTTGCGCGGGCAAGTTTATTTTGAAAATTTGAGACTGCGCGCCTGAAATCATGCACTCTTAGTTATTTTTATTGTTAATAATGTTAAATCCTATTTTCAAGGGATCTAGGGGATTTTGCGCGGCCAATATGCAAAAGCGCGCAGAGGTGTGCGCGGGCAATATATTGCGGGCGCGCAGCAAAGTTTCCAGTCTGGGACAGAGGTATAATAATACTATTTTTTGGACTTTTTCGAGCTTTTTGGACTCTTTCGAGCTTTTTGGACTTTTACCTTGCCCATGTTTGTTGAAACTGTAATGAAAACTTCAAATGGAACTTATCAAATCAATGTCTCTAAAAGATGAATAGAGCAGGTTACTTCAAAACTTACGATTTCCTTGGAACGAAGTTTGAAAACCGAGTCTTGCTGTTTCTTTCCGAGTTCAGTTAAAGGTTTTTCAGTTATATCTTCACTAATATTTTTCTTTCTCATTCGTACTGCCTTGAGAGTAGCTTTAAAAGTCTTTGAAATATCCATTTTATGGGGAAGTATGGAGCTCTTTTGAAAAAGTAAAGAACAAGCAGGCAAAATTGGAAAGTATTGTTGTTGCTGCTGCTGCATCGTCAGCACACAAGTCCACCTCATTGCACATGTCAGACTGGTCTCTTTTTCGTTTTCGTTGTGAACAGGATCCGTCCGGATAAATTGGGTAAGAATCAGGCGCGCAACCAGAAATTCCAGAGGGCAGGGGTCAAAGACACAAAAAGGGCACTAATTAAACTTCATTAAAGGTCCACCGGGGCATTTGTTTAGGTACGCCGAAAATATGAGCAGTTGGTAAATCTGTAAATATTGTACGCCAGACAAGGGAAACTGATCAATAGAGAAAAGTTGTGGTGTGCTATGCACATGACTTCTTTCTGTCTGCTATCTAGTGCCGCCGGGAAGTTTAGGAGGCCCGAGGGAGGGGGGAAATGGAAAAAAACAATGCCTCTTGCGAGCGAAGCGAGCAAACATTTTGCCACAACACCCTTGCAAATAGCTTAAATTCACTAATTCGTTGAAGATGTTTTACTTTTTAATTGTAATTTTGTTACTTTTAATAAATTCCATTTAAAAACGGAATTCATTGCTTTGTGAGGCTCCCTAGACCTCAAGGCCCTAGGGCAATTCGCCCCTTTGTCCCCCCCTCGGCGAACCTGCTGTCATCTCCTTTTCCCAGCGCCAGCTCACTTTTGAAAAGCAGCCCATCATCTTCCATATCCGAAGACATTTTGCTCTTTAAAATATTATTATTGAATTCTTTGCTTCGCACTACAGATGGGAGGAGGCTGAACAGTTCCACGAGCCTTGCCTTCAGCTGGTTTCTGTCTCCAAGTCTTGCCTTCAGCTGATTTGTAATACTGATAAGGAACGAAACAGCTGAACATCAACTTTTTGTGCCATCTTTACTGCTTGCTAATACCAGTCCGAAAATATTTCTCTGCATTCGCTCGTTTCATGCAAAGGTCTTCTATGACCCTGTCAATTATGTGACAGGCTTGAAAAATGTCTTGGTTTTTTTTCTTGTAACTTTTGACCAGAGGTCGTAGAGGCTCTATCCCGTTCAAAATCTTGTGCCTTTATTTTGGTTTTTGAGTCCCAGAACCATTCTTCTTCAAAGCCAGTACGTAGCGCATCATATAACACGCTGTAGAGTTGGGTTTGAAGATAGACTATTACTGCAACATGATGACTTTCGACCCAACAAGTACGTGAAAGTTTGACTAAATCATTTATCTGTATTCCTGCGAGGTCCATTACATCTCCGGAGTGTGTCATTTACTGTATGACCAACCATTTTGGCGTAATAATCAAAATATTCAAGCAATTTTCCAAGAAAAAGGGCACTTTTTCCCTTTTGAGAAAAAGGGCAGGGGTCTGGACCCCCAGGACCCCCCCCCCGTAGTTGCGCGCCCGAGAATCCCCCATAAACGTTTAGCATCCGCTACGCCCATGAAGGGATGAGTCAGAGAACAGCAGAGTTTTTATATTGCCATTTTGTAAGTACTGGGTGCAATAACGGGGGACGGGGAGGACATGTCCCCCTAGTTCTCGACAGGATCGAGTTTTTCAAAGTAAGACGCTTCTTACCCAAAAATTTTCTGATATGCCTTTACAATTCTTTATTCTCACCTTTCCCGCAATATGGAATTTTGGTTTGGGTTCTCACCTACGAGACATACATCAATCCACTATTCTTGTTGCAGAAAAGGGTTACTAGAGCAATACATTTGCAAACTTCACTTCACCTTACTCACCCATCTTTTCCGACTTTAAGATTTTAAAATTACATGATCTCTTCAAGTTGAAACTACTTAGTTTTGTTTTAATTGTGTGAATAGGAACTCTATATGGTACGAGGCAAGCCACCATTTCGTCTCGAGCTCGACGCACATGTTTATCTTCGCCTCGAGGTGCGGAAGTAGAGTCTGGAGTATTGATCGACAGTGAAAGTATAGACAGAGAGAAAAGTGTGTTTGATGCAAGAAGGAAATGAACACAGGGTATGCCCCCCCTCACTTGTTTGCAAAACAATATGGCTTTTTTCAAAATCTTTTGTTATGATTGCTAAATTCCCCCCCCCCCCCCACTTTCCATCCTGCGTCGGAGCCCATTGAACACTAACCATCTTTGAAAAATATATGAAGCATAATAGATCAAAAAATGAAGGATATGCCATCTCGGAATACGTTGTTGAGAAAAATCAAGCAACATTTTATTTTCCAAATGTATGAAACCTTCATCCTACATTCATGAGGAGTTATGCCCCAAAATTCTCTTAAGGTTTTACACTCATGGTCCGAAAGTATTGCACCCTTCGCCAAAGGCCGTTCTGTTAACTAAAGAAAATTTAAACAGCTGTTACAAGTAACAAATAGCTTTAAGCTGAATGTTTTAGCGGGAAATAATATAACATTCATCAGGGAATTTTAGTTAAGATAAGAATAGAAAGAAATTCGAGTTTCTTCTATTTTTAAGCAATATCCATAATAACGAAAACATGAAGATTGAGCTTTGATGGTAGGTAAACCTGTGAAATATTTCCAATAAAAAAGGTTTTCTTTGCATAAGCTTGAAGGATTGTGATATGGTGAATTCAGAGATACTCACTTCGTGCTTGGGCGTCTAAAAAATTTTAATTTCCTTACGGAGCAACCGAAAGTTGAAAATCAAACTCAGAAAATGAGACTGGTGCTCTTTTATAGGATTACTATTTTTGTTGAAACATTTGTTTCTAATTTCCAAATTTTCCAAGCTGTGTTTTTGTTGTTCCATTGCTCTCTTTATAGCTAAGAGATTAAAAACGTGAAGACTATTTTTCTTTTATTAAAAAGATAGGTCTTACAAATGCTTGCTTTTCGGAAACAAATGCTTATAGCCAGCACCAGAAAAACTAGAGGCATACTTTTTTGGCTTTGAAAACCAGCCTGAGTCTGAAAGCCTAACATATTTAGTGACCCTCTCTCGTGGTCCCCGATGATTTCAACCCTTGAGGTGATGTGCCCTAAAAATGAAGCATGAACCTCTTCCATCAAGCATGACACGCTTTTTCGTCGAGCATCGAAGCTTCATACCCCCCTAATGAAAATAGTGAAGTTTCGCCCCTGGCTACCAAAAATGATATTTTCCTATCACAGAAAAATACTCTGCAATACGGTATTAGATCAGTGCGCTACTACGGAGCTAAATGCTCGAATGAAATTCTCATACATATAAAAACATCACCTTCTAGTAATAATTTTCGACAAAAACTCAAAGCCTTCCTCTTTCAAAACCACTACCAAGTTTGAATGTAAAAATTCTGATATAGTAAGTCATGATCTACCCATAGTTTCTTTTCCTTGAACTGAACTGATTCTCATCGAAGGACCAATTTCTCTCGACGATGCATTCTTTGTAAAAACTCTATTACAAATTTGATGTTGCAAATGATAAAAGCTTAAAAGGAAGAAAAATCCGATCCAAGGGGCCCACATGAAAAGTTTTAAAGGGCCTACCTGGACATTTTCTGCATCCCGGTGGGCCACCACACCCCTGGGTACAATTGGCTTTTCTTGTTGGTAAATGGGCGTTTTCTGGCGATAAAAAGGACATGGCCTAAAAAATTGTCTTTTGTTCCCCCGCCAAGAGCCTAGTGGCTGGCACTGCCACTGATAGGTGGGGGGACAGTTTTCCTAACTACAGTATCAGTGGAATTCCTTTGCTTTTCAAAAACTAGATAACCTATAATATTAGATAACCTACAACTTGTAAACAAAGAGGTATTGCGCATTATTTGTTTCAATGTACAGTAAAAAAGCAACATGTTTGATAAATCAAATCTTTAAAACAGTGAAATTTCCGAAAAGCAAAATATTTCCTGCGGTTTGGCACACGGAGGCATATTTGGACTTTTGCTACTTTCACTTTATAATAATGATATATATGAATCTAGCAGAGCACTTCAATTTTGTTAGTCGCAAATGAAGCAAGTTTTATATTTGCTACTAAAAATCTTACATTTCTTAACTACTTAAAGTGACGCCATAGATCATTATTTATAACAAATTTTGTAAATCAAAACTTCCGCTAATTCAACCACACAGTAAAAAATTAAGTAAGATTTTAGATTTGCAAATGGATGGTAAAAATTTTTCAAAAACTTACCTAATATTAAGCGTATTAGTAGACGAAATTTCAAACTGGAAGCATCATTTAAAATCTCTGTACATTAAAAATTAGTTCCCTTGAAAATCTTCATACCATCCATTTATCAAGCCATATGAACTCTACGGTATTCGATGGTAGTCCCCCCCCCATTCCCACCCCCCGTGGCTCCACTGGTTGAAGGCACTACACAAAGTGATCCACTTTTTAAAGAGCAAGGGTCACTAAATATTTACTCATTAGATTTTTCAAAGTCAATCATTCCCCCCTCCGCCATGGAACAATGTTGGTTTACTATGAAACGGATTAGGATTTTAGGAAGCACTTTCTTGTGCGCTGCTTTCATGATATTTTTTCTTAATTATCAACATTGCTCTAGGGGGAAGTGGGCAGAAGTAGTAAATTTTTTGGGAAAAAGAATGAAAGATATAAAATGCAATGCAAATTCCTGGGTGTTCCAAGTACTTTTGGCAGGCATTGTATCTCTTAGCGTGCAAACTTTATTCAGAAAACTCTTGAGTGTGTGTAAAAATCAAATTTCTACCCACAAGCCTTTTTCTTTTATTATATAACATATTTTTGCAAAAGTTAATGAAACTTTTATAATCATGAATTTTAACTTGATTTAACTTTAAAGAAAAATCCTATTGTCAAAATAAATTCTTTTCGCCTTTTTTCAAACAAATAGATCAGGTCGCCTTTCTAATTAATCAAAAACAAAGGCCCTGATCATTTCCTTGGAAAATTATATTTTTCATGCTTCTAGACACTAAAAATAACATACCAACAATTTGGCACATAGCTATCAAAATTACAAATACTTATTGATATTCTCAAAGATTTTTGCTTGGGAGCATTAAAATCTTTTCAAATATGAAGGCTTGATTCTATTTCTGATAAAATCATCTTAAAGCGTTAAGTTTATTGGCAAGTGAAACCTCATTATCAAGATAATCATGACGGATTGTATCTTATTAACATATTTTATTTAGGGTTTGAACACAGGGAAGGACGGTAGTGGCTAATGGCTTGTAGCCAAATTACTCAATTGGAGTGGCAAAGTATGGCAGTTTTTCAATTGGATTTGGTGTATGACAAAAGGCAAATCGCTTTATTTCGGCCCATTTATCAATCCTACGCTTGCTAAAAGTCATATTGTTGATTAATGAAGAAACTTGCATGCAGGTTAATCTGAGGTGCAACCGAGACTGTTTGCTAGGATAACCGGATTGCTACTTTTTCTGCATCCAAGCAACTAGGTTACGGGAGACTATCTCTAGCTCTTGATAAAACTTCTTAATAAAACCTCTAACTTCTTGATAAAACCTTTAAACAGAGTTGTCTTGTGTTTTAGCTGTCTTGTGCAAAAAGTCCTTGAATATCGTATGATGGTCCTACCCTTTTAATAGGAGGAATGTCATGTCCTAATTGTTAAACCCGTCAAGCTATCAATCTAATTGTATATTATTTGTTTCTATATTGCACGATCAGCCCATTAACTGAACACACATCATAATTTGCTCGGCTTGTAATAGAATCGCACTGAAAGAACACAAGCCACGTTGGATTCACAAAAATTTAGCTAAATACAAAGAAATCAAATTACAATAGCAATTCCATAATTTCTATGAATATACATAATTTCTATTGCTTTCAACAATATCTAATTGGAACTTCTTTTCATGAGAACAGCGTCATGAAAATACTTGAATGCTTGTTTAATTATAGGGTTCTTTAAAATGAACGCTGTTTTACTACGTGTTTAACCTAATTCAGCTCAATTTACAATTCAATGTTTATTCTTAGCAATATTTAATCAAGTTACTATAAAATGTTGCTAGATTATCTAGCATAATTTCATAATTGCAAGCATCAGGAAAGTCTCAGATCTAGGTTTTTAATGCAATTACACGCAGGGGCGTAACTTGGCCAATAGTTTTGGGGGGGTGAAAAGGGTTTCTGCCCTGCAAAACTGAGTGGTGCCCTGCAGACCTAGTAGCAACGGTTTGTCTATAGGTTACTAGTGAAAGCTTTACCAGTGTACACTGGTCTTTACCAAGGACAAACTTCTAAGCAATAAAAACAAACTTGAAACTTCATTGCCTATGAAATTTCTATTTCTCTACGTGAGCGTAAATTGTTTTTTATATTCACTTCATTTAATGTTGGTTTGCAAAATTAGGCTAATAAACAGCTAATTGGGGGGGGAGGGGGTACATGATGTAGACAGCGCAACGAAATTTAACCCAGTGGGACTAAGAGTCGAGTTTAGTGAGGTAGGAGGACCCACCATGGTTGGGTCCGACGTGAAGAAATTTTTTGAAATTATACCTTGTAAAAAGGGCTAAAAAGCATCTTTCAGAAAAAAATTTAGCAAAATACTATTGTGCTAAAAGAACTGATTGTTTATTGAAAATATTATTGTTTATTGGGAAAAATAGGGAGGGGGATGTCATGCTAAAACTCTATTGTTAGACGTTTGGGAAGGAAAGAAACGACAACCTTTCGTTTCAGATTGCACGTAGTTGTGAATGACAGAGGAAGATGTTGTTTTGATTGGGAGAATTTTTTTTCCTGGACAGAAATGTGCAGTTTCTTGTATCAAGAAGGCCATGTTCACACATCCAAAATTAAAACATTGCAATGATACAGAAAATGATTTACTGAATTAATGCAAATAAAAGAAAAATAATAAAAATATACGTGAAAAAGTTAGCAATTAGATGAAACAAAATCGGTATCTTAACGATTTATTATGTTTTTTAGTTCATGCACTGATAAAAAGTAATAGAAAAAATGATAAAAAAATTCCTATCTTGACCAAAGTGAGGGACTTCAGCCCCTTATTTCTCCCCAGTGACGCCGTGCTTGTCATGAAAATAATTTACAACTTAAATTAATTTATATGGACTCAATCTTGCCCTCATAAACATATGCATCAATCATTGCATCCATTGGCTATGACTTTCGGTAAGGAATGCTTTCGCTTTGCTAATAACGGAGCTCTTCCTGACATACCTTTTCCGTTCTCTAAAATGCAATGTCAGGAAGGGAGGTTTATAACAAATATAATATTTCCATTTCAAAATTCGTGAACGGCCCTTTACGAACTTCAGAGGTGGCATTTCTGCGTGGCAACAAAGCTCTTCTTGGCGCCCTGCGAAATCTTCGATTGCCCTGCGAAATCGACTATTTTTTTGGATTGGGGGGGTGTCACACCCCCCCCCCACACCCCCCCGGTAGTTTCGCCCCTGATTACACGAACCAAACAGTAATAAGAACACATGAAATATAGGAGAATGGAATTCAATGTCGAATGGAAATTATTCATGGGTAAAAGGAAAAAGGAAGGGAAAGCAAAACAGGAAAGACTAAAGATATATTATGGTTCAGTGATTAATTAATTATACTCTATTAAAAATTGTTTTTAATCGCTTTGCAAGAGTGTTTTACTTTGGCAGGTATGAAGGTAAGATGCTAAAAAATACTTTTTAGCATCTATAATCAATATATTTGAAATTTGAAAAAGTGGTTGTTAGCAAAACGTTTTTGACCCTACAGGCAGATCCATTTTTCATTTTATCATCTCCGTTACCGTTCCTCTGTCATAGCATCATAGTACTTCCTTTGTCATATTTCTGTGCTTGCAAAAGTTGGCTTTCAGCTTCTCCTATGATGTCATTGTCCCACGCTTTCGTGAGTCACGACCGCTGCGAACGTTGCTAATCGAATGCGAAGGAAAGATTGAAGGTGCCGATTGTGAGGCGTTATTTTCATTATCAGATTATTTATGGTGGATGTGAAGAATGCTTCTCACTATTCTGATTGCTACCGCGCTCCAGTTCTCAGGTACAATATTTGATATGTCTTCAATGTTTCATCAAATTATGCATGTCCTACTATGAACATGGGCTAGAATCCAACTAAGAACTTTCGAGTATGAATTCAAAACAACCTTTAACAAGGAAGTGGATATGCCTTTTGATACGGCTGCCTGTTATTTTATACATCTTTACCTCTTAGTTAACATTAAAGTGTAATTAGATGCCGTTAAAGTCTATGCTTGACGACTCACTGATTTTCCAAAACTATTTTGTAGTCCATACTTCAATGTCGTGGAATTGAAAGTTTCTACCAAGGCAGGGCGCAGGGGCCTACGACAAGAGAGCTTTACGAACGTTCCTACTTCCTCGTTTATTTGAATTACTTATAGTAAATTTGGAGTTGTGTATGTGTAGGAAATAAATTCCACAACTGAAGTTTACTCGTCAGCTTGTCTTTAACGAGAACCAAGGAGTTTTTAAATTTCAAAGCCCACATACTTTCGTGGTTCGCATTCTGTTCAGAAATTTTATCTTTTGTTTGTGCAACGTATATCCAAGCATTCTTTCGAAGATCTATCCATCATCTGATAACGCAAAATTTCGGTAACCAGTTAGAACTTAAACCTTGAGGCGGTCTTAACTCTCATCCATTGCCATGTTTAGTGGGCTTTTCCAAACACTGTGGTCATCGGTGTAGGGCCATGGCCAATCCTGGAAAGTATGAGCCTGGCACCCCAAATATGTACGCCATAGATCATCCATCATGCGCCAAGTAGCGCCGGTACTCCACTCCATCCACTCCGCCAAATGTTAACTTTACGCAAACAGGGCCGCAATGACATTTTTAGGGCTTTGGGGCCAGGCATAAGCTTTGCCTCTTGAACTAAGAATTTAATTGCTTAATTTTTTATGCTTATTAAGTATATGTCCTTCATCATAAAAACATCTCTATATTCCTACTACCCGAGGCAGCACCATGGTTGCCGCAGAAGGGTAAGAAAATTTTTGAATATGAGTGATTCCAGTTCACTGGAAATGCACTCTTGCTCTACTACCGTACAGGGGGCTGCATAGCGGGAAGTGCGGGCCTGTACGGAAACCCATTAAACGTACGCCAAATTACGTCAGTTTTTGCACCAAGAGTGGGCCAAACGCCAGTCCAAAAGCCAAAGTACGCCGGCATTCCATAATTGGAAATTACTGTGCGCCACAGATCTGTGGCGCAATGTACCAGGTTCCAGTCTGGGCTGTAGGGGAGGCTAAAAGAGGAGACTATGGTTCTTCCACGAATATTGCTGCCTGAAATTTGATAAATGTTGCCATATTATGGGAGAGGGGGCAGCCCCTATGTCCTTTACGCCTATGATTGTTGTTGGGATGATCAGTTGCCTGGTTGAATCCATAGATGTTACTTAAAATGGTTTGGATCCCTGAATGCTTTCTTTTTCTTTAGCTTTTGTTCCATGGTCACTGTCTTGGCAGCTTAACCCAATGCTTTGTGTTATAGACTATATAATTCTGTTTGTCATCAAACCATTTTGAAAGTCATGTTTTCATAAAATATCAAGCAAGCAAAGGAACATGGTGCTTTTTGGCCTGTATCTCTTGGGCTCATTTATTTTCTTACCTTCCTTATGTTGAAGAAAAAAATGAATTTTAAAAACTCTTTTGCCAGGCACCATAATGTTTGTGGCAAAAAATTCAACCATTTTCTAGCACCCCCAATCCTTGCTGCTAAAATCTACCCCATATTATTACCACTTATCAACTCAGAACTGCAAACTTCACTGTTTATCAGGTACTTGCATTAGATATTTTCTCTGGTGTAACAATTTTAGCTAATTTTCTCCTAGTTTTCAGGTGGCTTGATCTCGACCTCAGGGAAACATGAATTATTCATATGCTCTAGGCCAGTGGTCAAGCAATGGTTAAGGCAGTATTTCTATGAAGTATTAGTCTGGCTAACAAGCTTGCTAAGAGAAGGTTGAAAGCCCCTAGAGAAAATTAACAGACCTGCATCTATGTCAGGCCTTTCCTGGAGACGCGGGCTATAGCCAGCGCCCACGCAAACCTCACTCAAAATAAATTTGCGAGAAATTGTTCAGCCTGCGCAGTTTTTCAAACCAATGTCTCATTTAATCCGCGCAGTTTAGCTTCCCAATGTTTATACTACTTACCTCTAAATATCTGGGTGTTAGTAATAAAGAGAAAGAGGTCTTACACGTCCATGTGTTTATCAAATGCTGTTATAAATAGAAAATTTCCATTTCCTTATACAGCACATGTTTGTATTATCTGCTAAAACTTGCAATGGAATAAGATATGTGTTCACATGAAAGGAATGACATATAGCGTGATTAATGCTACTAATAATTAAAGTGTGAAACTGTACACCATGCTGTCAAATACAAAAAAATTTATTTTAAAGTCACAATATATAAACTAGACATTCCCAAAAAGCTACATTTGAAAAGCTACAAAAAAATTTCAGTGTCCCCAGCCACTGAAAATTTGCTATCAGGTTAACTTTGGCTTGCAGTTGTCAGGTTGAGTTGCTGTCCCTTAGAGGATGGAAATATAATGCAATAAAATTTTGAAACTAATAGAACAATGATTTTGATGATTTTCATCAAAACAACTAACAACCTTTCTGCTCCATATAAACACCAAAATCTGGAAGTAATCAGAGGAAAAATTGTTATGGCTTTGATTTAGGTGCTCGTTTTCCTTTTATATAAACTATAATATTTCTTATAAATGGTATATATATATATTCTTTTTAGGTATCTCCTTATGTTTTCATGGGCTGCCTATCTACTGAGCAACCAAACCTAGAAGCTCTCTTGCTTTTATAAAACATTTCAGCCCAGCTACAAATTGGTTATTTTTTTAAAACCACACCTGAAATGATGGATATTTCAGTATTGTTCCAAATAACCTTTTATATCAACATTTTTCTCTGGACTCTATCACCACTTTGAAAATCCCTGCCAAAAGTCTTCAAAACAGTCCAGTTGCCAAAGTGTAATTTTGTAAGCCAACAGGCTGTCAGACCTTTTCAGATCAAGGAAATGTCCTTTGGCCATCCTGCCACAAATTCGCATTTTTGTTTCATGAATCACAAATTATCAGTTTGGTTGGAATTGCTGCTAGCTCTGCTGTCTACTGTACTGCAACCACAATTCCTGCTGTAAAGGTCATTTACTCATTTTATTTCAGGTGACCATGATTAGACAGGAAATTATAGTAAAATACATTTCCATATTATTATGTGATCACTCTTGTTTTATAGGGATTTATAGTTTGGAGCCTGCAGCTATTTCAAAAGCCCCTGAAAATGTAACAATTGCATACAATTCCTCTCAATCCACATTGCAAAATGCAGTTTTCAATTGCACCTTCCTGGGTGATCCATTGCCTGAAGTGCAGTGGTATAACTTGTCAGCTAATCTAGCAAACAACAGTAAATATGTCATTTCTGGATCAAAGAGCAGCAGTATCTTGACAGTTGTTGGTGCTGATGTCAATGATGTTGGCAGTTATTCTTGTAATGTTACTAACAATCAAAGTTCAGTTGCTCAAACTGCATACTTAAATGTGCAAGGTTTGTTAGCTCTTGACTGATTTTTTTTAAATAACAAAATGAAAATCTTATTTCTTTATTATACCTTGTTATTCACATTTTATGTGAATTATATCAAGCATCAAATGAGGCGATTTTGAAAGAGAAACATCACATTTGTTACAATTTTGTTGCTTTTTTTATATGGTGTTTTAAAAGCTTGACAAATTTAAATAGTTCATGCATGTTCTTGGAAGAGGAATTTGAAGTGTAAGAAGAGCAGTTGACCAATTCTTTTTTATTCAAAATGAAAAAAAATTGCCCCTTTTATGCTGTGTATATAATGTTTTAATGTAATTATAAGCCATTCTTGATCATAAACCAGCAAAACGTGCCTTAAAAATAATTATTAGCCAAGGCTTTTAATCGAATAAATACAGTAGTTTGAAATGATAGCAGAACTTTAATTATTGGCTGGTTCTTATGTGATTGTGCTAAATTGGTTCAATGCTTGCCAAAGGTATTGGTATGTTTTTTGAGGTCTTTGCACATTTTCACATTCACTTCTGTCTTTTCCCTTATGTTTTTATATGATTTTAAGGGTTTCACTGTTTGCCACTTGAAACCTGTTTAATAGTTATGATAACAGGCATTTAAACAAAAATTGTCTTTGGGCTTTTTCAATTTGTCAGTGTATTCACATCTTTCAGTTTCTTTTGTTATTGATGCATGGGTATAAATGTCAAATTTAGATACAGTAAAAGAGCAAGTTGTCTTCTTTTCAGTGTTTACACGAATCCTCACCCATCCACAGTCTACTGTACTAAATGAAAGCACCTCATCATTGAAGCTTTCATGCGATGCAGATGGTGTTCCAGCACCAACATTTCAGTGGAAAAAAGATGGCAGTGTATTGCATGATTCTAGTAAAACCAAATACACAGAAAGTGGCAAGAGCCTCACAATTTCCAATCTTACTCGAAATGATACTGGTAGTTATGTATGTATGGCTTCAAATGGATGGATTGCTGTTTCAAATGCTGCTACAGTTACAGTCAATTGTTAGTATTCTTATAAAATGATTGTATTTTTTCTTTCATGATCTTCATTTTTACTGAAATGTTCAGAGTCCTACCCCCCCCCCCCCCCATATAAGATGATCCTAGTTTTGCATGGATTCTGACTGTGGAATGTTCAATATCTAAATGAAAAAGTTTGGGTCTGTTTATTTTCAAAAAGCATGCAAATTTATTGTGCTGACGATAGTTCTTGTACTTTTTGCTAATTATCATAATTTCATTTTGTGCATAGAATTTAGAGAAATTTTTTAAATGTTAGCGCACTGTTCAAGAAAAAGTCAGTAGACCCTTTAACTCTTCTTTTTTCCCTGCACCTCAACTTTCTTTGCCATTCCCTCAGTTGGTATTTTCACCCAAAAAAAACAAAACCCCACAATGTGTTTCTTCATTTCTCAAAAGTAAATTTTTGCACAACAAATGTCTGGTTTGATATTGAAAAATGATAAATGTAAGGAAAGAGGGCAGAAATAATTCCTGCTGCTTAAATTTGAGTGGTCCCATGTCCTTACTTTTTCACAAAGAAAAGTCACCTATAGTAATGTTGCCCATGTAGAAAGAGAGAAAAGCCAATAAGACTGGCTTTACACAAGCATGTAGATTATGCCACAAATAATGTGTTTGTACACTGTGTACTTTGATTTTATTAGAAAGTAGCAAAAAGATTGGAAAAACATTTCATACTAAAATCTTTTCATACAAGGCAATGTGACTCTACATAGGAAGCCATTATTATTTGCCAGCCAAACATTTTCATTTTACAAAATATTTTATTTATTGCAAATGCTTGGGTGTTGAAAAGCACTATGTTAATAAATTTTGGGAATCTTCTCGAAAGAAGTTTTGTTGAATTGTGATGTATAGGCTATGTTGAATTTATCAGTTAATTCTCATGGTAAAACATACTTGCATTTGCCTCTGGTTTGTCAGTACGGATTTTATAATCAAGTTTTTATATTTTCTTAGATATTGACCCAATTGCACTCAATACATCTTCAACATCAATTGTGTTGAATGAAACATCATCGTTCTTTGTTGAATGCACAGCAAATTCCAACCCAACAGCAGCCTATTCCTGGACCAACAAAGCAGGCACTGTTGTTTCTAGCACATCTGTTCTGTCAATTAGCTCTGTTAATAGAAATCATAATGGATCATATACTTGCACTGCTACAAATAATGCTGGGTTGACTGTTTCTAAGAGTCTCACATTGGATGTTCGATGTAAATATAATTTTGTTTGTTACAATGGCAATGGGGGTTAGTGCTATATTATCATCAGATGTTATCATCAGTTTAAAATGTTTTATTTCTACCTTTGGTTAACTTCAATAAATGTAGAAAGCTATCAATAATATTGATGGCTCAATTTTTTCCCTAATCCTGAGTTTATATGTAAGTTAAATACATTTGTAGCTACTGTAAGTTACGTACATTGAATTATGCACAACTTATTTTTGCTGCTCTGCTCTAATGCACATTTCAAATTGGATTTTCTTTCTTATAAAGTTGCAATATATTTTGCCTTTGTTGCAAAGTTTGAATATTCATTTCCATGCTTAACTGAAATTTACTGTGATGCTGGTAGAAGTTGAAATGACAGAGGTTCTGAGTTGTAGGGTTGTAAAATACCTGTCACTAAGAGTTTCGATTTGGATGAAATTCGCAATATTTATATCAAAATATTGTAATACAAGAAAATTTCCACACAAACTTTAACATCCATTTTCATTGTAATAACTTTTAGGTTTTTGGGTTTTTTCATTCCCCATTTCTTCTTTCTATACTCCAATTCTTCCTTTTCTCATTTCTTGGCATGTCTATTCATTTCTTCCTTTTCGTTCTTCTATTCTTGAATATTCCTCCCTACTTTGATTTTCTTGAAGCTTCCATCCATTAAAAAATTTTCCTCAAAATTTTCCCAACTTTTAACATATCATTCTTAATAACACATCTGCTCAATTTGGACATCTCCGTTTTTGTAATTTTTTAGATATCGATGCAATTGCATTCAACACATCTTCAACATCAATTGTGTTGAATGAAACATCATCGTTCTTTGTTGAATGCACAGCAAATTCCAACCCAACAGCAGCCTATTCCTGGACCAACAAAGCAGGCACTGTTGTTTCTAGCACATCTGTTCTGTCAATTAGCTCTGTTAATAGAAGTCAGAACGGATCATATACTTGCACTGCTACAAATAGTGCTGGATTAATTGTTTCTAAGAGTCTCACATTAGATGTTCATTGTGAGTACAGACTATTTATTTCGTTTTTTATCATGATAAATTATAATTTAGATAAAGGTTTTTTATATTTATCATGAGTATGGTGATTTTTAAAATGTTAATAATTCCATTTTAACTGATATTTAATCTTTAATTAAAGTTAATTGGTTCATGGCTGCAAAGCATTTTTCTATCTGGGAACTTATTAGATGGGAGAAAAGACTTATGCTTGATAAAATTATTGCATTCAATAGTTTTTAACATAACTGGATTGAAAATAGTTATAAGGACTTTTAATTTGGTTAGATTTGCTACTTCATGTCATTGAAAATTTCAAGAACATTTGGTTGCTTGCGGTAGTAGCTCAAGATAAAATTCATTGCGTAAATATTGTAGCGTTTAGCTTGAATTATATGGTTTGGTAATTGTGCTTTATAAATGTCTGCATGATTGCATGCTATGATTTGGTTTTAAGCAGATTTTGCAAGCATATAATAACGATCAACGTAAGTAAATTGTACCAGAAAATTTTTTTTTAAAATATTTAACGACGTTGCGAGCATAGCCCGTTATCAAGTAAAATTGAAAAGCGATGATAGAACTAAAAACGTTAAAGGAATATGGAATTCGACAAATGGAATAGGAAGACGGGTATAAGAGCATGAAAAAGAATTATATGGAAAGAGCTAATAAAAATAAATATATACATACATATACGCAAAGACACAATTTATGTATATGTACATATATGCTCACTAATACGAAGAAAGGTTTTTTGGAAATCTTTTTATTATACGAGTTTCTTTTGATACCAGAAGACTTTCAGCATAAATATTTTACCCTTATTGCTAGTTTTGATACATTTTGATAAAAGTTTGTGTACAAATATTTGAAAGAAATTTGAAAGAAAGTTAAAAAATATCAGTTTCAATGTAAAATATATTAGAATGAAAATTATTACATTTTTATGCTTAGGCTCAGTTCTCTGATTTTGCTTGAAAGGTTTTTATTTTGGCTGCAATCGGTTTCCATAATGATTAATCGTAGTAGGTAATTATTTTAAAAACGTGCTCACAAATTAGAATGTAGCCCAGAACTATTTTTGTTTACATAAAGGGAAATGTTTCTATGAAGCTAGAAAATTGTAGAAGTTGTAAGCTTTATTGACTTAGAATAAATTTGCAAAAATCATCCTACATATAAGCGATCTGTCAGACGTCATCTTCACCCTTCTACTATTACCAAGGTTCTACCATTTAATTTACGGGGCCATTTCCCACGTCAATACGAATTGTTTGTTTGTTCAGTTTTTACAATTAAGTTTGTTGTATTTCCCTAGATATCGATGCAATTGCATTCAACACTTCTTCAACTTCAATTGTATTGAATGAAACGTCATCGTTCTTCGTTGAATGCACAGCAAAATCCAACCCAACAGCAGCCTATTCCTGGACCAACAAAGCAGGCACTGTTGTTTCTAGCTCATCTGTTCTCTCAATCAGCTCTGTTAATAGAAATCAGAACGGATCATATACTTGCACTGCTACAAATAATGCTGGATTGACTGTTTCTAAGACTCTCACTCTTGATGTTCGATGTAAGTAGAATTTCATTTGTTTTGATTTTTATCATAGTAGATCTGAATAATAATTTTGAATATTGTTAATATATGGTTCATGAGTATTTTTATGACAAGCATCATAATTTAAAAAAGTTATTATCCTATATATTGCTTCATGGCCGCAAAACGATTTTCTTTCTCGGAACCTACTAATGATGTGTGAAAAGGTTTCTGCCGGACGAAAGCGAAGTAGTTTGGTAGAACCTATTTGAAACTTTTTAATTGGTTTGGTTCGCAACTTTAAGAAATGCTCAGTTTCAAGGTAATTTTATCCCTTTGTTGTTATCGAATACTCCGAATAAGGAAATATACATACCCATTGTTTATCGAAACAGGCCTAGATATAGACCAAAGTATACTGACGTTTTACTCTCTGAGGGGTTTCAGACGAAAAGCGTTATTATGTTCTAAAATTTTTGCTTTTTAAAGCTTTTTTAAACGTACTTACATACGAAGAAGGTAGACCAAAGCTATGTTTGTAAACATAATTCTATGAAACTTGAAAAATTATAGAAATCATCTACTCATCTATAATACTGGATGCTCCATTCATTCGTGTAATCTATATCGATGAATGTTATCTTTCATATAAGCGATATTTCAGCTCTCATTTTCACCCTTTAACTACTACCCAGGTCTTAAAAGCCTTTCTCCAGTAGATAACTCTGCCACTAATGTTTTGATGCCGTTTCCCACGTCAATACGAATTGTTTATTTGTTCAGTTTTTACAATTAAGTTTGTTGTATTTCCCTAGATATCGATGCAATTGCATTCAACACTTCTTCAACTTCAATTGTATTGAATGAAACGTCATCGTTCTTCGTTGAATGCACAGCAAAATCCAACCCAACAGCAGCCTATTCCTGGACCAACAAAGCAGGCACTGTTGTTTCTAGCTCATCTGTTCTCTCAATCAGCTCTGTGAATAGAAATCAGAACGGATCATATACTTGCACTGCTACAAATAATGCTGGATTGACTGTTTCTAAGACTCTCACTCTTGATGTTTACTGTAAGTAGTCTTGCTGTGGGTCTCTCCCTAACTGTCTTCATCTCCTTTCTTGTCAGTGTAATGCACATACAACTTCTGTACGTCTATTGTTTTGTCGATTTAGCAATGTATTTTTTAATCAATTCATTTCTCTAGCATAAAGATTACTGACTTATCTGCATTAAATTTGTCATCATTTTATATTTCACTGGTTTAAATATTCAACCAACAGTTCTTGATGCACCAACATTCAATACGTCATCGAATTCCATCGTGCTTACCGAGACAACACCACTTGGCGTGCAGTGTGCTACCAGTTCGAATCCTTCTTCCACTTACAAGTGGTATGCTCCCACTGGCAATGTCATATCTAGTTCCTCTATCCTCTATTTCCAAGCAGTCCAAAGAAATGATAGTGGCGCTTATACGTGTTCAGTCACAAATGGCGCTGGGAAAGCTGCATCTAAAGTATTAAATCTTAACGTTGAATGTAAGTGTGTCTAATTTTGTTTTTCTCAGTTCAGTTTGTTGTGGCGAGGGCAACTGGAAGACGAGTCCTGACTTAAAGTCATCATCTCGTGCTCCGTGTAATTATAATGACTTGAGTCTTAATCTAGGTTTAGTTGTCAGTTTTCCTTTTGTTTAAATAGGATTAGAAAGTCACAGTTCCTCCGTGAAATAATCTCATTTCTTGTCGTTCACCAAAGCATCATGAATAGAAACTTTGTTTTTCTTCTATTTGCTATCGTTGTTTTAAGGCTGTTTTTTGTTTTTGTTAGATATCGACCGCCCTGCTCTCAATGTTTCGGTTAGCAAAATCATTTTGAATGAAACAGATCAGTTGTACGTGCTTTGCACTAGCACGTCGAATCCAAATGCGGAATACCATTGGGTTGACTCATCTGGTGCCTCAGTTGTGAATGCTCCATTGCTATCATTCCCTGCTTTAAAGAGAAGTGATGCCAAAACATATAGCTGCATTGCGAATAATAAAGTTGGGAAGAAAACATCTGCGAACTTGACCATTGAAGTCAATTGTAAGTATTGCCAAGGGAGACTTACTCCTTGGAGTTCTCCTATGTTTCTTCAGTTTATCTTGTATCTGTGGTAAGCAAAGTCCTTATTCCTGTGAAAATGAACCGATGAATTTCCCACTCTAGCCCTTTTTTCCCATTTCTTGCGCCAATAGTTTCTACGACAGTTGCTTTTACACCACCTCTTCTCTAGAGTTAGTTGATTCCTCTTACATTGATCAGTGCTGACTATAAATATGGAGAGATTAGAAGGGTTTCAATATGCAATGCTTTATGTTGCTACGCCAAAACATCAATACTTTCTTTGTTTGATTAGGAAAATTAATTGATAGCATTATCGTGAAAGTGCAATAGTTGTCTGATTTCAGTCTGTAATACGGGGTCAATTTTAGCCCATTCTGCGCTTCGCCATTTCCTAATCCGTAGCTATTGACCTTGTTGCGCAATACCCAGTAATTTTATAAATATATTTCTATACATTCCAAATTTTAACTACATATCTTTATGATAGATCTGGACAAGCCATCGCTAAATGCAACGGCGAGTGTGAATGTAACCGACTCAAGTAGGCTTTTGGTCCGCTGCTCCGCAGTTTCTCACCCACCTGCGCAATTTTATTGGCAGAGCTCCGCTGGCATTGTTCTATCGAGTTCTGCTGATCTCAGGTTTGAGACGATAAATCGTAATAATTCCGGTGGATATTTCTGCGTTGCAAAGAACTCTTTTGGTACGAGTTTTTCCAACACAGTGACAGTCAATGTGCAGTGTAAGTTGTATTTCAATTTCACATTGTGCGTCTTGCGGTGGCATTAAAAATCAAGGTTTTTGCTGTCAGATATTTTGACATCATACTTAAAGCCACTGAGTCGTCTTTAGAGGGTCATTTGCTTTCGGCGTGATTGCTGTAGTTTCATGAGATATTGGCACCCGTTGTTGACAATTTGTAATTGACGGAAGCTGTTTTCTTAATCAGTACCAGGCTTTTTCATGTGATCAGTGCCAGACCCACCAATAGCATTCCAGCACGAAAATCATCACTCAGCGTATTTGGGTACACCCTCTTCTTTTATCAGTGCGTTTGAAATGTTCTTAGATAATGAGGTTATTTACATTACACCAGTTCAGCGTAAACTAAAAGGGATCATTTGCAGTAACAAGTAGATCCCCGTATGAAAATTGGCTGTACATGTCGTTGTCCGTCTTACTCCCTGCACGAAACGATGTTATCATGGGCTAGACAGTTGCTGGCAGTTGCAGTGTACATTGCATACTTCCATATTCCAACATAATGGCTAAAAGCTGTTCTAAAATGTTTGCTTTTTTCAAAGCCATTTTCAAGCTTTGTACCGCCAAAAAACTGTTCACACTTCCATATTCAACAAATGCACCTTTTGTGCTATTAAATTTCTGTTTTTGAATGAGGTGCTTGTACGTAGTCTTAATACGTACCTACAATCACTGCCAAAACTCTTGGAACACTTGTAATATTTTCAACGTTTTCATGCATCCGTTCCCCTCCCCCCCTTCAAACAATGTTGTCTCACAGCTAAGTTAAGACATACTTTTGTGGCAAACCTTTTTCTACCGGTCGCCCTGATAAACTGCATTGTAAGCAACATTGTTTTAGGGGGGGAGGGGGGTTTGTCTATTAGAAACACGGGAAATATACGAAAAAAGCAAAAAATTAGCAAAATACGTAGGTGTTCCAAGGAGTTTTGGCAGAGATTGTCTGAGTATAATTCTTAAAACTAATAGATATGATATCAAAACCTATATCTACCCCAGGGTATTCGGTGGCGCTGAGTTCATTTCTGCCATTTTTGAAACCAAATTCTGGACCAGTTCAATGATTTACAAGGGTAATTTCATTTTTTAGCGACTTACGCACGAAGTCGCCATCGGAAGTCAATATAATGTATAAAATATTATTTAAGATAGAGTAAATATAAGTAAATATAAAGTAAATATGGCCTTTGCGAATTTATTGAGATTAAAGTTGCAATTCCTAGGGTATTTGCATAATATTAAGTATACCTTTTTGACAGTGTAAAAGCTGGAGCAACGGAATAAATGTGCGCAGTTTTGCTTGTTCAGAATACTATTACGAAGCATACATGTTGTTAGAGGCCAAATAGTCTTAATGGGCAACGAAGATACTTTGTTAACAACACATTTCTTTAGTGTTAATTGTATTGGGTTTTTAATATGATACAAAGAAACTATCACAGTTCCAAGTCTGAAATGAGGCTACGCGATAAGGAGGTTGAGACAACAAAAGTCAATTTTTCAAACACAATCTTCAGTTGTAAAATTTGTAAATGCAGTTGTAAAATTGAAACAATCGATATGGCAAGTGCAATTGAAGTTAGCGACGAGGGGGCTCCAGAAATCTTACCTACAAGTGTTTTAAGGAAAGTTTACCTTATAACATATAGTAACGCAAACATTGAGCTATTCGACAGAGAAAAATTCTCAGCTATTATAACCGAGTCTTTTACGGTGGCAGCTACAAAAGTCGCCGTAATACAATGGGCATGCTGTATGGAAAAACACAAAAATGGAGCATACCATTTTCATATGTGTATTTTACTCGATAAATGTCAAAGGTGGTTAAAAGTAAAAAAGTATATCCAAGATCACCATCACATTATTGTGAATTTTTCCGGACATTCAGGGTATCATACTGCCTTCAACTATGTCGCCAAGGAGGATGAGGGTTTCATCAAGAGTGAGAACCATCCAGAGGTAGCTGCTCCAAAAACTGCAAAGGCCACAAAGGCTAGATCTGCAAAGAAGGGTCGTAAACCATCGAAACAGCTCAAGCGTCTATGCAATTCCGATGTGGCCAAAATGATCCTAAAAAATGCAGTAAAATCTCGTTTAGATCTTCTTGCGCTAGCCAAGACCTCTGCTGGAAACGGTGATGAGCGTCTGTATGCATTCGTTCTGAATAAAAACGAAAAAAAATTACAGGAATTGGTTGACACTGTGTGGGAAATGGAGACGGCAACAGAAAAGCTTCAACGGGCTAAAATGACGAGGCTTGAGATTTTACAGCAGCAGTTATCTGTTGTTTGCATTTGCAAGGGCGAGTGGCTCAAATGTGCCTTGGAGATTCTTGAAAACAACTCCATCTCAAGAGCTGATTTTGCTGAGGCCATTTTGACGTTGCTTGACAAGGGTAGAGGCAAGGGCCGTAACATTTTTATTGCAGGTCCAGCGAACTGTGGCAAAACGTTCATTTTAGACCCACTAAGAATTGTGTACAATGCTTTCCTGTCTCCTGCCACTTGTTCTTATGCGTGGCTTGGTGTTGAGGAGAAGGAAGTAATATTTCTCAATGATTTTAGGTGGTCACCTGTTATTTTGCCATGGAGTGATATGCTGCAGTTGTTGGAGGGGGCCGTTGTACACTTCGCTGCTCCAAAAACTGTGTATAGCAAGGATATAGAGCTCACCCAGAACACTCCTGTCTTTGCCACATCAAAGGCTCCAATTTCCTTCATCGCAGGCTCCATGTTAGATGAGAGAGAGACAGAGATGATGAACGTTCGTTGGCGAATATTCAAATTCAAACATCAGTTTGATGAACGGGTGCAGAAATGTGTTCCTGCCTGTGGTCATTGTTTTGCCAAAATGATCCTGTGACATTAGGCATCATCAGCAATTGTTAATCACAATAGGCATTATTTGATACAAAAGGCATCCTTGGCAGGGGCAAGGCCTCGCAAGGCTTCCCTGTTGATGCGAAACGTGGCACGACTGTTAACCGTAGTGTTAACCGTGGCTGTTTTTTTCATCTCATTCGTTATTTAAGATACTTTTTCGCCCCAAAGCTCCTCAACAAGGTGTCTTCTAATTTAATCTACCCAAAAATCTACGTTTGGCCTGAATTTAATGCCTGAAAATGAAAAGATTTGCAAAAACTCACGGTTAACACTTGAAAATGGAATAGTCTTAGATCATATCAAATTCAATTTTCAAGAAAAGTGTAGACCGTGGACTGTTTCTCAATTTTCTCCTTTCGCATGTACGAAATCCAAGTCAAAGTTTATAGAGCATTTGAAACATACATTGCACACCTCCTGGCAAAATCTGGATTGTTTTTTCTCGTCAACACAACTTTTGCAGGCATTTTAAAAATCGTTAACCGTGACTGTTAACCGTGGGGAAGACATTTTCGGACTACGAGATGGCCCTACGACAATTGAATACCAATAGTTTTCAATTCAATTTCGTGTAAGGTCTAATGATTTTAAGTATTGAAATATATTGAGATGCCAATCTTCTACTATGATTAAGTTGAAGATTCCACACAAAAGCAGAGATAAGCATGAAATCTTAAGGAATCACAAAACACTTTCTCTACCTTGCTGATGTCTGTAGGTGCGAAGGAGCAACACGCTGAAAAAAATTCTACTTGTTTGTGATTTACGTATGCATTTTTAGCTATGTCATTTTTTACTCAGCTGTTTATAAAAATATATGTTTACAACTATATACAAATTTACATTATTTCAGTATTTTGTTCTGTATCCTCCATTTGTAGTTAACGTTTTTAGACGTTTATGCATAGTTTTGATAGTTCCGTCAATGAGTGAACCACTGCAATTGGCTAGTGTCCGTAACACCCTCTCCTTAAAAGTTGTGAAATCCTCCTTCTCTATCCTTTCCTGCAATGCTTCTTTCAACATTTTCCTTTTAACGTTGTGGAAAACATTTTCTATTGGGTTCAGATCTGGTGATCTTGGTGGTATCTTGACAAGTTCAGCTCCAATTTCTTGTAGGGCATCTTTGGCTACTCTACTGTTCTGGCTAGGGTCATTATCCATTACAAAAAGCAGTTTCTCTTTATTTTTTAAAAAAGCACACTCTAACAGTGCCTGTTGTAATGTTGTTTCAGCAAATTTTGCAAACCAAGGTCCATTCATCTTGTCATATTCTTCAGCAATTATGACGCCTGATGAGAATGCAATGCCCACCATAACATGACATCTTCGACCCTCTGGTAGGCTTTTACTTCCTTTCGTGGTGTACTTCAGACCCTCATTTGTTTTTCTCCAAACTCTTCCACTCGGCGTTAATGCATCCCTGTAAGGGTTCTGTTTATGTATAAATGAAACAGCATCTAAGTAAATCAGGACGTCGTCTGTCCAAAAATTCTCGTCGTACTTTTTAAATGCCTCCCTTGCATAACGAACTCTGTGTCTTCTATCTGCATTTGAAAGAACTCCTTTACGTCTGGGTCGTAAGCATCTGTACCCAGCTTTATTCAATATTCTGACCAAACTTCTGTAGCTAACGTCCGTTATTTGGCTTTCTCTTGCTATATCCACCACTCTAATATTTGCATTTTCATCTCTCATCTTTTTGAAAGTTCTTAAAAACTTTGCTTTTTCCCTCTCTTTCAAAACTGGAGGTCGGCCTGTACCTTTATTCTTTGTCTTCCTCTTCCCGTTCAAGCCCTCCTGACAAATGCGAACAACACTTGATGGAGAAATTTTACAAACATCAGCAATTTTGCGATAAGACAGCCCCTTGTCTTTTCGCAGATAGTATGCATAGGCTCTTTTCCTTTGGTTAATCATCGTATGGAAGACCATTGTTCCTAATATCGCTATGATTTCTTGTAGACTCTAAACTGCCTATCGGCTCTTTCTCTCTTTTATATACTTGCAATTACAGTTATGGTTCTATTTTTATCTCTTATTGGTGTTTCCTTATTTGGAAATATCAAAAGAAACATCTTTCTCAAGATACAAATGG